CAGGGCCTCGAGCGCTGGAGGTTTTGGCGGAAGGCATTGGAGGATTCGCAGGCGGACACTCGAGTTGCCCCGGAGTCCCGGGCCCTCGCGGAGAAGGCAATGATCTTTATGGATGCCGTTGAAAGGCTGAATGCCTAGGTGGCGGAGACTATCTGTGGGCTCAGGAGCAGATAGACTAAAAGTCCATATCATTGAGTGTGAAAAAGATGGCAAGAACTATGAACTCCTATCCATGATACACAGAAGGATTCAGGTGATTCCGAACACCCTCCATCAATCCATGGATACCCATTGGTCCTCCAAACATTGCATGCTATTGTATTTGACAGCCATGTGTTTTCTCCTGCTATGGAAGGTTGAACTCGTTGCAAGAGCCAAAGCTCCAAAATTATCAACGTGTACTCTCATTGATTTCGGAATTGAGGATGTATTCTGCGCTTCTTCATGTTGAGGATAGAAGACCCATCAATAGGATCAGTTTCCTCGGCGTTGCTTCTTTCCAAGTTGCATACCTAGTGACATTTGGCAGCATGTAATGACAAATATTGAAACCCGCAACGCCGAGAAGATGCCCTTCTGTGGGCCTTGCGTGAACAAGGGGGTCACGACCGCTGATCTGGACTGGCCCCAGTCAGCGATGTGGAGAAACACCAATACAGCAAGAGCGCATTGCTCTGAAGACCGTGTCTTACAGCCTTGTACTGCCCCAAGGCGTTTGTTGAACTTGCATGTCAAGAACGCGATCTGGTCGTGGCTTAACGGGAAGACCGCAGAGGAAGTCTATACCTAGGTAGGTACAAACTGCATAGAAGGGGACAATCGTACCGACGATAGTTTGCAACTCCGCGAACGAGCGGTAGCTTTTTCAGTTTCCCCATAGGCATCAGGTGCCAATGTCTATGTATCTGCTGGGCTCCAGAATTCCTGGATTTGGCGTGGGGGAAGGTTGCGGTTATCAGCATGGTTCGGTTGACGCTGTCTGGTACGCCAGAAATGCGGCCAACTGACAAAGATATTCTGAAATACGGCTGGCAGAGAAATGAGCGATACTTGGGTGTGCAAATGTCTTACTTTCAGCTTGTGATGCATGTATATGAGAAATATGGCTGATTTTTGCCCTACTTGCTGGATATAAAGCATCTTTCACTTTGATTCAGAAGCTCATTTGACACTAGCATTTCTGCTCCCATTTTAAGTCTGATGTCAAAATACTGAATTTACAAGCTCTGTTTCCTTTGCCAGAAGAGAACCAGTCATCTACTACATTCACATCTATCATCTCCAACCAAATGACCTCTCTGCTGAATTCTCACGGACACCATCCTGCCTGTCTCAGTCGTCGTCTAATCTTCAACGAATGACTGAACGGGGGAAAGATATTTCTCAAACAATTCAATGGCAGATAAGTCACCAATCACCCCGATAAAAGCCACATGTTGACCAGGGCGAATCAAACCCTGCAACCATCGATACCAGTTCCATATAGTCCGTGAGCAGGCTCATGGCTTCACAGTCTGTCAGCTTGTCGCCCTCGCAGATAACGTGCATGACAACCCAAATGTCCTCGATATCGATGATGTATCAGACTCAATAACATTTACGCATGCCGTCACGGATCCGTGGATCTTGTTGGTCTCTTCGAGGACGGTAGATTGACCCTCATGCCGGCTTCCACGTTCTCCGCGCTCACACAGATCGTCTCCGCGAATCGAATCCGCATGTTCGCCATGCTACGTCTTGTCAACAAAAGCCTACCCATGGTGCGCCGGAGAACGACTCGACTAAGATACAGGTGCCGGGTTGATGAATCTTTCCTCGCTTCTTCCCTCTTTGTACGTCTACACCCTCGCTTCCCTACTGACTATGGGTCACTTCACGATGCTTCCAAGTTGTTACCTCCCTCACTTTTGAGAAGGCACGAACATGTGCCCCTCAAACAAGTCAAGACATTCTGTATGCAACTCTTACGTTGATCGGAGGTCCTACCCAGGTGCCCAGGTGGGAGTCGGAACTAGTCTCGATTTAAAATTCCGAGGTTGCTCTTTGGTTACTAAGAGTGCCGCCGATGATGCCGCCGCGCTGCGAGTTCGAGGTTGTGGTCGTGGTCGTGATGGGCCGGAGGCCGGGATCGGGGATTACCGTGCGCTGCGCCGGTAGATCGATACTCAAATAATAAAGGCCTTTCTAGCAGCATCTGGGCCGGTAGACCTGCGGAACCAGTCATGCATGACCAGGACGAATTCCGTGCTCTCCAAGGCCCCAACAAGGCCGAAAGCAACCCTGAGAGTCAGACCAAAGTCGATACTCAGAATGACGAAACTTGAAGTGTAACAGATCCCACACTTCAAGGTTGGTTTGAGCCAATATCAACTGCGAACTAGCAGTTGTTTTGAATAGAGAAGCTTTCAGAAAGCATTACCATATCTCAGGATGTGGAACTTTCATCTTCTTACAAGTTGCAACATATATTCCCAAACTTGACTCAAAGCGGGTACCTGATGTGGGAATCTGATCTCTACCCCTGCTGGGCCTGTACCGATATCAAACAATCAATGACAGGCTTCGGTATTCCGAGGGTCACGGTCGATTGCACCTTCGAGCCTTCAAGATCCATCACTCACCCATCGATCAACATTGTATGGGGGAGTATACAGAGCGTCATGTGACCACATGTGATTCTATCATGGATGTCCACGGGTGAGCATTGGCATTTGTACTGTCATCGTTGCATCCTAACTCATCGCACTGCACTTGCTTGAGAATCAGACATGCACCATTGAGCACGGCTCTTGAGACACCTTAACTTTCCCCCGCCACTCATAGGGCTGACGGCCTCGTCCTCCGAAACGCCGCCCGAGCTCGAGGTCTCGACCGGTTCCACTTCCCCTCGACCAGCAAGACCGTCGCGTGAGCCCCAAAACCCAACTCTGCTCAGAAGCGTGCATATTCCATCGCCTTGCCACTGCATAAAAAGCCGCCACGGGCCATTTTTAAGTGGTGCGCTCGGTGAAAGTTCTGCCCCGAGATCTACCCTTTTCGAACCGCTATCAGTGGAGCCTAGTTTGCCTTGGCTTGGATAGGATTCGGCAAGGGTTGCGCGTTCTCTGTGGCCCGGCATTCGTATATATCTTCATCGCATTCTGAACTTCTGGCGATTCGGTCGCGGACTTTCTCTCCATTGCCCTCTACCACAGTATATACCCCGTCATGTTGCGCAAGGTCCGCGGGCGGTTTGGCGACAAGGTGAGTGCGCGGCGTACAGGCAATGAACCACAATTGCTGACTCGGACAGCTCAACCCAGATGATGCATTCCTGAGCTGTGAGTGTTCTCAAAATGGAGCCTGTCATCCGCGCACAGCATACTTACAGGCAGTTTGGGATTTTCAGACTATGACGTACGGTGTATGAGACCCCCGCGAAATATGACCGAGGGACCATTTGACTGACAGCCATGCAGTGACAAGAGAGGACATGCAAACTCTCAAGAACGACTGGCTCACAGACAATGTGGGTTTGATGACGAGAATCTTCCCCCTGGGCCACCTGAGCTAATATGTCATAGATCATCTCATTCTGGGAGGAGTAAGTCTCTCAAAGAGCACAAACCATACACCGAACACGACACTGATACCCGGCTTCTCGCTCTAGGTACCTTGAACACGAATTCCTCACCCGATACAAGTCCTCCAATATCATCCTCCTCCGCCCTAGCATGTCCTTCATGATCCTCCAGACCCCCGACCCCCGCACACTCCGCGAAGCGCTACCAGACTTCTCCCGAGCCACTCATGTCTTCCTGCCCATCAACGACTGCCGCAATGTTAGTCAAGCAGAAGGCGGTACCCATTGGTCCCTTCTGCTGATCTCCGTTGTCGATCGCATCGCCTTCCACTATGACTCTCTATACCAAGGAAACGTCTGGGAGGCAGATGTTGTGACCCGAAAGTTTGGGTATCTCCTGAACATGCCGATCAGGTTCATGCACCTGAATGATTCCCCCCAACAGGACGGTGGCAGCGACTGCGGTGTCTTCGTCTGCATGAACATGCGACACCTTCTCATGAAGCGACTGCTGATGGCCAGTGCACATGAGAAGGTCAGCATGAGTCTCGGAGGGCGGAAAGTCGACGCCCATGGCTCCCGCAAAGAGATGGCCAAGATCATCGAAGGGTTTAGGAAAGAAGGCGAACGTCGGCGATCGTATGTGATAACGTGGAATCGTCTAGATTCAGAACCAAAACTGACCTTCATGTTACAGGACCAGTGCCAGTCCAATGGGCAAGAAGTCGAGGAGTCCTCCGCGAGTGGATTGAGTTCTGATTATTTGACGATTTTACGCCCTGTTTATGGTCTTTCAAGGTTCCCTTATTGCATTCATACCTTTACACGACAAAAACAAAACACTTTTTACGGAAATATTAGTATGTTCAGCGCTGCATTGCAATGGAATGATGTTTGAAAATGCTCTCCGATCCAGACTTAGTAGGTAGTATATCTATTTAGATGCTTTGGCATAACCTTGGAAGTCTCATTCAGTTCCAAGGTTCAACGCTGTAGTACAGTGGTATAAAATGTGTTACTTGATCGTACTCTGTACATCTGCACTAGCAAAGATAACTTTTTGTGTATATAGACATTTCTCAAGTTAGCGCTATATTGTAGCGAAATGATATGGAATATACTTGCTCAACCCTACCTGGGTACCCAGGTAGGTACACGATCTACCTACCTATGTATGTACTTGACGTCGAGAAGCATGGACTTTTTACAAACTAGTGCAATACCAAGGTCTGCAGCTTGTGTCGAAGTACGAGCTCATGCAATGCAACAGCACCCATTTTGAGTCTACCCAAACAGATACTGCTCACCCTCCCTCAATTAAATATCAAGCAACCCCCATTCTTACCCTTCCTTACTCCGTACTATCTTCCATTACTCGCTCCTCTGAGACCCTCTACCTTCAAAACCCATCAACACGATCTCCATCGAACGTTACAGAATGGTACGTTTCTCCACCTCGCACCAGCCTCTATTTAATTCGGTGGGCTAACACGCTCCCCAGAACCAAAATCTTGATGTTGGATCCTGCCACGTCCATAATAGAATGCGATTGAGGAAGCCCCACCTTAAAGACAAACTCCCGAACCAGCTATGTCTTCTATGTAATCGGGCTTTCTGCGTCGACCACAAAGGGAAGGAGGACGGTGTCTGTGAGATTAACCATGAGACATACTATCTTAATCATCCTGCGACCCGGGAGTCCTTGTATCGGACGTATGGGGACTGGAAGAAAGATAGCGAGCAGATGATGGCTGATTAGATGTCGGGAAATGAGGGGGAAACAGAAAGCGAGGCCCTGGGTAGGCATGGAAATCTCTAGTTTCTTGGATCGCCAATTTGGTTACAAGACAGTGCAACGTATCCGGATTAGAGTAACTAAGCCACTGTATGAAGACTGATACAGTAATATTGATAGTATTCCGTAAATTACCCCAATATGTATATGGAGTACGAGGTACTGGGCCCGGTATACGGAGAAACAGCAAGGGACCATCCTTCAGCGCCTGAACGGTCAGGCGCCCAAGGGAGCTCCGTATCTTATCGCGTGCGGAGCGAAGACCAACGTCAATTCCCCTCAACACACTTTTGACATGTCCAGTCCATCCATCTACTAACTCCATCCCTGTTGGGCTGAACCGGGTAGATGCAGCAGAATTCGAGAGGCGACACCGAACAGAGCGGTAAGCGCCAATCGATCGGCAAGAGAAAGCTTCCCGATCAAGGAGAGCCATCGCAGCCGCGATCGCAGACCGTCTCCGAGCGTCTCTCCGACAGATACACACCCGAACCTCAGTCTCACAAACGCACCCGCGTATCTTCGTCTCCGCACTTGCCGTCCCCTACAGTCCCACATAAGATGTATCCGATTTCCGGGCCTAGGATTGGCGCGCCTGTTGGCAGGGGCGTGCCCGGCTCAACCGGTTCGGTCAGATCGATGAATGCAAATGCCGGCCAGAACAATTTCACACCATATACCGGGGCGAGGAAGCTGGTTGTCAAGAACCTTCGTGTTGGTCCGAGGCTGGACCAAGAATCATATTTTGATAAGGTGTGGTCACAGTTCGATGCGGCCTTGACGGCGATCTTCGATGGCAAGCAGCCGGAGACTTCGCTCGAGGAACTGTACAAAGGTGGTGAGAATGTATGCCGACAGGATCGGTCTGCGTTGTTGGCGAAGAAGCTTCGTGCTCGGTGTAAAGAGTTCGTGAATGGTCAGATGCGAAAGAACCTGGTCACGAGATCGAAGGGCAGCACCGATGTTGATACATTACGATCTGTGGTTGATGCATGGTCAAACTGGCACTCAAAGCTCGTACGTTATTGGAACGGACTCCTCTCGACGCCTACCGCTGACCAGTTTCGCTCTAGATTACCATCCGATGGATCTTCTATTATCTCGATCAGTCGTTCCTACTGCATTCAAAGGAACATCCAGGGATTCGCGACCTGGGATTGATCCAGTTCCGCGAACACATATTTGCCGACGCCAATCTCAAACCAAAGATCTTGAAGGGCGCCTACGACTTAATCAGTGCTGACCGACTGGGCGATTTCAAAGGAATATGGAACTCCGCTCTGCTCAGAGACGCCATGGATCTCTTCCATAAACTCGATGTCTACGTCAGTGATTTTGAGCCTCTGTTCTTATCTGAGTCCCAGAAGTTTGCCACGAACTGGACCCGAGAGCAATCAGCCGGCTCTCTGGAATCATATGTCGAGGACACTCGCAGCTTGCTTGCGAGTGAAGTAGAGCGCTGCGAAATGTTCGCCTTCAACAGAAACACAAAGATGAAACTTTCTGAACTCTTCGATGAGACCTTGATCTCTCAGCAAGCCAGTCTCTTGACCAATGATGATGATGTCCTCGGTTTGTTACGGGCAGACAAGAAGGCTACGCTGAAGGAGCTCTACATCCTGTTGAACAGACGAGATCTTACCCAAGACTTGAAGTCTGCGTTCCAGAGCTACATCATCCAAGAGGGCGAACGGATTGTGTTTGATCAGGACAAGGAAATCGACATGGTTGTTTATTTGCTTCAATTCAAGCAAAAGTGCGATTCCATTGTGGCCGATTCTTTCGACAACAATGAAGGGCTCCGCATCACTCTTCGCGAAGCCTTTAGCACATTCATGAACCGCGGCAAGAAGATGGAGTCAACTGGTGGCACAGACAACCCCAAGTCCGGTGAGATGATTGCCAAATACGTGGATCGCCTCCTCCGGGGTGGGTACAAATTACCACCAGGTCGCAACCCGGAAGAAGTGAGCCTCGTTTCCGACGACGTAGAGCTCGACCGGCAGCTAGATCAGGTGCTCGACCTCTTCCGGTTTGTGCACGGTAAGAATGTCTTTGAGGCATTTTACAAGAATGACCTTGCTCGCCGCCTCTTGATGAAACGGAGCGCGAGCAGTGACGCAGAGAAGAGCATGCTGGCTCGATTGAAGAATGGTAAGTCCTCGACGGTTTCCTGGCCATTGCTGGAACTAACATCTAGTTAGAATGCGGATCGAACTTCACTCACAACCTCGAGTCCATGTTCAATGATATCGACACTGCCGCCGAAGAAATGGCAGCCTTTAAGAACTCACCAGCGCAAATGGAGAGGAGAAGCTCCTTCGAATTTGATGTCACCGTGCTGTCCGCCGCCGCATGGCCCAGCTACCCCGAAGTTCCGGTGAACGTTCCCCTCAAGATTTCGCGCGCCATGGAAAGATTCGAATCCTTTTATAAATCCAAACACGAAGGGCGCGGTCTCACCTGGAAGCACCAATTGGCTTATTGTCAGCTGAACGCGAATTTCGACTCGGACAAGAAGAACCTGGTAGTCAGCTCATTCCAGGCAATTGTTCTCCTCCTTTTCAATGATCTCGCCGAAGGTGAGAGTCTCGACTACCGGGAAATCAAAAAATTGACCGGGCTTTGTAAGTAACCCTTCACCTGAAACCATCACCCAAATCACCCGTGAAAAGCGTCCCTCCATGCGATCCAAACTAACAAAGCAACAGCGGATCCCGAATTGATTCGCACGCTGCAATCTCTCGCATGCGCCAAGTACCGCATCCTCACCAAAACCCCCAAGGGCAAAGAAGTGAACGAAACCGACACCTTCCGCTATAATGCCGGATTCACCGATAAACAAAAACGGATCAAGATTAATCAGATCCAGCTGAAGGAAACCAAGGAGGAAACCAAGACCACACACGAGCGTGTTGCCGCCGATCGCCATTTTGAAACCCAGGCTGCGATCGTGCGCATAATGAAGAGTCGAAAGACCATCAGCCATCCTACGCTTATTTCGGAGGTGATCACCGCGACCAAACGACTGGGTGCTTTGCAGCCTGCGGATATCAAGGCTAATATTGAGAAGTACGTATTTTCTATTATTGGGATGCCTTGGCTAATTATTTTAGGTTGATCGAGAAGGATTACATTGAGCGCACGGAGGATAACCAGTACAGCTATGTGGCTTGAGTGCCGAGTGCGTGTTATTACTTGTTTGGGATGTGGCTGGATCTAGTCCAGTCGCACATTAACAGAATGTAAATGATTTAGTGATACGATGCACAGGGCAGTACAGTAGATTCAATTGATTCATACATAGTAATACATATAGGGTAGATCAACTTGCCACCCCTGGACATTCTGTTGAGTTAGGACACGATGCATAGATGCACAATTTGCAGGTCGTACGTGTCCCGATATGATACATCCTACCGCGTAGAGCTAAAGTACCTCCGCTAAGTACCCGGATCTGACAGTCCCAACAGGCGTAGATCCTTGTTAGCTTGCTTTTTTTCAGGTCTCATGATAGCTGTGCTCCACTTGGAATTGCGGTATCCCAGTCGGTGGCGATGGCATCAATACTGGCATCATGACTTGTTGGGATCTGAAACAACTCAACAGCTTCTAATCCCTGGATATTTGTTATACAGTGTACGTAGTCGAGGACTCATCTCTACCTATGGACTATTTTGTACTATAATGGATATAGTATTCTAGGACAACCAGGTAGTCATAGGGAAGTAGCACGAAGTATAGACTCTCCCAGTAGCTGCAACTGCCGGCTAACCTGCTCTGTTTTCCGAGTAAGGTGGAACTGCATCGGGTTCACAAAGTACATGCATGTCGAATGTTCTTTAGCGGTCAGCTCATTCGACAGAAACGCCCCTTCTGGTATGCGGTGCCTGGCCGGATATCCCTAGGGGGTAATCCGAACCGCTGATCCAGACCTCACGATGTTCATGTGAGCAGAAAGAAAATTCAAGGGATGGAGGAGTACGAATACAGTAGATTGGTAGAATTAGCCATAAAAGAGACAGTGTCCCGGACTCAAAGCCATTGAACAAGTACCTAGGTGAGTCTGTGCCGGGTCAATACTCGGGATACTCAAAGAAGTAACGGACTGACACGAATAGACTTCCCCTCACTACCCCGGACTGTTCGTGTTCAGGTGATTGACTCGGCCGATTGAGTACTAGATTCTCAGGTTCCAGATTCCCCGATTCTCAGATTCTCCTATATATCGGGACTTTCGCACTTTGAAGTCGAGAACCACTTTTGATCAACGATGCAGAGTGAGTTTCCCCACAGCCGATCCCCGCATCGAGTCTAACCGCAACAGCCAAACATTTCTTTTCCGATCCTAACCACCTGGTCGTCACGGCCTTGAACTCCCTCACTCTCACAAATCCCTCTCTTGCTCTCGACAAACAAAATAAAATTATCTTCCGTCGCCCAGATGCACCCCGCAGAGCAAAGAAGGTCTCCATCGTGACCGGCGGTGGCTCCGGCCATGAACCCGCCTTTGCCGGCTTTGTCGGCCACGGCCTTTGTGATGCCTCGGTCGCGGGGACTATCTTTGCCTCGCCCTCGGCGGAGCAGATCCGTCGTGCCGCGATCGATCGCGTTCCAACTGAAGACGGTGTTTTCATCATTCCGATGAACTATACCGGAGATGTACTGAACTTCGGAATGGCGGCGGAGAAGTCCCGTGCGGCGGGGATCAAGACAGAATTCTTCGCGATCAACGACGATGTGGGCGTGGGCCGTGTCAAGGGTGGCAAGGTCGGTCGTCGTGGTATCGGTGGTGGTGTTTTGATCCTGAAGATGGTTGGCGCTTTGGCCGAAGCTGGGTAAGTTCCAGAGTCTCTATCTTGGAAATCAGTACTAATAAATTACAGCGGCTCATTGGACGACGTCTATGCTTTGGCCCAGCTGGCCAACAAAAACCTGGTCTCTCTCGGCTCCTCGCTGGAGCATGTCCATGTCCCTGGCCGTGGTGTCCCCGAGGAATCCATTCCTCATGGCGAAGTCGAAGTAGGCATGGGCATCCACAACGAGCCAGGCTCTCACCGTACCAAGTTCAACCTCGTTGGCCTGGTGCAGGGGATGCTTCTTCAGCTCCTCGACCATAATGACCCGGACCGCTGCTATGTGACCCGCAAGCCCGAGGACAAGTTCGTCCTGTTGATTAACAACCTCGGTGGCGTGAGTCCGCTCGAGTTGGCTGGCATCACTGATGAAGTCTACCGCCAACTCCGAGCCGACTACGATGTCAACATGGTCCGCGTGATCCAGGGCACATTCCTCACTAGTCTGAATGGACTCGGCTTCAGCATCTCACTGCTGAAGCTTGTCGACCCCGGTTTCGGCGCTGGCAAATCCATGCTCGAGCTCCTCGATGCTCCTGCCGAAGCAGTCGGATGGTCCGCTCCTATCAACACCGAGACCTGGGATAACCGTAACGACGACCCCGTGGAGCTGAAGGACTCCAACCTGGCAGAAGACATCCACAGCAACCTCCAACGTATGTACCCTACACTCTCTCCAAAAAAACCAAGAAACTAACACTCAACACAGTCGACCCCCAAACCATCCAAAAAGTCCTCGGCGCCGGTCTCGAGCGCGTCATCCGCGCCGAACCAGAAGTCACCCGCTACGACACCATCGTCGGCGACGGCGACTGCGGCATCGGACTGAAGCGCGGTGCCGAAGCCATCCTCGCCCTCCTCAACAACACCTCCACCCCACTCACATCCGACCTCCTCGTAACACTCACTCGCATCGTCACCGTCGTCGAAAACGTCATGGACGGCACCTCCGGTGCCATCTACGCCATCTTCCTAAACGCACTTGCCCACGGCCTTCGCGCCCAAGACCCCTCATCCCCCACACCCGTGACCACAGAGATCTGGGCCCAAGCCCTCCGCTCCTCCATCGACGCTCTGGGCAAATACACACCCGCCAAGAAGGGTGATAGAACACTCATTGATGCGCTGGTTCCGTTCATTGAGACGCTCTCTGAGACGGGCGAGGTGAGGGTTGCTGCTGCGGCAGCTCAGCAGGGCACTGAGTCTACGAAGGCTATGAAGGCTAGTTTGGGACGCAGTGTTTATGTTGGTGGGGAGGCGGGTTGGGTCGGTAAGGTTCCTGACCCTGGTGCTCATGGGCTTTCGGAGTTTTTGACTGGTCTTGCTGAGGCGCTTTGATTGCTATGGATCTTGTTTGAGATTGGTTTTGGTGCTTTTTTCATAGCGATGTGTCTGGGTTTTTCTATTAATGATAGTCTTGACCTGGTCTCTGGGTCGAATTTATGATACTTCTCATATTGGTTTTGCTGTTGTGGCTACCCTGGTCTCAAGTTGGTTTGGTCTTCGGTGTATTGTGGTGGTCAGTATTTCAGTCCTGCCCCGGTCAACTGGTGGCACTTAGGGCTTCCAAGGTTTAATTTGACCTTGACATTCAATTCATCCTACGGTACTTTCTTAACACCTTTTTGTATATCCATATCTTTAGGCTCCCTAGGACTTAGACTAGATCTCGAACTCTAAGGCTCAGAGAGCATTAACTTTCCGTCTGCATGTGCTGGCGATTCCGTGACGATGGCAGTTAATGTGCTCGCTTGCAGAAGAATCAGAGCTCGTCCCTTCTCCCAGCCCTGCAGGCTGGAGGAACCATGCTTATCATCGAGTGAGGTTTGACACTCGGTGAGTTTTCCAAGACGTCCAATGCTTTACATAATGCAAGGGGCCATGCTGTTCCACTCCCCCAGGGATATACGATTACATTACGAATGCATCAATTCTTTCCATGAGATCCATTGCTAGCCAGCTTTGCTCCAGGGTGCGCCCAAGGTCCCATCCACTTGAAACAACGGGAGAAGAAGCCCACAGAACGCCGAAGGTTTTTCGGTCCACCCCAGTCGGGAAACAAGTTTAGATGTCCCATCTGCATAAGCGGCCAATTTAAAAGAATCAAAGTCAAACAAGGCAAATGTAGCATTGCATGATCATTTTGGCGGGACCAGGAGCAAGGGAGAAAAGGCGGGTTGAAAAAGAAAAAAAAGGGTATCGAGATCGATTACATGATGACTCGTGGATTTATCTCACGGGTACTTTTCATGGGCCCGAGGTACTGTGGAAGTTTTTTCCCGCAAATTTGATATCCCAGGATCATGTAGCCTAGAATCACGTAGCCTGGGCGGGATGGTATTGTGCGAGGGGAAGAGGAACGAGCTCAGCTGAGCAGAACAAGGATGACAGAGTCGCCGCGCAGGAACCTAATCAAGAAATGTTAGAGATTATCCCGTCAAAATCCGGGTGGGGAAGATCTCTCCGAGGCTGGAGGCACGTACATCTTACTGATGAAGCGATCCTTGTTAACGCCCTTGCCCTTGCCGCCCTTGGGCTTCTCGGTCCACATCTCCTTCACGTTCTCGAGAACCATGTTGCAGTGTCGGTCAAAGGCCTTGACGCGGGCCAACAGCTTGCGGTTGTTACGGCACGAAATCAGGACCTGGGTGTGTGAGCGGGTGGCGGTCTGAAGGAGGGACAGCGGGCCGGCAGTGAGCTCGTGCTCCTCAACAAGAGCGACCTCATATTCCCTACGCGAAATGCGGAATTAGCTTCGTGTCCCCTTTTAGGATCGTCTTGTAATGCGTCGCGCAGCTTGCATGGGAATGTGTTGGGGGGATGTCGGTCGCGAAAAAGTTCCGACATGCGGGCTTCGTGGACAACCCCGCTGATCTGATCAGACCGAAGCGGAGGGGCTTTGATTACTCGCAATGAGTAATCGCATGGGAAGGGATGGAGGGAACGATCTGACGGGCTGGATGACGGATTGGACATACGTGAGCTCGCTCTTGGGCTTGTTGAGGAGATCTCTATTTTGGGTTAGCAAATTGATCTTCCAGTCAGTGAGTCATTGATTAGGTGACATACTGGATCTTTGGGTCAGGAGCTGTAGACATGGTGGATATGAAGAAGGCGTGTTAGTCGAAGATACCATGAGGTCGCAGTGTCTGTCGTATGGAGAGCTCCAGTCACGTGCATCGACACCTGAATCAGAAATTGTGTGTGCCTGAGGACTCGGGCGCCACGGCATCCGTCCCAGCCATTTCCCGAAGTCGCGATTGGTCACGGTCACGTCGCGTCACGCTTGTTTGGAGATCTTTCAGATAGCTACCGCGTATGCAAGGCGTCTCTACTTAACACCCCCCTTCTTCCCACTTCTATCGGTTCGTGCAGAGCTAGTGGAGCATCCATTGCCTTTTTCACTCTAATTGATTTTTGGTAAGAAGCGGTCTATCTCTTTTTCTCTCCTTTAGGGCCTGTGCTTTGCTCCTGCCAGGGCATGTCACTGACTTGCTAACATTCCAGCCCTGCAGAAAACGGCCCCTCCACCTACTCCTGCATAACCACTATTCTCCCGGTCAACGAGATCTCAGATATGTACTGCTGATCGCCGCCATTTGTTCCATTCCGATCCTACCTGAAGACGTGCTCGACGGTTCCAATCAGCTCACCTCCTCGCTCAATTCCCCTCACCAAGTCTTCGATTTTTGCCTGTCGACGACTTGACCCCTCGGTTTCCAGAGCTGGCCCTTAAGCACCTCCTCTCGCCCCTCTCTACCTGCTCAGCACACCTTACCAAGCTTGGTCTATTGACTTGCATGGTGGTCAAGAAATGTCTGATGAGATGGAATCTCAGGACGGTATCGATGTCCGTCCTATGAGGCGTATGTTTCCCACCGTTAGACCCAGACTCACCGAGGGGGAACTAAACACATTTTTGCCCTACAGTCAAGGTTCTCTATACATTCGACAACGAAAATAAAACCAACTGCCTGGCCCGGTGGCCACATGTTCTCGATCTTCAGACCGCCTCATTGGACGAAAACACTACAGTTGGAGTCATTGAGTTGAAGACATGTATTCAGGCCATTGTTTCTGCTAGGTTCGTCTTTTTTCCAACTGAATGAACAGCAGTGACTGATATACTCCAGCCCTGAGCTTGTGGGACAAGTGGGAAAGGATTACACCGTGTACGCTTACGATTATTCCGAGTTCGAAACCCCTCTTGTTGGTCAAGGTATGCTATCATGGGTTCTGGCCAACTCATCTTCAACAGAGTCGTCCTCGTCAAAAACTATGATCACCGGCCGAGTTTGCAAAAGCCCTCTCGGTGGACTTTTTCAAAAAGGCGCCCAAGAGACCCTTGAAGTCAAACTTCGCCTGGTACCAGTCCCAACCGTCTCGCACAACGACTTTGATACGCAATCATGGACCAACTTCGTCCGTCAAAATCCAGCCTTATTGGAACAGAGAAGCCAAAGCGCCAACGACCGTGTTGGCTCTCCCATGAATCAATCCGGAATTGAAAGGTTCCACCAGCTTCTGAGCGAAGGCTCAACGCCCCGAGAGTTTGCTGCTTTCCCTTCGAATTCTTCCGTTCGATCCGCTTCGCCTTCACATTCTTATGCCGCCAGTGGAGTTTCAACGCCAGCTCATTACCAATCCTACAACCACAAGCAGAGCATCCCTCACAGCGATATGATCCGACCTTCATCTAGTGCGTCTATGCGAGATTGCGATAACCAAACACAACTATCCCACAACAACCTTCGGAGAGGCTCAATTCAGTCCGGATATGCCAGTGGAGACGAAGAACTCACGGAAGCCCCGCCCCGAAAGAGAGCCAAGGTGTACCAAGCCAGCTGGCCTGGGAAATCGGGTGCCAACATCGAAAGGCAGCCAAGTTCACTACGAGTTGCAGCTAGCACAGCTGCTTCTGTTCGGATCCACCGCCCTACTCCCGTCAACCCTGCTCTTGCGACAGAGCACTCCCACGAGGAGCCTGTTCGTCCACCTACTCCCATGTCTCGCCCTTCTGATTTCCACCGCCGGAGCCGTCCCACGGCTAGTCTGCTGCGGGAATCATCAACTAACAGTATCAACTCGTGTCCTGACCCATACGCCTCTCCCTATGTCATGAGCGATGACATTCCAACCACAGACGCTGCTGGCCCATCGCCGGAAGATCAACGTTATCAAGGCTTGTTTGAACAGTCCTTCAACATGCCTTCATCACCACCTGTCTTTGATGGCCGACTGCACAACCGATCCAGCCCGGTATTGCCTACTATGACCTTGGACACCGACTCCGGTTTCATGAGTGCAGGGCTGGACGAACTCCTAGGCGACGAAAACCTCGCTTTGGGAGATCGCAGAGCCCAGGCACCCAAAGACCAACGCTCTGTTCGCACTGCTGTCCAGGCTAGCTCCCCTGTCAGCACTGTCAGCACTGCTCGAGGAACATTCCACGATCCAGTGACGATTGGAGAGGCTGGATCCCAGCAGCCTGCGAAAATCGCAGCACCCGCGTTGGCTCGCGCCAACTCTGGACCTTCTGGACCTTGCGCTCCATCCCGCCCGTCTATCGCACCTAGTAGGCGGCCCACTTCGAGCTCTGGTGCACAGCGCCTAGCGCCGAAGCCCCTCGCGCCGGCACCACCTTTCTTGAGTGAACAGAACTCCGAAATCCCAGCCAGTGATCCTATCATGCCTACTGCCTCTATTGAATCTGGACCTCCTGCTGCGCCAGTGGACATCACCTTCCTCCGATGCAAGACGGACAGCTCCAACCCGCAAATGCAGGCCAAGCTACCACCGGCGACAAAGCCAAAGGGAAACTCGAAGCGGTCCAATGGAAGAGCACGTCTTGAAGCTGCGCTTGCCAATGGCCACATTCCACCCTATTGTGAGAACTGCGGCGCAATAGAAACCCCCAGCTGGCGCCGGGCCTGGACAAAGGAAATTGTCGGTGGTGAAGACCTCGCAAAAGAGATGATGCATACTTCTCCGATGCTCCTCTGGGATGCCATGGAGCGCAATGACCAGGGACAGGTTGTCAAGTTTAGGGTCGTGAAGAAGGGCATTGAACTTGACGATGACGCATGGACTCAGCTCCTCCTCTGCAACCCTTGTGGGCTGTGGCTGTACAAGTTCAAGATCATGCGCCCGGAAGCCAAGTGGACCAAGGCGACAGGAGGCCAGAACGGCCAAAAGAGCAAAAAGCGCCCCTCCAAGAATCGCGCCAATGGCCCACTCAATGCCTGCCCTGCATCCAGGACTCGGAGCAAGGCTGTACCCAAGAAGGGGCCCTCTACAACCACAGTAGCAGCTTCTTCTCCGGCATTCACTGATCTATCCTCTGTTCACCCTGAAGGAGATACTCCCCACACGGATGACCATTACGAAGAGGACGAGACCGGTGTCACTCCCGATGATCATTCTCGATTCACCACTGAGGAGCCGCGTGACAGCGAGGAGCCGCACCCGGCGAGTCTGACTCCAGGACGTCGCCATACGAAGATGAACACGGAGCACGCCATTCATCGAGCGGCCAAGTCAAGCCCTGTCAGACGTCCTGAAAATCGCGCCGGTGCAGTCAACACCACTCCCAAGTCCGTGAGAAGGTCACTATTCCAGGAGATCCAGAAAGACGGGCCTCTGAAGGAACTTGATGCCTCTATGGTAAACAGCTGCTCTCCCCGTCGCAGTCCTCGCATTGCCCTGACAAAGGAGGACAAGACCATTCAGAAGCAGAACATCCACAGTGACATCGATGACCTGTTTGAGAGTCCTTCTATCGGCTTCGACTCTACCAGTCCTACTCCTCGTCGTCGCAACCCGCGCATCAACGCAATTGAAAAGCGCGCCGGCATTGGAAACTCCCCAAGCTTCAAGAAGCGCAAGGATCTCGGAATCATGAGTCCAGCCCGTCTGTCCGCAGAGCGCCTGCAGCGCATTCAATCCCTGCACGCACAGTCCCCCCGATCTCAGAAATCGGCCAAGCCTGACGCTGAGTCCGCCGATTTCGAGAACAGCCTTCCTACCAACATCTCCCTCGACGGGATGATGCTTGATATCTTTGACGAAAACGACCACGCCAACTTCGAGCTGGAAAGCTCCAAGTTCGCCGGCGATAACTGGGCCGACTGGCTTCCCAGCGACTATGTCCATTCTACCGATTCACCCGAGGCAGACAATCGCCCGGCCGATGATCTCCTGAAGACCCTTTTCGCCGATGCGGACAAGGACTTCCAATCTTCTCTTCTTCCCTTCAACTTCAACGACGTTGGCATTCCCGACTCTGGATTCTTCAGCTCTGACGCTCTCAATGAGGCTCCCAAGGCGCAGACTGGAACAGAGGCCAATTCTCCTGTTTAATCTTTTTTCCTCTTTGTTTTTCTGCTGTGTTTTTAGCGATGGCGTTCGGTTCTGGGATTTGACTTGTTGCGTGAAGCAACAGTCCTACACTTTACACTTTACAGATTTATGTTTTCTTGTTCAAACTAACGACCCAGCTACCTTGACGGAGCACCATGCCTAAATGGGCGATTCATGTATGTTAACATTGGGCATCTGGTATGGTTGGATATATGATATCCTACTGCTTGAGACCCAGACAGGTCAAATGATGCTGTCGAAGATAAAATAGAGCTAGCCTTTCAAGGTCATCTAGCTTAATCAAATCACATCTATAGATCTTACATTTCTGGCATCTACTGTACCTAGGTATTCTATTTGAAGAAGAAAAACTGTATACTGTGATATCCGCAGCTCATTGATGTGTGACTTGTAAGAACGCAGTACTCCCGAGGGCCTCCAGGGCTCACTTGTTAGATCCGAAATTTCGACGATCGAGATCTGCAGCCACTAGCGATCTCATCGGGCTCATCACATCCCGATTCGGCTGATCGGACACACTATCAGCTGGTGCATATCCTGCAGATCGAGCTTGGCTCAAACCCTAAGATCAATGGATTTGAGACAGCGGAGTACTCTATATGTAGATCACCTCGGGAACTGGAAGTGATGGGTTTGTTTTTTCTTTTTCCCGCAGAAGATGTGCCAGCTGTAGAAAGTATTTATCCCTCTCCATTCCGCTCTTCAGCACCTCAAATCAATCCCATCATGCACATCCTCCCCATTCTTCTCTCCCTCGCGGGTTCAACCATCGCCAACGATGCCATCGTCGGTGGATCCATCGCCAAAGAGGGACAGTTCCCCTACCAAGTCTCTGTCCGAACCTCCTCGTTCATATGTGGTGGAACCATCGTCGACAAAGACCACATCCTCACAGCCGCCCACTGCGTGGACGGCAAGCCCACCGAAAGACTGAAGATCCGAGCAGGCTCACTCAAGCACGCTTCAGGCGGGACAATCGTCCAGGTCGCCAATGTCACGCAGCATCCAGAATGGAACGCAGACACCCTGAAAAACGACATTGCTATTCTGAAGCTGGCCTCGAGTCTGGACTTCGGATCGACCATCGCTGCCGTGGAGCTGCCGGCTTCATCGGATGCTATGCCGGAGACAGGGACGCAATGCTCTGTATCGGGTTGGGGGGCGACTTCGGCTGGAGGTAGCACTCCCTCTAACCTTGAGGTTGCCTACATTGATGTCATCGACCATGCTCAATGCGTGGAGGAGTACAAGAGTGATAATGAGGTCGATGACTCTATGATCTGTGCTGGTGCCGAGGCGGGCGGAAAGGATGCTTGTCAGGGAGATAGCGGTGGTCCGCTTGTGGATGTGAGCACAAAGAAGCAGATCGGAGTTGTTTCGTGGGGATTGGGGTGCGGAAGACACAACCAGCACGGTGTGTATGTGAGCACTGCGGCGTATCTGGATTGGATTAAAGAGACGGTGTCGTCTTGAAGTCTCTGATTATTCCAAGTTGAGAGTTCTCGTCTGGTTTTTGGATCTGACTTTTACGGGTGGAGTTGCCATTCCCGCGGTCCGTGTGGGTGTATCAGGATCTATAGAGAAGATGAGATGTTGGGGAGAGATGGCGAGAGTTACATGATTTCCTATTACGGATTACAAAAGACACATGAATCAAAGAAATAAAATTTGATATTTGGACTTTGAGTAGATCTCAAAAATAGCTATTCACAGTCCGAGGGTCTTCCACCTCTTTGAATTAAATGCTTTGTTGCGCTGCCCCGTCCACCAACAAGACAAAAGTTTTGGTACCGTGAAGACAAAGACACCAACTTGGCACTGCAGACATATCTGTGGTACCCAGCTCGACACCCATGATCCACCGGGGGGCATGTTTCTCCAGGGGAAAGAACGCAAACGACGATTAAACCGCGAGATCAACGAAAGAGAGACGACGGTTGTCGGCGACGGCCTTCTTGATAATTCCGTAGACTTCCTCCACATCATCGAAGTTGTAAATCCCGCAGGACTCACTCTCCAAGTGATTGAAGAGAGAAGCCAGAGTCAAGAAAGTCTTTCCGCAGCGGTTAGGCGCATTGAAGCAATGATATTGACGAGGGCGGTGGACAGGTGACTGGAGGTGGGCCACGAGGCCGATCTCCCGCTTGAAGCGAGCGGGGCAGTGGGTGCAGTGGAACCATTTGCCGATCATCTTAAACTCGATGTTGGTATTGCCGGAGGGTTGAACAACAGGGATGGTGAAAACTTCTTCCTTGTCGAGATTTTTCATGATCTGGTAGATGCTTTCGACGTTGAATCCTGTCGCGTTTTCGCAGCAGTTGGATTCGACATGGTGAATAACGGCCGAAGGGGTTCCAAAGACACTGGGGCAGTATTGGCATTTGTGGACCAAAGCGCGATGCACAGGGGACCTGAGATGCTGCATGTATGTGTGAGTGTCCATTCAGTCATGAAGTGATGTGATAATACATACCATTACCAAGGCCTCCTTCTTTTCGAAATGTTCGCCACATTTTTTGCATCTGAACTGAAAATGACCCGTAGCATCCATGTGGGCGGCAGCATCTTCGTGACTCTCAAAGACCCTTGGGCACATGAAGCATGGAAAACGATAACGGAAATGCTCAGTTTCGGTTTCATGGCGGGCACGGAGGTCCTCCGTCGGGAAGACCGCCTCGCAGGCTCGGCACTTGAGCGGCAGTGTTGGTGGCATTGTCCGCGCAGGTGGGGAAAGAGAAGAAGAGGAGCGCCAGCCGCTCCAACTCAATTCCTGTATTTATAGGTGAGCTTCTGCTGAGGTTTTGGAAAGATTCGTGGGTGGGCGCCAAAGTGTGCAGGTAGGTTTGGAACATCAAAATAACACATACTTCTTTTTCTTGACTGGGAGTCGCTCTCTCAGCCATTTTCCATGATATGAGCCATTTCCAAGGTTTCAAGTGCCAATTATTCAATTACCAGACTCGAGTCAGGCTCTACAGTTTCCTGCGGCGCTCAAAAGTCTTGGGTTGACGGAAATTCAGCCGTATGGACGTTTTCGGATACCCCGTGTCGATGAGGCTCTGCGCTTGGAACCACGGTACCGCGGACCCGCTGACGCGCATTAGCTGCGTCTGGCGCATGGCATTCCCGGGATTTCGGAGACCGTGACGAACACCTATGGGCCGGTGTTGCGGGTTATCTTGGTTGATGCACTTCCCTGAGATGCGTCAATGAACCCGTACATGAACCTCAACAACGCTATCATACCTTGCAAATACCCTGCAAGGATATTTCTTCGCCTCTGAAATGAACTTGAGGCCAGATGCTTCCAACCAGGAGCCCTGGTTGGAACCGCCCATCCCGAGGTCAATGCACTATTTTGAGATGCGTCAGTGAACCAGTACATGAAGCTCGGAAATGCCTTCATACCTTGCACATACACGGCAACAGTGGTTCCGTAGTGCAAAATAGCTCTCTCTATCTCTCGGAAAGACTGATGTATGGCGAACACCTGAGGGCCGGTGTCGCAGGTTGTGTTGGTTGAGGCAACCAGGGACCCTGGTTGGAACCGCCCATCCCGAGGTCAATGCACTATTTTGAGATGCGTCAGTGATCCAGTACCTGAAGCTCGGGAATGCCTTCATACCTTGCACATACACGGCAACGATAGCTCCGTGCCTATGAGTGGGCTCCAGGCAGCTAGATGCGCGGCGAACACATGAGGGCAGATAACGCAGGTCGGCGTGTGTTGTGTTGTGCTGGTTGATGCACTATCCTAGGATGCGTCAGTGATCCTGTACATGAAGCTCGAAACTGCCTTCATACCTTGCAAATACACTGCAAACACTGCAAAGAAATTTATCCGGCTCTGAAAGGAGATCCAGGCTAGATGATTCCAGCCAGGGGCCCTGGTTGGAACCGCCCATCTCGAGGCTGGAACCGCCCATCCCGAGGTTGATTTTGGATATTTGCGATGTGCCTCCCACAGTCGCGTCAAAGCCAACGATCACGCGAAGCCGGCGAAGGTATGGCATCTAAACGACTTTTGATTCAGCAGCGGAACTTGCTGCTTCATCCTGCTGCGAGGTATTCGTGAGCACTGGCTGAATCTGCGCGGCGACCTAACAACAAGAGTCAGCATGCAGCTTGAGATCCACATGGTGTGAACAGACATTTGACTGTCTAGCCTGCTGCAAGTCTGAGAACCATGTTGAAGGCCTCTACTTGATGTTCTGACGCTGCAAAATCAACAGATGCAGGGGATGTTGAAGAGAAAAAGACCCGAGAGGTTCACTTTGAGAATTAGAGTACTCCCATGGAGCGGTGAGGAGCGCCACCGACCCACTTTTCCCCACGTGTGTGGCGCACGGGCCGTCGAAGTGGGCCCTCTCGTCCCAACTCAGCAGTACACCGCCTTCACTTAAAGCTGAATTGAGCGTTGGGGCTTCGTCTGCTGGAAAGGCCTTGCGCTATTGCCGCATCTGTTGGCATACAGGGACCTTAGTCCATCCTATTGGCGTTGTTCTAGCCCAGTCATGCTAGAAACGCCTGGGATCACATCCCAGAAGCATACCGGGACGTTCCCGAGGCCAGAGAGTGGAACTACATGGATACTTATGTACAGTACTCTTGGAGAAGGCTCGGCCAATCTACTGGGAAATCGCCAGACGAATGACAAGCTTTCATTCATAATGAGACGGAGAAATTTGGGTGAACAGTGTTCTCAGACTCAAGGCCCCAAGACCAACTAGGGCTCGACACAAGCTCGATAATCATCCAGCAGGATTGGCTGGTTTGCACGAACTCGTCGATAGCTGTCAAGACTACAGCAGCAGTTACACAGTCCACAGGCTGTTTGCCGTCCAGAGACGAAGACAGTCCGACTGGGAACCTTGGAAAGTGCTCTAGGAAAGGTTCAAGGCTCAAGAAATCGGTTCGCGTAGGAACCATATACGATGGACAGTTACCTAGTGTATTGGAGAAACAGGATCAGTATGTAGCCTGCGTCGTAGGGGTATTTCAGGTCCCAGGACTACCGTCGGAGGCAACCAAGCAATTGACACGCTCCCGATGTCTTTGATGGATCGCCTTCTATTTCTTATTGTGGCGCCGTACATAGGTAGGTAGGCAAGATTTGTCGTCCACCACTGGGCACTTCTCAAGGATAATATTCTCCCCATCATCCTGTTTGCTTCGTCAAACCGCCGTCCCGCTATTTCTACCTACCTATGTAGGTAGGTATCTAGGTACCTAGGTAACTACTCCGTAGGCATCAAGACTTCAGTATCGGTTACATAGTATATCAGACGAATGCCGCGCTTATGTCCGAGCAATTTCCCGTCCAGAACATACCTAGGTATGTATCTCTACTCCGTCCTTTCATCACTCTTTACGACTCCATTGAGATGGCGAGATTACATCGGAGAAGAAAAAGTCAACAGTGAAAGCCCAACAGACATGGATTAATATTGGGTATGTAATTGAATCACTCAACACTGTAGAAAATGCCCACGCAGTGATGTGTGGCATTAACAGCCTGCTCATAGATACTGTAATCTAGATCGGGCCATTAGCTCAGGTATCATACATGACAGTAGAAGGATGAAACTCACTACAATCAGCTGGGTTGCCCCAATCAACACAACCAAGAACACGAAGTCCAAAGCCCGGCTAGGAGCCCCATGTTAGCAAGCGGATTTGTCTGAAACCGGAGCTAATGCTCAATCATACCTGTCCGTTCTCCAGTTCTGACACCTTTCCAATAACTTCGAATAGCTTTCCAACCTGCAATCGCCCTTCCGATTTCAGCATCAGTGGGACATCTCCGTTGTTGCCGCAAGTGAGCGTTCCATTGGCTCCGTTCAGCGCGGTCACGGTGCCGAGGATACGGACGGTGTATGAGGTGTGTGGTCCGGCTTGAGAGGGGTGGAAGGCGGGGAGATGCTGGGGTAGGATACGGGGGGTCTGGATGGTTGACATGGTGGATAGATGCTCGTGACTTCGTGAGGCTGTGGTTGATAGTCGAGTGGTGAACCTTGACGAGGCCTGATATCAGTGGGGAGCGCGCGCGGGAAACGCGTGATCACGTGGTGATTATGGAAATAGTATGCGAATGGCGACGATGCTGGCGTACACATTATAATGCGGTTCTGGTTGACAAGTCTTGGACGTATAATTAATACGACTGTGTCAAGCCTGTCGGAGCCATGGCATACACGACACATATATCTCAGTCTGGACAGTGAGCTCGTACGTGGAAAGCTTCATGATCACGTGACCCCTGTCAGTCCGCAAAAGCTCAATCCGAGATGATATCAGCACCACATCCAGCCACCGAGGATTTTCTGGCAAGACCCCGGCGACCAATTGCACCACCTGTCACCGTGTGCGCTCGCCAGCTCTGCTAATTCGCAACCTCGATCCCTTCCACTGAGCCAGAATGCCTCCACCGCTCCCCTCCCACCACCGGGGGATGACCAAGAATCCCGTCAAGCCCGGTCGGCATCGTCCTGGAAAGGCAGTACCTGAAGAAGAATCATCAGAAGAAGAGGAGGAAGACGACGAAGAGGCACAAAAAGAAGAAGAGCGGCGCAAACGGATTGAGGCGCAGCGCCGGCGACAGCAAGCACCTAAAGCCAGTTCATTTCCCGCTGCAGCAGTAGCGCAGGCGGAGGATGATGACGAAGAAGGGTTCGTCACAGACGAAGATGAAGATGCGCCCGCACCTGCGCCGAAAGCTACGCCATCTACGGATAAGTCAGAACCCGCAGTAAAACCTTCGCCTGTGCCCGCGCCCGCGGCCGAGAGGGCGGAAGAAGAGGAGGAGGAAGAGGAGGAAGAGGAAAGTTCCGAAGAAGAGAGCAGTTCTGAAGATGAAGCACCACGCCGAATGCTCATCCGACCAACCTTTATCAAGAAAGACAAGCGCACGACCCAAGAGTCTGCAGGCCAGACGCAAGCACAGATCGACGCAGAGGCAGCAGCTGAAGAAGCCAAGCGCGCAGCCCAACGACAAGAAAAAGCCGATAACCTCATCCGCGACCAACTCGAAAAAGAAGCCATTGCACGCTCGACGGCGAATCGAGCCTGGGATGATGACGAGCTCGTCGAAGCCGACGAAGAAGAAGCAATCGACGACACAGACGGTCTGGACGCAGAGGCCGAGCTGGCGGCGTGGAAACTACGTGAGCTGAAACGCGTCAAGCGCGAGCGTGAAGCCATTGAAGAAACCGAGAAAGAGCGCGAAGAAATCGAGCGTCGTCGGAACCTCACTGCCGAAGAGCGGGAGCGCGAAGATAGCGAGTTCATCGCGAAACAGAAGGAAGATCGAGACGCGACCCGTGGCCAGACGGGATTCATGCAGCGCTATTTCCACAAGGGTGCTTTCTTCCGCGGAGATCTTGAGGCCGAAGGCCTTGATCGGCGAGAGCTTATGGGCGCCCGATTCGAGGACGACGTCAATCGCGATACATTGCCTCAGTACATGCAGGTTCGGGATATGACGAAGTTGGGCAAGAAGGGACGCACCCGGTACAGGGATTTGAAGACGGAGGATACGGGCCGCTTCGGTGATGGGTTGGATAATAGGAGACGTCGCGATGGTCCGCCGCAGGGCGTTACGGATGAGCGCTTCATGCCGGATCGTCCTGGTGATGATCGGGATAGCGGACCTACGGGTGCGAATGCCAGTGTTGTGAGATCTCGGCGGCGGTCGAGGTCGCGATCACCCCGGCGGGACCGAGATGATCGGGACAAGGGTCGGGATCGAAGTCGGTCTCGGGAGCGCAGGAAACGAAGTCCATCGCCGTATGAGGATCGGGAGAAGCGTCGGCGCACGGGTTCATGATCCTAACGGACAGGCAATCCTGATATCTTGGTCTTGCGTTGGTGCTTGGATCCCATTTACAAGCAGAGATTCTGCATGCGATATCTGCCTGATCTACCCTTTCTAGTCCTTGGATGGCTCGGGGTATGTACAAGTACGTAAAAGCACATCCCTCTCCTGGAGGAATCATATTGTCATATCTGGACAACGGAGTTTTGTACATAAGAACACACATGGATTCAAGAGCCAACAGACCAAAAATCATGTGCTTGCATCAATTCGTAAAAAGCACAGGGCCATAATGCAATCACCAGAGCCCCGATTGAAAAGCATCCCCCAAGCTCAAACGCCGAACGCCACAGATCTATGAATTATTTATTTGACACCGGATCTCTCCAACACCTTCTCCCGCTCCATGACCGCATCTCCGAACCGGACCAGGAACACTGTGCGACTGGGCCAGAGATCCGTAGGCTGGTTGTGAGCAGAGACCTTGGTCTCGAAACCACATCCGTCACAGACACCCTCGATGATCCCGGCGACGAAGGCCGCACAGTTGAGCATGCTCATTTCCCGCGGCACGCTGATATACGTGTTGACCAGCGGGTCGTTGTCGGTAATCATGTACTCGTTTGGAGTGTCCGGAGAGACGGAGTGTTCGAGGGCGTCTGCGGCACGACCGAACAGGAGGCGCCAGAGAGGTCCATGGATCAGGTGGAGCAGGGTGATGATGCGGAGGGGACGGTTCGGGGGTGATGATGAGGTTGAGGAGCTTGAGAGAGCGGAGGAGGATGTCGATGTTGAGCGGTAGAATAGGAGATCGAGGAGGCGAAGGCCGAGAGGGTAGCCTTGTTCATTTAGACTGGGTTGTTGTTAGTATCACGATGAATCGGTGTCCTTGATTGCGGGACTGAGTTCGCAGGGTCTCACCGTTTCTCCAGATCTTGAATGCCCGTCACCCTCCGCTGGGCATATGTAACCATCTCTCCGAAGAGAAAGGCAAAGCTTGCCCGGCTGGACTCTGCATTGCGGCTGCGATTCAGGTGTCGGTCGTAGATGGTCTTGCGATTCGAGGGCACACGCAGCCCGGGGGATTGTGGCAGTGTGCCCTGCTGGGATTGAGCTTGGGTTTGCGCTGGCTTGTCCCCATTGCTGATGGACAGCATGGTCGCATGTCGAGGTGGCGCCGCCATGGTTGGATGTTCGAGGTTCCCCAAGCTTCACAGGAGGGAGATGCTCAGGGTGGATACGGCGGAGCACATCCGCCTCGAGTGCAGGATTCAAGTTGGGTTAACGAGTACGTTGGATTACAAGTCTGATGACAATTAAAGAACTACAAGATGGTGTACAAGGAGACTGGTTGTTGGAGGTTTTCAAATATATTTGTATTGAGAGACTGAATCTGCAGATAAACTAAATCCATTCCACACTGCCGAAACGCCAGCGACAACCAGCCCATCACGATAGCCATAGCAGCTTGATCCAGGCTAAGTTGTCGACTGCAGCGAGTCTTGGTGTAGGAATGTGGATATTGCGATATGAACCTGTTCTGAGAGACAATTAGCAACCGTCTCGACTGCAACGTTGAGTGAAAAAAGATTTTCAAATAAGAACAGCCAAATGTTCTCAGACATCCAAGGAAGATATTCCGCTCAGCGTCACCTTGATTGGGTTCAAGCGATGACTAGCGTGGAAACTGCGAATGTAGGAAAAGTTTTCATCATCGAACGGCGTGCGCCGATGGCTGAACTTGAAAAGAAAAAGCAGACAAAGAACGTACCGAGTTAGTGAGTGAGTTATTCACCGGTTTTATAGAAAACCACTGAGAAATGCCAGCATTAAGACACACTCAGTGGTGGTTGAGGAAGATGAAGAAGAAAAAGTTTTCGGGCCGGACGACGGCCTTTTATAGCCCGAGCGGAGCTGCCCCGGAAACCGTGACCCATCGTGTTAGCGAAAAAATCAACATTTCCAAGTGGATAGCTTTTCTGTTTTTCTGCGAGCTATGGACACTACTCGAATCTACTAGATCGTCTGGTCTCAGAAGTACTATAGCAGTACCTAAATTGGACTCCTTAGATGTGGTTCAAGATGATTAGATCCAATGTTCCAGCCCAACTACGGGCTCCTGGAGCTACTTGAAGCTCTTTTGCTTCTGTCGCGAATTCCAATTTAATGTCTTGGAGATGCTGTGCACCCACCCCTCCCCTTGCCCCCCAGGGGGCAAGACATTGGCAAAGGGATACCGGGATGCCGACACAGTCACATAGTCGCCGGGATGTAACTCAACCCTGGAATAACGGTTAATGGGAGTGTAAAGGTGGAAACATATATGAACATACCTCTCGCGGCCATCAAAGCTAGCCCAGGAGCTAGTGCGTGCATCATATGGCACACCCATCCGCAGAACGATGGTGTCGGGTAGAATAATCGGCCGGAATGAGAGTGTATGGGCACATATAGCAGTAACGAGGATGACAGGGTTCTCCGGATGTGAAAGCGATCCGCCTGCCGCGAGGTTGTAAGCCGTGGAGCCAGTTGGAGTCGCGATACAGATTCCATCGGCCAGCAGCGTAGTGAAATGCTCGTCATCTCCGAAGAGCTCAATTTGGGACATCGCTGGCCAGGGTTAGCAGTCTGATATCAGGTGGCATAACTGAAAGCAAGTATCTTACTTGGGTTGGGCCCTCGGTCAAGCACAACATCGTTCAATATCTCGTACACCCGGTCTGGTGTATGCGTCAATGTATCCTCTCCTTCCTCTCCAATGAGTTCCTCTACCAGGTCGCGATCGGCCAACGTTCTCGGATCGGGATCTTTCGAACGCGCCTTGCTTCTCATTATCGTGCATTCAAATCGTAACCGAAGACTGACGACCACACCGTCCCGCAGCGCATTCTCCAGCGATTTTTGATAGTCCGCGAAATCGAAGTTCGTCAAGAAGCCCAATGAGCCTAGAGCGAAAGACAGAACGGGTGGCACAATCCTCTGGAAGAGCCAGCTGGTATATAGAACTGTGCCGTCGCCGCCCAGCGTGATGACAAAGTCGAAGAGGTGAGGCTGCTGCTGCGCAAGTTTGGGGTCCCAGTACTTCAGCCGGCCTTCGGCGGAGGGCTCGTCTTGGACTAATTGAATCGCCCCAAAGTCCGGATGGGTCTCGAGTCGCCGCTCCACGTATACCACGTACTGGGAGTCGCGGTCCTTGGAGAGGAGCCACCTCGTTACCTTGCGCGTGAGGCTGACGAGTGATTCGTCCTGCGCCTTGCAGACCACGAAGACGTTCTTAACTGTGAGCTTGAGTTTGATGCTCCCAAGCTTCTTGGAGAGTTTCCGCACGTTCCAGGCCATGTCGGACAGTTGTCTCTTGGTCAGGTGTCGGGATTGAATGATGGTGGGGGTCGGCTTGCGGGTGCCTTTGTTGTCGCCATCCACCACGGAGACCAGGTCGTCTGGGTGTGCCGCGGCTGGGTCGGATGTGGGTGGTTCATTCTCGTCGTCTTTTAATGTGCGGATCACCTCTTCGGTGTCCTTGAGATTGTGAGGGGGTGTGGTCCATTCGCTCGCGATGAGGGAGTGAACATAGCAGGCGGTCGTCTTGTCGTCCTGGGCGGGGTGAGGTCGGACTCTGGGTTTATCCATCGTCACGAGAGAAGACTTGCGGCGGTGATTTGAGTCCGGGTAGAAGACTACCTGCTCCGATGCGATTAGCTCAAGACCATGATCGGAGTGAAGCAATGTACCTCCAGATGGTTCTGACCCTCGGTGTCGCTGGCCCCTCCGGCCCCATCATAGCCCTATGAATTGATCAGCCCCGGCTGCGCCTTCGCCTGATGGTCACGTACATCATCAACAGACTTGTCCATCGCTGGGATACCGAAGATGTTGGTGGGATGAAAAGAAAGTGGGTATGACGTCGGTCCCGGAAGAATCCAACTTCATTGTCTCCGCTTTGGCTGGGGGATTTCGATGATCTACACTTTACAGTTCTTCTTTTTTAAGATTATCTCTTGGCGAATTGGCCCCATTTTCGTGATCCTCCGTGAGAACGGGAGATCTACGGGAATGTGCACCTTTTGGCTCTAGGATTAATTTTACATAGAGTTCTTCATCTCCCGCAGCGCTGCCATCACTTCCACCGGGTCGGTCTTGCCAGTGACCTTGTGAATCTCGGGGTCCTAGATAGTGCGCATGAGCACAAGATATGGAAATAACGTACAAGGCACTTACATTGACACGCATGAACACATTGTGGAGCTAGATTCGGTTAGCTTCGTTCGTATAAAACCTGGGCTGCAGGCTAACCTTCTCATCACCAATGGTGAATTTGCCTTGGGTCTCCTGGTTCTGCTCGGCAAAAGCCTGGAGCTTCTTGATCGGCTCAGTCTGCGAAACAGCAATACAGAACTTGACATTGGCCTTGGTGTATTCGTGTCCAGGCTGGAAAAAGTCGGTGTAAGTAATGTGATTGATCGAGGTAGGGAAGAACATACGTAAACCTTGGTGTCGTCAGGCAAAGCTGCAAGGGTTTCGTTCAAAGCCGTGTGCATCTCTTGTGCGTTGCCCTCGAAGAATCGGCCACATCCTGGCCCGGTAATCAGTTCATGTTTCTCGCCCGTTGCGATACCGCGATGGAGCGATGGACATACCGCCGATGAAAAGGGTGTCACCGGTGAACACAACGCGCTGATCCCCGTCTTGCATATAGAAGCAAATGCTGTCTTGTGTGTGGCAAGGGGTGTACAGAGCCTTGACAGAGATCCGGTCTCCAATCTTGAATGTTTCCCCATTCGCTGGGGTTTTGGTAACAGACGCGCAGTCCTTGCCACCGATGACCTGGAGGCCCTTGAACTGGCTCAACTGGAGTGTATGTCAGTACTTGTCAGACAAGCAGGCCGGAGGATCAAACATACAATATCATCATTGCCGCCAGCATGATCCCAGTGGCTTTGGAACGATGTTAGCCAGGCTCTAGCCGTGGGTTCCGTGGACATACTGGTGAGTGTTCACAATAGCTGTCAAATCAATCTTGCTAGCATCAATCTGTGACTTCAGCACTGGTGCAACCCTATCATTCCACGAAGTCAGCACTGTCACCACTGTGCACCCTACTTGGAATGTGTTTCCCATCCCAACAACTCACTCTGGGGGATTAGCAGGATCAATGATCACAGACTGCTTGGTCGGCTCATCGGTCACTAGGTAGGCATAGTTGTTGCCCTTCCCCGTCCCTGTTGAATCCCCATATCAGCCAATGTTCCAATCTCAAATGCGGCTTTGATCGGCATATGCGTGAACAAGCTGGCGGTCGACCTACACATAGGAATCGATTGGATATGCATGGCTCTGGCTTGAGATCTGAGTAAACGGGAGCTGTTTCCGAGTATTTGCGTCCTGAGAAAATTCATTACTCCAAGACAATGCGGGGAGCTCTTGATGGCTGCTCGCTGTTGATTACCAACGTCATCCGGAGGAACCTTTTTCCAGCTGCTCTGACAGCGTTTAGTAATGAGGTTGTATCTGATTGGTCGCTCAATTGAAGATCGAATGTCGTAAAGCTCTCGCTGCCAGCAGCATGTTCATTTTGTGGTCTATAGAATCTAATTACTTGCAACCACCCCCAAAGGCCGACTATCCCATTGCTCTAACAGACCCCATCCGTGGGCCAGTAGTTTTTCCGAGAGCTGAGAGGTAGTGCCTTGCGATTGCGGTCGAGTTTGAGGTTTGGAGACTCGAGTCTGGCCAGATCGAGCGACGGGTACTGCCGACATTTTGCCAGCCTGCTTCTTCACCTCCGCAGCCAGCAATGTGGTCCAGTGATGCGGGCTCTCGTCACAGGCTTGAAGGACGTAGCTGTGGGGACACGATTGCCTGTGGAATTCCCAAGCCGTGGACGTGAGAATGTGAACGAGCCACAGGTACAGAGCTTCTGAGTGCGGATTGGTAGAAGCATCCTTGGTATTGAAGGCTAGATCATTAACCATATCCTCTGTGAGATGTCTTAAAAAGGAAGGATGACTCTCAGCAACCTTGAGCAGCACAGTACTCCACTCTTTGAGAACATCATTCAACGGATCTCCAAGTCTGTGAAAGCAAGAAAAAAAGCATTAGCGTGTACTCCCCGATAAACACACCCCTGACTCAACAGCCGAGACACAACCAGAAAGGGTACTCACGTCCGTCCCGCAGGCACCAACACCTCCTGCTCGAGCAAAACACCCGGTAACAGCCTGATACCGGGCGCCGAAGCATTGCAGATCGAAACCAGCCGCATAGCCACCGAGATGGCACGATCATACTTCCGCTTCTTGGACACCGGTTCCGCCGATCCGCCGACTAGAGGCTGCAAAGCGTCGCACAAAGCCGCCCTTACAGATACACTGTCATCATGGGCGAATGCAGGTGTAGCACCAGGCTCGTCGCAAATCTCGGCCCAGAAATTATCCCAGAGCCATTCCAGAGACCGCTGTGCTGCTTTGCGCAGTACCACCAGCGACGGGGGCTCACGGTGGGTTGCTTCGTGGCGGAGTTCCACGAAAGAAGCCGGGAGACCTAGGTCTGTAGCGCGTTGGAACATTGTTCGCCGTACGCCGTGGATTTTGGTATCCACCAGACCGGTTACAAAGCTGGGGGGAAGTTAGTTATGGTTGGGAATGTGGATTGACACGACGCAATTCGCCCCCAGAGACCGTTGATCAAAAGTCTAGGGTGGACAAGTGACTCACCGACAAAAGGCAGCAGAGTATGTTGCCCGAATAGAGAAGATGGAATTCCTCTGTGCATCATCATGCAAAATGGCGTCCGTCAATAACGCGGTAGCCTCAACATGGTGCGGTACATTGCCGCGCAACTTCCAGGCTTCGACCTTTTCCCAAACAGAATTAGCAAAAAGACCGTCGTACTAGAAGAGATTTCATATCCCATACCACTGCGCAACCGTGAGATCGCAGGTCTGGCCCGGCGTAGGTAGGCGGAGGATAGAATTCGTTCCGCACCTCCACCAACTGGGCCTTGGTCTTCCAGGCTGTGAAGATGACCTTGGCCATTTCCGGTAAGTTTGAGAAGCAGCAAATCAGAGATCTACTTCACTGGCTAATGCGACTTCGATCAACCTTGCGCCGTGCGAAAAGAATTTCGGGCGATGGTTGTTCCATTGGGTGAGTTTTGCCGACGCATATTTGCGTGGCCAATCAGCGCAGAGGGTTTTAGACTTCCACCTCCGCGTCTCACTTTAGTTATCGTGGACATCTTTGCACTTTAACTCTTTCCGGAGTAGGTAACTACGGTTTAAAAGCTTGGAAGTAGTAATCTTTAAAGTTGATTGTATTGTATTGATATGCTGAGTACACCTGTGTGTACTCCGTGAGTAGTTAATGCTTGCAGTTGTTCCAAGGGTATCGTTCCGTTGTATCCGACGCCGAGCCAAAAGAAAAAAAAAATAAACGCCACGCTATGCCGCTAGGAATGAGTTACAAAAAGTCAAAAAGGCTGAAACCAGTCAGTCGGGGCAATCATCTTAGATCCACCCGTAACCGTAGTTCATGCAAGGTTGGTTCAGGCTCGGAAAAGGTTGCGCAGTCGGCTGTTGATCTTCATCTTGGTCGAAAAAGAAAGACCGCTGAAGCATGTTTAAGGTTTGCTTCGATTGCTTGGGGAAGAAGCTCGATTGGGCCATCGGCACAGGCTCCTCGCGGATTGGCGGAGATGGCTGGTCTTCGCATTCGTCGTCGTCTTCGCCTTCGGCATCCTTGTCTTCGTCGGAGGGAGTAAAAGTCTCTTCCAGTTTGAGACCGGTGCCTGGCTTGCTTTGCGGGGCCTTGGCTAATGTTCCGTTTGGTTGGTTGTAGAGACCCATTCCGACTAGTTCTTCTTCGGCCTTGCTAGACTTCTTGGCTTCGACGGGCGACTGGAAGTGATCTTCGAATTGTTGAATAGGAAGGAAGTCCGGGGTGGATGGGCCGCTCATTTCGCCTGGTGAAGGCACATTGACGTAGCTGGGGCAGTTTTGTTCGGGTGGCGGGATGTTAGTGCCCATAGAAAGCATTTCCATGGACCAGTTGTCGGAAGCCGGGTTCATCGCTGCGAAATCGGGCATGGCGACATCCCAACCCATCGGCTCAACATGCGAGCCAGCCATGGACAGCGCCGGGGTTTGTTGCGGCAGTGGCAAGTCTTCTTGCATCTCCGAGTAGACAGGGAAGTAGTCGTTGGGTGAGAAGGTCGAGTCGGCCGTCATGGGGTACATCATCTCGTCACCGCCGTATACACTTTGGGGCAGGTATTGCCCAGCAGGGCCCATCCCATAACTCTCTTGGTTGAAACCGGGATAGCATTGCGGATTTGACAGACCCCGAGTTCTGGCCGAAGAAGGATGCCAGCTAATCGGGCGTGAGTTCCGCGAGGCTGAGGCGAAGAGAGCCTGTTCCAGGGAGGACTGGTATTGCGAGGGCATGGCCTGCATCACCTGTTGGTTCACGGTGGATCGTCTTCTCATGGTCGATGAAGGACTGTTGCCCGCACTACGAGGCTTCACGATCCGGGAATGTCTCGGCCGAGGGAAAGCACGGACCAGATCCTGCATGGTGGGTTGACTATGAGCTGGAGTGGCCTGGAGCCATTGAGAGCCAGTTGAGTAAGGCTGTGAGTGCTGATAATGGGCCATATAAACTTATATGGGTAGAGTGGTGGGAGGAAGAAAAGTAGACTGAGGGGGTTTAGTAGGGTTTATAGTGGGGAAGAAAGAGGATGCTTACGGTGATCACAGGTAGAAGGGCTGTTCCGCAGGAACTGCAACTAAAGGGTATTTAATTCCAGTGAAGATCAGGCAAGGTCGACCGACCTTATAAGAAGGGAATCCAGGGAGCCCTGACGATCTACCACCCGCCCCAGCTCCACGATTCCACCGCACATGCTAAGATGACACGACGTTGACACTAACGAAATGAGCCTAGACACAAATAAAGGGCTCCCTGGAACCGAATCCAAGGAAAGCAAATAAGAAACAAATCAACAGGGATCGGACCTGTGGGAACATGGAACATGGAACATAAGCTTAAGAAAAGTACTTTACAGTATTTACTATACATAGTAGGCGCCATTAGTGCCATCTGACACGGGCCTTGGTATTTTTGGTGTACAGTTACCCCAACGGTGCTAGTCTTTCATTTATTAAAAGAGGAAAAAAAAGGAAAAATCTGATCCAACAGGAACAGGCTTAACCGCTGGAATGCTGGTTTGACCCGCGATCCGACCCGATCTGCGGCCAATACAGCAAGAATGTCACTTGACGCTCATCTAGCGGTTACGCAAGGGTTACAATGTGATGGGATGCACTTTTGCAGGGGATGAGAGCCCAGGTGGACCATTCCCAATCGGTGCTAGGGAATCTTGGGTTCTTTGTACCGTGCATCGGCATTTCTGTTCGGGCTTCACTGGGCTGTACATACATATACTAGTACAGTATAGTATATTATTATTATTAAAGGGTTTGCATGCACAGAGTGGCATTGTAGGAGTTGGAAAATGTTCCGACCCACGTCATATCCGCAGGATTCGTACATCTGAGGGGAACGAATGGGTCTAATCACCGTAGCGTCTCGATCCGAGTCACCGTTGGTGGACCTTGTTTCGTCGAGGCCTCAAAGCGGGAAGCTCGGCTATCCCAAGCGTTGAACCCGCGTGGAGCTATTCAGATTAAAGCGAATTAGTGACGTTGGTAGTCCACTCTGTGTCACGGCCATTCACAACGTGGCCGGATCTGATCGTGCTGCCAAAGCCAAAAACAGTCCAATCCCCGGGTTCAGGGGCGAGTTCGTACATACTACTAGTACTGTACTGGTACTATCCTACGATGATTTGCTAATTTTATTTTAATTGACCCGTGGACAGGTTAGTACAGTACGCCAACTACCATCTGAGTATACTCCCGTCCATTATACTCAGTGCTCTATTAGTACTATAGTACTGTACTAGTATAAGAGATAGAGCACTATGTACAAGTAGTATACATACAGAGTACAGTCTGCAAAACACGGCAGACCGGAATGCATTTGCGGGCCCACTTCCCAAACGAAAAGTGCAAAATTTCCAGAACCGGTTTCTGATTTGGCCAAGGGCCCTGGTGGAACTGCCGATCTTGAGAATGCACTGGGCACACCGTAACAGTGGGTTCAGGTTCCAGCCCGGTCTGATCCCTTCACGGTCATATCCGTTGGGTTCACTTGAACCTTGGAACAAGCATATAGTACTGACAGTACTCCGTAGTACTAGTCGACAGGCTACTATAAACTACTAGCACCTCGCCTTATCCTCCCTGTTCTCGCAGCCGGGCTCTGTCCGAGACCAGACTGGATCGGGCCTGATCAGCTCACAGGAGCCTCGTTGGTCCACTCCTTAACCTCCGAAACGGCCTATGATATCCACTAGCGAAAAGGTGGATGAACTCTCACCGTCCCCACTCATTGGATTGAATTTGGGCGGAGCCGATCAGCTTCCCTCGTCCTTCCAGACGTTCCAAAGTCGGGGTTTCTGATTGCCCGGTTCTCAATGCAGCGGGACCTGCGGGCTAAATCAATTTGGCTTGCCTTAGCGCCATGTCATCAGCCCCTTACGGTGTAGACCTGTTCTGGCCTTAGTCCCCGTGCGTCTTGGGAAGGAAACTCTCCTTCTGGGAGAAGATTAGATGACTGGACTCCATGCACTAGTACTATCCTGTCCATAGTACTATACTGCAGTCACAAAGCAGACAAAGAAATGGTCGGCTGATGCCAAGGGTTCCAGTTGGTGGGCAAGCCCCTCTCGACGATCGTTGGGGATTATCCTCCGACACAGCCCAGCGTCTGTACATTGACATCGCCCCGCGAATCAGCTCCCGATTCCAAGCTCCAGGCCTCGCAAGGGCCTTGTGACACAACGGTCTCTACATCCAACACGTAGAAACGGACCGGCCAATTAACCCAGCCCAGATGCATGCACGATGAAAGCTGCAGCCTCACGGTTAGATTTCGTCATCACCTCGAACTATATTCAGATTCAACGATCCAAAGATCCGTGCTGAACTGCAGGCTGCCATCCTCGGGTACGTTGGCGCCCGACGCCACAGTCCAGGTGGCTCACTGATTTCTGGTGTCCTTACTGTATAGTACGTACGGAGTACCCTGTTGATTCCGTTTCCCGTTCTCCGTTCTCCGTACTAGTACGAAGTGCTGGAGTACTGTACCCATACACCAGGAGTAACTCCAGCCAACATGCCAATTTTGGGGACCCCTAGTCTACTCTATTGAAACCTTCTCCAAATCTGCAATCTACCTGCGACCTGTTTTTCGTTTCTCGGTGCTTAACCGTCTCAGGATCCGCTGACATGGCCCCTGCACTGTCCTCCAAGCGCTGATCTCCACCATCGGCCGATCCTGGCCCCAATCCGGTAAACTCAAAGATCATAAATGAGTTGATCCTCTGCTGCAGGGGCCGATCCTGAGACCTCGTATCCGTTGGGCTCGTATAGTGTGTTTTCGCCCCATGGACTTGATTGTGGCACTATTTATACCCGTAATCGAGGCCAGCAGTCGCACAAAGGAACCAACTGCGGGTGTCGCCAGAAGAGGTCCGGTGCAGCCCACAGGGGTATCTGCGTGCGAACAGCTGCAGTCAGACACTCTGTGACCCATTCTTTGACTTTGACCCCTACACCACCTAGCCCTGTAAGCCTAGCCCACAAGTGCGGAGTACTGTAGGGATCCAAGGCCTAAACGGCAAAACAAGACATCTCCACTCCGACACCAGACCCGCGAGACCAGCCGCGCCACTAGGCGCAAATAGGAAGTGTAATTGCCTTCGCGACACATGCCGAGCTCCGATTCGACTTGGCCTTCACCGTGTGTTCAGATGTGATATACTATCCGTCCTACATACTAGCCCGGAGTGCGAATTACTCGTACTATGCGACTCCTCACACCCTTAATATGCACTGATGCATGGTATGACAAAATGCGAGGGTTCTATCTTTCCCTTGCGACGGAGTACATACAGCCTGCAGCACATACCTCCGGACACTCTAAACATGTTTAAAAAAAAAAAGGAAAAAACCAAACATGAGGATCGGTGGAAATACATCCCCGACCATTGCCTCCACCGTTAATCATGGCCATCATTACCAGATCGGATAGAAGGTCTCTCTTTCCGCGTTTTTCCTGGATCCGCCCTGCTCCCGCATTATTGGTTTTGGGCACTGCAGTTGACTCGTTATTTTCACGCGAACGCAATCTTGTAGATCACGGGTCGACTGTGGAGGTGCGGAGTCGTCAAATCTGCACATTGAGTGTGTCGCCGATCTCCGCGGGTTTACCCCTTAACGAGTCACAGAAGGCTGGGACGATTTTTTTGCCCCTTTGATTATGTACTACTAGTGTAGATTTCTCTTTGAACACTAGCTGGATTAGCGTGGATTTGATTCGAGGCTCGACGGGGATTTTGGGGTTTTGTTTGAGGCTGATTGGGTGTTGGCTTGCTCTTGCATTTGATAGATCGAATCTTACGGAGTAGATTCGGCAAGATGCAGCCTGGTTCGCAATGTGTGAAATTGAAATGTGTGATGGATGCAATTTACTCCGTAGCACACACGCCTCTGGCTCTGGCCTTCATGTACGTACGCGTGAATTATGTACCCCGTACGGGGTAGCTTGTCTGCCTCGGACCTGGGAGGCCGAATGGGGCTAGAGGCCTTCCTTCAAACATTGTGATTGGGTCGGGGTCGGATCGGCAGTATGCCTAATTATCACCGCTGAACAGTCAAGCTGCATTGCTCAAGGTTGAGTTCCGATGGGTTAGATGACTGCTAGTGCGGTCGAGCCCTTAGGTTTCAGAGTCATGTTCTTCCCAAAAACAAGATGCAGCGAAACTTGGAAGACCATGGGTGCAGACCGTACTCCGTGCTTTTTATCGCCTGGGGCGCTCAAATATCCTGGCATAGGTGAGGTTATGCCCACCTGGGCAGCAAGTGCATATGTGATGTTTGCTCTGCCCGGGTGTACTCAAATATACAAATGACCTCCAGGGCCCTTGGAACAAATGACACACTCGGCATAAAATATAGTATGCGATCCAATGGCTCCAAGGGGATAACTAAATAATCTTCGTCTTCGGGTCAATAAGGAAGCCATCTAGGGTCAGCAGGTTATAGGCTCCATTTTGATCATCCCGAATAGGCACTGCGGGAGGCATAATGGCAAGTCTGCATGTGAAGCCATGAGATAGCAGAACGCCAAGAACCATTGCCATTTTGATTTTCGAAATTTCAGTTTCACCCAGCCCAGTTTCCTCCTTCAGGCTTGCCCAGAACGTATGATGAAGGCTTTCATAGTCATCATATCGAGTCCAGCCGTGCTTGAGGTGCTTTTGGCCCGTTGTTTGTTGGAGAAAATGAAGGTTCACCCCAAAGGGACCAATCTCAGCCTCGGCCCAGTCGATAATTCCAACTAGATGAGACTTCTCGTCGACCATCACATTATATATCCCAAGATCTTGGTGGAGAAGCACAGTCGGCAGTGACATGATGGCAGGCAAGGAATTAAGAGATTGCTGAATGATGGGCTGGAACCGATCAGGTAAAGCCTGCCGCAGTAGCTTCAATTCTGCCTCATATCGTTTGTGAAGAGCTTCGCGTGCTTCTTCATCAAGATGTACAGGGCAGTTCCATGCCCTGGCGAAGAAGCTGCAATATCAATTAGTTCAATTGTCATATCATAGACAACCCAACGTACCTCGCCAGATCAGATATTAGATTCTGCCGCCAGGCAAAGTATTCAGGCGAGTTCTTGGGCTCATCCCGAGGGATCTCAAATTCCAACTGACTGGTGCCTTGCACTCGATCCATGACATAGACCATGACGCTTTCTTTGCCATCCACCATATCACCCATATGACCATGACAAGTCGTCCCCGGAGCCCAGGATCCAAAAATCTGACGGGCCAGAGTGATGTTTTTCATTTTCAACAGGACAGGTCTGAGGCGGAATTGGACGACAAATTCTTGCTTCGCACCGCCGTACACAGTGTAGCTGCAGCAGCCTTAGAAATCAACTAGTACCACATCGCCACCCACAAGTTCTCTGGCTCAGCAATCGCATTCTGCTCGTGTTACTGTTGTTTGCGTGAAAAACTGCGCTATCGTATCTTCGGCGCTGTAATTATTGGATGTCATGTCTCTTCCAAGGGTGGATGGACAAGAGCGGGATTTGGGATTTGTATACTCACGAGGTAGCGCAGCAGTGCAATCAATATTTCGTGAAGTCAGGGAGATGCCCAGGTGTGTTTTTGACAAAGGAAGTGAGCAGACATCAGCTAGGCAAATGCGGGGGACGAGTCCGTCATGCAGGTGCCCTGGAGCTCACATTGGGGACTTTTCGTTGTCCTTGCGAAGATCCGAGGAGCAATCCTCTTGGGCTAAAGTGGAACGATCAGGATGTGCAATTTGAATCGCACTTAGCTACCTGGAGCTCTACACAGTCCACCTAGACATTTTTTGGTATTACTCCCAAGATTTTAGGGATTTCAGCAATGGAGGGTTCCTGGGGTCAACGTTCAACAGAGGTCCCAACCCAGGTGCTCACACTTCAAGGTTGGCAAGACATCCTACTGCTTTCTCGGTCATAGCCCTTAATGCTCAGTCAACATGGACAAGCACTGTGAATATAAACCTGGAAGCATTCGAGGCGAAATCAATCATGATGACGTCAAATCATAACAGTATATATTGCCATTTCACTGCCCGGATATACTACGTGAATATCATCTCAACAATTTGAAATATATACTAGAGTTCTATCGATACATCGGCTTTCAATACCTAGGTATCACCTTTGAAACCCTGGAACCTTCGAGATGTCCTGCCCTCAAGCATCCGCCGAGAACCAACAGGGAATCCCAGGCGACCCAAGAACAGTCAAGAGCCAAGTCCTCGAGACAGGAGCCTCAATGATCCAAGACTTCACACCCGTGAAGCAAATCTGCGCCCATCTCAATGCCTTCCACGTCTACGCCAACGACCCCAGACGCTGCATCGAGGCCAACCACTACTGCACACATCTAACAGAGGGTAAGTGAACCCCAGCAGAGAAAAAGCATATACTCACCCATCCAGACGTACGACAATGTCTAATCTACGACTCCCCCGAGAAAAACGCCCGCCTCATCGGCGTCGAATACATGGTCTCGCCACGAATCTTCTCAACTCTCCCAGAAGAAGAGCGAAAGCTCTGGCATACACACGAATTCGAAGTCAAGAGCGGGATGCTAATCATGCCTGCGCCGGCGGGAGTACCCAAGCCTGTATGGGAGGCTGCGGAGACGGCAGAGATGCAGGACGTTGCGCCAATATATGGGAAGACGTATCATTTCTGGCAGGTTGATCGGGGGGACCCTGTGCCCATGGGTGCGCCACAGTTAATGGGGAGCTTTACGTCGGAGGAGAGTGTGGAGTTGGCTAAGCCTGGGGGATTGGATGCCTTGCTTGGGGAGCGAGATGCGAGGTTTGGGGTGGATTATCGTCAGAAGGCGAAGAAGAGGGAGGGGATTGAGCCTGTTGAGATACATACGGGTATGAGATGTCACTTTCGTTTGATATATTTTGAGCTGACAGAATTGCAGATGCCGATGCAATGTGGAAATAATCTAGAGAGCTGCAGAACTAGGCTCTTACCCAGTACTGGTCTGTGGACTTCGTACATGATATTGTTCTGAGAGATGCCATGATGGGTTCAATTGAAAAAATAATATATTCGAGCTAAGGATGTATCCCCACTGCGTATGCCTCAAAGACCCAGTCCCATAGTTAAATGGGGTCAAGAATGAGACACACTGGGGGAGAGCCTGTCTGACAAGACAGACTCTGGTATTCATCTTGCTTCATATTCCACACTAGCTCGTCCTGGTGCTGTATTTCGGCGACGGCCAGCTCTAGCATTTGGAGAAGCAATCCCGGATGGGATTCAAGGGGGGAGGGGTAACTATCTAAAGATGCATTTCGCACAGGAGCACGTCTATTCCTGGTAGAGATGCTCCTGTCGCGGCGAGGTGAACTTCCAGACTCTTAGCACAGCACCCAAACATCAATGGGCAGCTGAAGAGCTGAAGAGATCGTGGAATGATCATCCAATGCGACAGCGACGTGCAAAACGTCGATTGCAGTCGAAATCGACTATTGGAGAAGAGTGAAAGCGGGCGGGAAAAGAAAAAGTTTTTAAATGACCCGTGCGGTCACATGACCTACCCATCCGCGGAAGTCGCTGGAGCTCTGGTCGAGACGTTGCGCCAAACTCCCACCTCATGGAGCACTTATTCCGGTCAACGCTTAGGCTGACGAACGTCCGCACGGTCGGCCGGCTCGCGCTCAATGGCCTCGGCACATTCTGTGGCTGCGCGCTGATCTGGGAGCACCTGATCACCGTGCAGCTCAGCGCAGGTCCCTCGATGTATCCGACATTCGACGTGAGAGGCGATTGGCTCTTGATTTCACGACTTCACCGGAACGGCAAGGGAATCGAAGTCGGCGATGTGGTGCGATTTGGTCACCCGAACTTCCAGGGCGTGCATGCTGCGAAGCGCGTGGTGGGCATGCCGGGAGATTTCGTCTGCCAGGATCAGCCGCTTAGTCCGGAGGTTGGCAAGGATCACAATATGATACAGGTGAGATTGGATGACTTGGTACTTGAAGGTCAATTGCTGATATGATGTGAAGATCCCCGAAGGCCATGTCTTCCTGGCTGGTGACAACCTTCCCTGGTCTAGGGACTCGAGGAACTACGGCCCCGTGCCCATGGCACTCATCAACGGAAAGATCATCGCGCGAGTGTGGCCGCCCTCGAAGGCGGAATGGGTCAAGAATCCGCTCAAGCCTGCGCAGTTGGAGGGCAGCATCTGATGATCATACAATGTATATATACGGGGTGACGAGGGCGATTGCATCTTGCGCAAGAGCGCCAGAGCCTTTTTATTCAAGCATACACAGGGAGTTTGGGAAGGATTAAATCAGTGTGCATATTCATACATATCAAATTGTACAATACAAATCTAAACTCAGATGGCTTTGATGGACGGAGTATAGAAAACAAGATCAGCGGAAAGAAGAGGGGTTGCGTCTCTTATAAGGCAGAGGCTCGACCCTCTTGCGACGCAGCTCAACATCTGCACCGTTGAATCCGAGCTCCTTCATGACCTCCAGGGTCGTCTGGTCCCATTGGGTACGGAAAAGGTGGGCACCAATGGCCTTGAGGTGGTAGCGGGCCTGAAGGGTGCGAAGAAGAGTGTCGTCGCGGCTAGTCTCCTTCGCTTTCACGGCGGCAAAGTCGAGAGGCTGGGAGTCCTTCTGCTCCATGATGAAGACAGAGAGACGGTGGTAGGGACTACCCTTTTGGGCGACGGGTGGTAGCCAGGGCAGAACGACCTGGGAGTCTTCCAAAAGCTGGGCAAGGTCGACCTTGGTGGAGGTGGCTGAGATGGGCACGTTGACGGCCAAGAAGTGGGTCTTATAGTCGAAGCTGTCCTTCTCGACGTTGGGGACATCGGAGTCAACAACAGCGATGGTGACCAGCTTTTCGCCGGCTTCGAAAAGCTGCACGTCGAGCTTGGGGGCAACGGTGCTCTGTCTGGCTTCAACATATTCACCGACTGGGATCTGTCGCTTGCCGAAGTACAACTTGGTTTCTACGACTGGGTCGCAGTGAGGGAGAACGTCGGGAATGACGTTCATCTGTGTGATACGCTGGACAAGAATCTTGCGGCGGTACTCGCGCCATTTGCGGTCGGCCAAAAAGCGGTAGATGGGCTTAGACATGTCACCTGAAGTGAACTAGATGTTAGCCTCAACTCAAGACATTGATATCTCGAGATCACAGGATTGGTTACCTTCATTATCTTCGAATCGTCGCTTCACCGAGGGGTCGTTAATATCAGCCATGATCTTGAGGCGCTCCAGGTGTAATTGCATTGCTGTCACCCGGGACTTCTGTGCCTTGGCACCTCCCGCCTCCTCAACGGGGAGAGCCTCTTGTCTGGCAATGCGCTGCTGCATTGTCTCGATTTCCTTCAGCTTCTCCTCGCGGTCCGCAAGGAGAACCTTGCGGGCTTCTTGGAAACATTGGTAGGGCAGCTGTTCGAACGGGATGCTGTCGGTAGTCTGGAGTGCGGCACGGCGACGACGAGATCCAATTGGGGTGGTTCCCTGGCGCAACAGACGTCTCTCAAGGCGGGGACTCGTCACAAGGGCAGGATCCGGGGCCTTGTGGAAGGGTTGACTGGGCGCTTCGGTCTCGGCCTCGCGAGTGGTGGCAGTCGACTGGAAAGCTCGCGTCTGAAGCTGGACACCAGCCACGCCTCTAGCGTAAGAGCCGCGCAGACATTGGAGCAGAGGCTTCGAAGCCCGCTCGCAGTGAACCATGATGCAAGGAATTGGGTTTGATGGGGTTGGCTATGGGCGACGGATGCTTGTTGTCTTTCCGGGGGAACTTTTTCTGTTCGGACGCCAAGATTCTGCTAGCATCCACCGCCCGGGTTCAACTTTTGCTTGTTGGTTGAAGACGACCATCATCACTCTATAGCGATCACCACAGGCCGTCAAAATGCCTACTAATGATTTCGTCCGGTCGCTGAAGCTGCTTTCACGCAGCTCTGGTGGACTTATGTCTGGCCCGAAGCAGGTGACGGTGAGTACCTGGACTCTTCAGTCCGATTCTAGCCCCGGAGGACGCATTGGCTGATCCACGATTGTCTGCAGCAACGATGCCTCACACGCTCAATGGCTACGGAAGCCCAGTCAACGACGCCAGTAGTGTCTCAAGATATCCACGACGTCCCCACTGCCACCCGACCAGGTGGCCAAACCCCTGTCCAAGTCATGACCTACCAATGGCCTGACCTGAGACCCAAGCGCTTAATTCACTACTCCAAGAGGCTCCTCGACATGCCCGTTCGTCACGATATTCTTCACCGTGCCGTGATCTTCGAGGCCGACGGCACACGACAGGGTACCGCCAGCACCAAGTGGAGGGACGACGTGCACGGTAGTCACCGGAAGTTGTACGCCCAGAAGGGCTCCGGTCGTGCGCGTGCCGGTGACAAGCAATCGCCCGTCCGACGAGGTGGTGGTGTTGCCCACGGTCCCCATCCCCGTGATTTCTCGACCGATCTGCCGCGCAAGATCTACGACCAAGCCTGGCGCATTGCTCTCAGCTACCGTCTTTCGCGCGGTGAACTGATTGTCGTTGACAGCAACATCAACATGCGCCCCGACGGAACCCCCTACTACCTCGAAAACATCCTGCGGGCCCACGATTGGCACGGAAAGGGTCGTTCCACTTTCATTACCCTCCAGCCCTCTGAAGCTTTCACCGATGCGGTTGAGAAGTACCCTCGCCATGCGCGCCATCTGACTACGGAGGATCTGGACGTGAAGGATCTTTTGGAAACGAGCCGATTGGTTATCGAGCGTGATGCACTGCACAAGATCCTGCTTGCACACACAACGGACCTGGGTGCCATCGACACCTTGTTCTCACCCTCGTTGGATGGATCCATTGTTCACCAACTGAAGGCCAGCCGACTGCGGGCTACCTGGGAGGCCCAGGAATAAGTGATTTGGGTGTTCTGACAGCAATTAACTAGTTATGTACAAATAGATTCTTTCATACTTGAGCGGTGTTGTCCAAGCTGTAAAGTATATTTGGTATAAGTATTAGAGGTATGACCTCAGGTGGATGCCCAGCCTGAGGTGTATGCCATCATCATATGAAAACATGGCCATTCTGCCCGAGTCTTTACAGTAGCAACGTTCCGAATATCTACTTACCCAATTGCTGTAAAATCATTAGAAATGAAGTAGAAAAGCACATAAAATACCCTACATCGATTCCATCGAAGCATGAAGATAGCTGTCGGTTATCGGAGAATCGGAGCGGAAGGAAAATCCAGCGAAAAAAACTCCCGAGGTCAAAAGCGGAGAACATCTGATTGTCACCATACCCGTGGACTTCCTTGGACCTGTTTTAATAGTCGCCTTCTTTTCAATGTTACTTCGACACTCATTCTCCCGGTTTTCATCGCCGAGCTGGACCTCGCGCGCTTCCACAATGCCTCTACGCGCCAAGGTCACCAACCCTGCCTTTCGAGCTATGGTATGTCTGGCGGACTCCTCGGCTATCCCATAGCTAACTCGGCCCAGATGTCGACAGAGATCCCCAAAGAGCTTCCCGGCGATGAGCCTGATGATGTCTTGTTCAACTCGATCTACGGCCTCCGCAGCGTGGAGCTCAACCGACCCAAGAAGCTCAATTCCTTGAACGGCTCCATGGCACGCAAGATTTTCCCCCGACTCAAGGTGAGCTTGGACAACGTCCCCAGAGATATGGGCCAGTACTAAGCATCGGTCATATAGGAGTGGGAGAAGTCCTCTCTTGCAAACATGATCCTCATCTCCGGAGCCGGCTCCAAGGCGCTCTGCGCAGGAGGTGACGTTGCCGCGCTGGCCTTGCAGAACGAACAGGGAGTGGAAGGACAGAAGGCGTCGACGGATTTCTTCGGACTCGAATACCGCCTCGATCACACTCTCGCCACATACACCAAGCCCGTTATCTCGTTCATGGATGGAATCACCATGGGCGGTGGTGTCGGCCTCAGCATGCACGCCCCCTTCCGAATCGCGACTGAGCGGACTGTCTTCGCCATGCCCGAAACCACTATCGGATTCTTCCCCGACGTCGGCGGCTCCTTCTTCCTGCCCCGTCTCGACGGCGAGACCGGCACATACCTTGCTCTGACCTCCGAGCGTCTCAAGGGTGTCCAGGCTCTGTACGCCGGCATCGCCACACACTACCTGCACTCCAGTGCTCTGAGCGGTATGGTGCAGCGTCTTTCCGAACTGACTTTCCCCGACCACCTTGCCCTCTCCGGGCGTCTCGAAATCGTCAACAAGACCATGGCCGAGTTCTCAGTCGGTCTGCCTCCGCTGGAGGAGGAGCCCATGCTCATGGCCGGCAGCCTGCGCACCGCCATCGACCGCTGCTTCAGATTCGACACCATGGAGGAGATCTTCATGGCCCTGGAGGACGAGATTGAGCACAAGCAGTGGGCACAGAAGACACTGGAGACACTATCCAGCCGATCCCCGACTTCCCTGAAGGTGACACTGCGCCAGATGCGTCTCGGCAAGAAGTGGAGCATTTCAGAGACTTTCCAGCGCGAGCACGAGATCTCCGCCAACTTCATGCGTCACCCCGACTTTGTCGAGGGCGTCAAGGCCCGTCTTATGTCCAAGCCTCCCCGCCAGGCTGAGTGGAAGCCCGCTACTCTGGCCGAGGTCACGAACGAGACCGTCGAGAACTTCTTCAAGATCCCTGAGGGCGAGAGCCGTCTGGCTCTCCTCAGTGAGGGCGATTATCACGACTACCCCCACGCTCACTTTGCTCTGCCTTCCGAGGTGGAGATTGAGGAGGTCGTTCGCCAGGGTCACCCATCCCGGAGACCGGTGATCGATGCCTTCCTCGAGAAGTACTCTCACCGTGATGGTGTGCGCCGAAAGGTGGTTGAGGTCCTTGCCCGTAGGACCTCAACTGAGTCCGGCGAGGGACTTAAGTGGATTTGAGAAGATATACCGTCTATAGCTTGTAATTTATTGTTTTGATGCATAGAATCTATTGGGAATTGGCATATACCATCATATCGTGAATGTCCTCTGACGAACGATCGTCTTCAGCTTTGGAGCTCACCTGGGCATAAAAAGGCGCTTACTAGCTCTGTAATGCGAGTGTATATACAATCGCCTCCAACATTAAACATCAAGTCTGCACAACTTGGAAAACGGGTCTATCAGAAATAAGACAAATCCACCCAGACACGTAAACAAGTATACAGACCGGCTTAGATCATAACAAAGAAATCCGAAAACAACTCCCGCCTAACACACTTCGAGTCAGCCCAAGTCCGCGACGCATCCTGACGCCTCGTCATCTCCTCCAAAAGCACCAACACTCTATCCGCAGACGGATGACGACCCAGCCGCGAAGCCGGCTCCGACTCCGCCTCATGCACAGCGGCCATACGCTGCATTTCCGAGACGATCCATCGACGCTGCTCGCCCGTTCCTTCCAGACCGGCCACAAACATCGGCCACAGGAAGCTGATGGGCAGATGGGCGGGATTGGCCGACTCAACCGTGGCCAGCTGGATGATCTGGTCGACTGCGCCGTTGACGCGGTCTGTGCGAGGGTAAATGGCGAAGGCGACGCGGTGCAGGTAGATGAAGTTGGCTAGGAAGGTAGCGACGTATTGGCGGAATGTGCGACAGATTTCGAGGGCGACGGGCTCGCACAGAGTGGTTTTCAGGGAGTCTGGACGGCTGTAGACGTCTATGACGGCTGGGCGGCGGTGCCAGAGAGTTTCGAGGTCTGCGCCGACTTTGTGGGCGATTTGGAGGACTTCGAATTCGTCGCTCAGGGTGCCGCGGCTGCGATGGTGGAGGTCTATGTTGACGATGCGGCGGACGATTTGTTGGGCTTGGACGAGGAAGCGGAAGGCTGGTCCCACGATTGCGTCGTAGACTAGATAGCTGGGACTGCGGAATGGGTCTTCGGCGCTGTCTTCTTTGCTGTCGGCTGAGGATACTTGGGTTTGAGGTCGGAGTGTCACTCCGTGTTCTGGGATGTTGCCGAGGTCAATGAGGGGGTCTCCTTCTCGGCCAGCGATGAGGGACTTGACATCTAGGAGGGAGACCCATGATACAAGGAGGTGGCCGAGGCCTGTCCAGTGTCGGGTGCGGTTGTGGAACCGTTGGAGAATGAGGTATCCCGAATGAAGATATGATGTCCCGGCGCATATTTCAGGGGATGAGAGAAGCTGAGAAGAGATGAGTTATCTCAACAGTCCATGGATCTAGAATACAGAATAAATACCTCGGATATCATAAGGAGAAAGACAGCACCAAAGACCTTGACCAGCATGGACTCGGCTACCTCGCCATGAAGACAAGCTTGAATCTCTGCCCCAGAGACCCGATGGTAGGTCGGCGCCCAGCGCCATCGCTTGCCCTCCATCATTGCCTTATGCACATCCGCATAGCAGTACAGAGCATTCTGCAACGGACTGAAATCGCGCGCATGAGCCAGCAAGGCCGGCCGCACATATTCCCACTCCATATTGACCGGTGCGAAGAGCGCCGCTGGCGCCCCCACGCCCATAAAGTGCTGCAGCAGCTGATCCTCGTACGAGGTCCCAGGATCAGACCAGCTGCCTCGCGTCGTCGCCAAATCCGAGCTCCCAATAGACCCATCCATCAGCGAAGGCGCATCCGGACTCAGCGGCGTTCGGCGGTCGAAGTGCGTTTCGTCCAGCCCAATCCCCGCGGGCAGCGACTGCGGGCTGGCGGTGAACGTCGCCGCGAGCCCGGTCAAGTCCAAGTGCTTCTGTTCCAGCTCCGAGGTGATCCCGCCCATGAATCCCAGCATGTCGAATTCAGAGGGGTAGACACCCGGGAGCTGGCGCAGGGCCGGGGCGGGGATCGCACTGTCATCGGAGCGGAGCACGGTATTGAAGAAGTTGAGGTCGGGCGAGCGTGCAGCGACCGAGAGTTGTGTGTGAGTTGAGGCCTCGCGCGATGTCCATGTAGAAGCCTCGTCAGGGCCTTTGTACACACATTCCAGGCGGAGTCGGTCGCAGTTGGAGCAGTGGGGTTTGGCCTCGTCGCAGCGGACCTTGCGGGCTCGGCAGGTTAGACAGCCTGTTCGTCGCCGTGGCCCTGATCTGCCTGCTCCCCGGGCTTTTGGCACCTGTGGATGTTAGTTTCCAATCTGCAGAGGGGGTCAACAGACAGTACCTCCATGATGAGTCGGGAAGGACATTGTGTGTTTTTGTTTTGTTTTCCCCGCAACGGGATGACGAGCTTGTCTGTGGTTTATCGTGATCGCACTGACCGTCTTTACAGACATCGAAAACAGACAGAATACTTGCAATATGGAAGTGCTCTCTCGAAGCTGATCCGAAGTTAAGCCGACGCCGTTCGACTGATCAGTTTGGTCTCCACAGTTAGTACATTGTGTGGATAACGAATATCGCCAACATTGTTTCAGGGAAACTGGCTACAATACGCATATTTGCAAGACCCTGACTTCGAGAGATCGATCGTGAAAATCTACTATACTTCAAACGTCACACACGATCAGGTTCTATACGGGGATTCTATACGGGGATTCTACGGAGTGTACGGGCTATAGATGTGAAACGAGAACCATGTCGCAGATTCCATCGAACCCATGGGCAAGGAGCCGAGTGAAACATCTCGGTTCAGCAATTCCAACTGCCGAACCCCCCTGCGAAGAAGGGTCCAGAGATATTCGGCTGGTGTACAGTATGGGCTCAGCTACTCCAGATGTCGGGCCCCAGGGCGGATCACAGCTGAGGTCAACTGGTGAATCCAACTGAAGATTTTCAGATAATCTTGCCCTTTGACGAAACTACGCGAGCAAATTCATCGCCAATAAGTCTCTGCTCGTCCTCATTGCCGAACCTCGGTTCCATCTATGCCGGGCTTCATGCATCAGGGCAAAAATGACAGATCCACTACTCTCCGTACTCGCCGAGAGTCCCAAATTGAGAATGACGTCTTAGCAAACACGAGATACGCCAGTACGAAGTACGCCATATGGAGTGCGGGCATTGGATGTTCGCAGCAGCAAACATTGGACCGAATGCGGATCGCCAAGATACCCCGTTTTTGGATCCAGGCACAAAGCCCTAACCGTGGCATTCCACCACAAAGTAGAGCTGAGAGACGATCACTCATTAAAAGAATGAAGCGTGAGAAACGTCTCATTTTCCGATTCGCCCAGAAAACAAAAACACAAAAGCAGGCCAGGATCAATTTTGAGACTCCCCGTTCTGGTAAGGCGGCCGAACTATAGGCCCGCACCGTTTCAGTCGCATTCTGACCTGTCGAATCCTTCGATACTATATACGGAGTACTCTCTACTCTATACTATACGCACCCGGAAACCTCGGTACTGAACCAAGTCCCTTTTTCGGACCCTGGCCCACTTGGATGCTCAGGTACCCGAGCCCCAAACATGAAACGCCAGGAGATTTAGTTCTGGGAAAACTCGAACGATTTTCGGAGGTCACATACCTGGGGATATAAGAATGGACTGCCCAGGTGGTATTCTGGGTTATCAGAAAGGAAACCACTCTCTTTTACCCTCCCATCTTTGACTATGAAGTTCTCCTTCGGTGCTATCTTGGCTCTGGCAGCCACAGCCATGGCGGGCCCCATGGATCTTGAAGCTCGTGCTCGTACGTGTCTATCATTGAATGATGTTCGATGAATAATGGATGGTCGGGACTAACACATAAACAGTCGGAGAGGGAAATGAACTTCGTGAGGGCAGCTGCAAGGACATTACTTTCATTTTCGCCCGTGCCAGTACCGAGCCTGGTCTTCTTGTATGTTTTCTTTTATGCTCTCATTTCCCTCGCAAGACTAACTCATCCAGGGTATTTCCGTGGGCCCCGCCATCTGTAATGCGTTGAAGAGGGACAAGCCGGGCAAGGTCGCTTGCCAGGGTGTGGGACCCAAGTACACGGCGGATCTGCCATCTAACGCTCTCCCCGGCAACACATCCCCCGCTGCCATTGCGGAGTCCAAGGGTCTGTTTGAGCAGGCTGCTTCCAAGTGCCCTGACACGCAGATCCTTGCTGGTGGATACAGGTACGTCGTTGACTTTCCAAATGCATACACACGCATACTAATCTGATTCCTATACAGTCAGGGCACTGCCGTCATGGATGACTCCATCAAGAAGCTCTCCTCCGACGTCCAGGCGAAGATCAAGGGTGTTGCCCTGTTCGGATACACCCGTAACGCCCAGGAGCGTGGTCAGATCCAGGGCTTCGACAAGTCCAAGACCAAGATCTACTGTGCCGTTGGAGACATGGTCTGCACGGGCACTCTGATCATTACCCCCGCCCACTTCACCTACGTTGCCAACGCCGGTGCCGCTACCAAGTGGCTGGAGTCGAAGTTGGATTAAGGGTCTTAGAGAGTTGAAATCCTTGTCATTCCTTTGGTAGGTGCTTGATGCATCGCCATCTCCAGGATTTCGGCAGCTTGACGTTGCTACATTTGTTTTGATTAAGAGAGCCTATATTTTGCTATTTACGACATGAATTGAAGATCACAAATGATTCGAATTAATCAACAGACGGGTATCTCAGGAGATCCAGAACTACTCTTCAATCCACCGACCTCCATCTCATGCAATTTCCTCCTAATAAACGCATCCATCTCATCCCTCTCCTCCTGCGTCAACAACGCAACCCGATCCTCCAACGTCCCCTCCCCAAAGAACCTCCTATCAATCCGCGCCCAATAAACAATATCAAAAGCCCAACTCCGTCTCGCAGCATAACTCACCCAGAAATCCCCACTCTCCCAACTCCTCCTCATATGCCCCGCCAGCTCTACCCCCCCAACACCCTCCAACTCCTCCAAAAACACCTCCAATCTCTCCACATAAGCCCCCTCCCACTCATCAATCCCACCAACCCAATACTCCGGCCTCTCCAACAAAAGCCAACAAGGCGGCGCGCGCACAAACTCCAACGGAGCCGCATACGTAAACTCCCAATCAATAGCAGCTGCAATCCGGCCATTCTCAACAAGGACATTCGCAGGGCGCAAATCATCACAGAAGAGCGAATACTCACCCTCACACGAAGTAAGACGACCTTCGCGCGCTAAGCGGCGAAACAAACAGCGCGCAATGTACTTCACGCGGCAATCGTCCCATCCTTCAATGGCGTCGTTGCGCTGCGCAGATAAATGCGCCATATGCAGCTCTGCAAGCGTGAGCACGTACCCCGCTCCACTGGAGAACGGACCACGCGGGAGATCGGCCGGATCGACACAGCCCACTTGGACGAGTTCGTTCATGTTGATGCTTAGCGGGCGGGTTTGGATGACCCATTCGTTGTTGATGTGGGAGAGGCTGCCTATGGAGGGGAATTTGTGGCGGGAGAGTTCGAGGAGGAGGGTGGACATTTGGCGGTAGACTGAGCGGAGGACGGGGGTGGAGATGTTGGGGTCGAGGATTGGTCGGTCTTTCCAGGGGATGGTGGGGGTGTTGAGGGCGTCGACGAGATCGGAGTCGTGGTCGATGTAGCCCATTATTATGTAGGGGCCTAAGATGGGGTCTGTGTTTACCGTGTGGACGGTTGGGACGGGGATGGTGGTTGTTTGGAGGAAGCGCATGACGGCGACTTCGGCGGTGACTTTTTCTTCGGGGAAGATCGAGTAGCCTGGGATGGGGAAGCGGATTATTGAGGAGGTGTGGTCTGTGAATTGGAGGCGGATGACCATGTTGAAGGAGCCCTTTTGGGGTGGGAAGAGTCGATAGGGGCTGGGTTTATGGGAGAGGAGGTTCGTGATTCTTTGAATGCTCTCCGTCGTGAAGAGCGTGGTTTTCCATTTGTGAAGGATGTTGTCTGCTTGATCCCAGGCGGTTTCGTCGAAGAACATCAGTCGGCCTTTGAGGATGGGCGCCATCACGTTGGGTCTGGGAGCCATATTGACCCCGCGGTTACTGATGGACGGTGGTTGTGAAACGCAGTTCTATACGCCACAAGCACTAGCGCGGACCCGATTGAGGGGCTTCGGGATATGCAAGGTGAAGCTCATTCGATGTACAGATCTATATACAACGGTCGATGCTCTTCGACTTCTAAAAGGGCCTCTCGGTCCGTTTGAATCTTGGCGGCTGACGCGAAAACTGCTCTGGGGCATCCCTCGCTCCCTCCTTCCAGTAGTCAAACTCCATCCATGCATTCTCCGGCATCTGTGCCTCGGTCGCCTCCAGGAACTCTCCAAGATCAGGACACAGCGGGATCACCCCTGTTTCGAGGACATATTGATCCCACAGCTTCAACAGCTGTTTCAGCTTCGCTGGCTCGGCATCCGCAAGATCATGAATCTCACCAGGATCCTGCACCAGGTTGTATAGCTGCCATTTCTCCGGGCCTTTGGGTTTGGGAATAAAGACGATCTTCCAGTCCGCGCACCGCAGCGCAGCACGCCCGCACGTTTCCCAGCCTTGGATGAAATCGGCTGGATGAATGCGCTCCGCCTCACCAACAGCCCAGGGCTGGAAGCTGCGTCCGCGCATAGTCACCACCTCGCGGCCCTGGTACGTCGGTGCAGGATGCTTGAGTCCAGCCATGTCCAAGATTGAAGGAGCCAGATCCATAACTGTTGCGAACTGATCGGTGATGCCGTTCGTGACATTGGTCGGGTTGACAGCTAGGTTTTTGGGGAAACGGCAGGTGAATGGAACGCGGACGCCTCCCTCCGTGGTATACGCCTTGTACAGGCGTGATGGAGCAGTGGCAGCCTGCGCCCAGCGCGGACCGTACCAGATGAACGAGTTGCCGTTTCCGAGGTTATCAAGGCTGTTGTCGTAGTACTTTTGGAGATGGGGCATAACCCCGTTCTGGACCATGGGATAGGCCTCGTAGGCAGCGCCCTCGGCACCATTGTCGGACATGAAGCAGACAAAGGTGTTGTCGAGCTCATCTATCGACCGTAGGTATTCGACAACTTTGCCGACATTCGAGTCAATGCACTCCACCATACCGGCGAATACCTCCATCGCGACACACGACTTCTTCTTCTCCTCGTCACTGAACTCGTCCCAGGGTTTGACTTCCTCCGCTTGCACCGGGTGCGCTTCTACGTCATCGCGCACCATCCCCAGCTCTTTCAGACGCTGCAATCGCTTCTGACGAAGCACATCGGGCCCCTCATCATACACGCCGCGGTAGTGATCGATGTACTCGCGAGGGGCCTGGAGGGGCCAATGCGGCGCCGTGAAAGGGAGATATCCAAAGAATGGGCGATCTCCATTACCATCCGGCCCAGCATGTCCTCCACTTTCTTTCCATTCCTTGATATAGTTGACCATCTTGTCCCCATATCCATCAGACGAGTACCACCCCTCCGGAAGATGGCGCACATACTCCCCATCTTCCATATGCAGGGCAATATAACTCGCCTCGATAAAAGTAGGAATCTGATCTTGGTCTTTAAGCTCAGGCTCATATGCGTAGTGATTCGAGCAGGCGGGGAGGTGGGCGAACGAACGCTCAAACCCGCGCTTATGTGGTGATCGCTCGGGCGTTAGCCCCAGGTGCCACTTGCCCGACATCATTGTGTGATAGCCGCCGTCGCGAAGAACTTCTGGTAGTGCTACGACTCGCTCGTTGAGAAACCCCTCATACCCTGGCATACCGCGCTGGGGCGCGGTGCTCATGGCGGATCCCTTGGGGCCGTTCTGGCCGGATATGTTGGTCCATTCGATGAGGTTTCCAAGTCCGGCGATATGGTGATCGGTACCTGTCATGATCATGGCGCGCGTGGGACTATGCTTGTCAGTACAGACCGTGGAGGCACCGGGAGGGGTAACCTACGAGCACGCAGCAGCAGCGTGGAAATCAGTAAACCGAAGCCCCTCTTTGGCGATCTGATCGATGTTTGGGGTCCGGATTTCACCACCGAAGCAGCCCACGTCAGAAAAGCCGAGATCATCAGCGACAATGACGAGGAAATTCGGGCGTTTGGCTGCCATTGTCGAAGCGTAGAGCAAGGTGTGCTTTCACCGTGTTGATCAATGTCGCTTCAAGAGCAGTGAAGAAACCCGGTGAGGGGTCAGGGGACATATGTACTCGCATCGGCAAAAGAACTCGCATGAAAGCCCGAGTCCCGACATCCAACACAAGCATCAAGCGGCAACTCGCCAATCGGCCATCGGCAGTGAGATGCGGGGAGAGCTCCACATCTGATAAGAGCTCGAGCGACGGACCCGTTTATTCGCCATTGCGAGCGAATGAGATCCTTTCTGTAGACGAGACGCGAGAGAAAGGGACCAGAGAGCCAAAAGAGCGATGTCGGCAGTCGGGTGACATAATCCAGTCCCAAAACAGCTTCCAAGTTTCCCGTCGATGAATCGTTCTCACGTTTCATTCGGAGGATTGTCTGTCTAGATTTAGATATTCTCAAAATGGCGTTAATTCATATATCTCGTTATAATACTTTTGCTTCTTGTTCCTCTAATCCATCCTACACCCCAATTCCAGCGTATCCAGATTCACCACAGTCAAGTCCTGACATCATGGCGAAGCTCAAAGCTCGATGGCGCACCTACTGGTTCGCACTTGTACTATGCTGCGGCGGTGCTCTTTTCGGCTACGACTCCGGCGTCATAGGTTCGTACGACTCAAACTGCGCAATGCCCATATTAACGCTCCCAGGTGGCGTGCTCACATTTCCCTCATTCGAGGACTCCTTCGGCATAACGCCGTCTCAGAAAACGAGCATCAGCGCTATCGCCGTAGGCATTCAACAGGCAGGCGCATTCGCAGGCTGCTTCCTGATCTGGCCATTGACCAATGTCTATGGGCGGCGCATTGCAATGGCAATATGTAGTCTGGTCTTTTGTATCGGGGTGATTCTGGAAACGATCGACACACGCTCCCTGGCGGCCTTCTATGTCGGTCGGGTGATTTGTGGTCTGGGCGTCGGGGGCTCGGCGACCATCATCCCCATCTATATGTCGGAGATGGCCCCCAAGGAGATCCGGGGACAGCTGGGAAGCTGTTACCAGCTCACGTATACGGTCGGGATTCTCGTGTCATATTGGATCGACTATGGGGTGAAGAGCATGGAGGCCAGTGCGCGGCAGTGGCAATTGCCGATTGGATTGCAGTTGGTGCCTGGTGCATTGATGGGAATCGGCATGTTGAGTATAACGGAGAGTGTGCGGTGGCTGTTGGCGAAGGGGCGGGAGGAAGAGGCATGGGGTAGTCTTGTTTGGATCCGAGCCGGAGCAGACGAGGACGTGGCGAGTGAATTTGACGAGATGAAGCGCGGCCTGGAAGAAGAAAGACATGCAACAGCTGGGTTTCGGATGCGCGAACTATGCGAGGGTCCGAATCTGCACCGTCTGCTTATCGGCGGGGGTCTGTTTCTGGCGCAACAATCGACTGGCTCGACTGCGTTGGCGTACTTCGGACCTCAGTTCTTCGCACTACTTGTTGGAGATGGCGATCGGACCCTGTTGCTCACTGGTATCTTTGGCGCGATCAAGGTCGTAGCATGTCTTATCTTTGTGGTCTTTTTGTCGGACCGGTTCGGCCGACGCCCGCTGCTTGCTGGCGGTGCAGCTTTCATGGCTGTTTGCATGATTGCCACGGCGGCGGTGATCAAGACGTATCCGCAGCCTGGAGACGGGACAGTCACCTCGTCTGGAATCGCGACGGTGGCTCTGATATACCTGGACATCATCGCGTATAACTTCAGCTGGGGACCCTTGCCGTGGCCGTGCACCAGTGAGATCTTCCCAACGCGCATTCGCGAGCCCGGGGTCGCGTTTGGCGTGGGATCACAGTGGCTATTCAATTTTGTGTGGAGCTTCTCAACGCCATATATCCAGGCCAGCCTTGGATGGGGCACCTTCTTGCTATTTGGGCTGCTGGATGTGGTGATCGTGGGCTTCACCTACTTCTGCCTCAAGGAGACCGCTGGCAAGACCCTCGAGGAGATCAATTGGTTGTTCGAGGGGGTCCCCGACTTCGAGCAAGGGAAACCCACCGGCGTGGAGGACGAAACGCCATCCTGCTATGGCCGAGAGTCGCCAACAGTCGTCCGGTCGGGCTCCAAGCACCAAGCCGCCCATGTGGAGTCGGTCGCTGGACGGTCTTGACTCGCCACTATGTAGTATGGAATGGTCTGGACCTCCCCTTGGAAACTTTAATGAGCTAGCATGTATACCCATCAGGCCCTCAGCCATTCTCGCATATATCATAGACAATGTATTGAGGTTCGAACCCGAGCCAGTTCATACAAGAGCAAATTTGACCAGAAAGCCCAAAGCGAATCACAAATTATCAGTCAATTCGTACTCGGGTAGAAACACATATCGGTCATTGTTCATGTTGCTCGTAAAAGTATACCTTCGTTCCAAGATGCCCGTCGAGCACATCTACACCAACAGCTATTAATTCTGTAGAAACAGCGCACATAAGAGAAAGACAAGCTTGATCCGTTGATTCAAGCGACTCAAAAACGCCAGACACCCTCCAGTCCTCACTGGATCGCAATTTAAAAAGAATACATCATCCGACCCAACGCCACAATGGCAGACCTGCCGCCCATTACCATCCTCACACATTGATCAAGTCGTCAAAAGTCGGATCCTCCGACGAGAAAGAATAAGATCCCTCAGAGATGAGCGACGTCTCCGGCTCCCTTCGCATCTGCTGCTCGAATGCTTCGGCGGCCGCGGCGGCCGCGGGCTCAAGCTGCATGGGGTCATCGAAGCCGAACGAGAGCGCCGGCGCTGACACGGGCACAGCCACAGCCGGGGCCGGGGTGCGATTGAGCGAGGGAACGGTGCGGTCGAGCTTCGGCTCGTCGGACGAGCCGGGGGCGTCGACATCCGTGATCTTTTTGACCATCTGGGCTAGGTGGACCTTGATGGGCTCATCGCCACACTGGGCATGTTTCAAGACCTCATTTTTGAGAGCTAGGATCTCTGAGCGCAGCTTGGCGATCTCGGTCATGAGATTGTCTTTCTTCTCGGATTGTTCTTTGAAGCTGAATTCGAGCTGTTGGGTATGTTCTTTCTTTTTCTGGCGACATTTCGACGCGGCGAGGCGGTTGCGCTCGAGGAACTTGGCGCGCTTGGCGCGATCTGGTGGTCCGTCGTCAAGATCGGGACTCAGGGAATCTGCGGCTAGTTTGTATTCGTGGGCGCGGCGTCGCTTGCTCGCGGTGTTCAGGTCGAGTCGGCCATCGTCGTAGGGTGGTGGGGTGGGTTGGCCATTGCGGACCTGGGCGTTTTTCAAATCGCGCTCTAAGGCGGAATGAGCAAAATCGGCCATTGGAGAGACGGGGCTTAGGCCCCAGAGTTGTTCGTCGTCTGGAATGGGTATGCCTATCAAGTCGGGGAAAGCGTATGAAGATGGACCGAGGTTGTCTACGTGAAGCCCTTGCATGGTGAGGTTAACGGAGGGGAAAGAGCTAAACGCTAAGAAGCTCCAGGTCTTTGAGCTTAAGACACCTGACCGGTGCCTGAGAGGTGTTGACAGGAGGGGAGCCATGGTCGGACAGCACTTCCTGCGGTCCAGCAGATCCGGGCCAATCGTTGTCAATGGGGATTTCTGCGATCCATGGATGTGCCACAAAGACAAACGACAGTGCATTCTGATTGGCGAACACTAAAAGTATATGGTACCCAACGGGAGACAATGCCGTCTCGGAAGTATACAGTACACGGGTAAGAATAGAGTCTCCCATCCTGCTCATGGGATAAAGGCGTCTCGCAACCAATATTGCAGCTGACGATGCACATTAGGCCAGTGATCCAACAACAGAGTGCACACACGACTCTCGTCCAGCTCCTGTTCCACCTGCTCGACCCCCTCTAGCACTTGTACTCGGTTCTCTTGCCCGAGAAGGAGTGGAGCGAAGACACGTACCAAATCCAAGTACTCGGGTGGCGCGACGAGGGCCCGGACGTCGGCCCCGGGGAGTGGTCGAGGGCCTTGCGATCGCTGAGAACCGTGTCGGCCAAGGGTGGATTCGGGGCGCAGCAGGAAAGTAAGCAGACCAAACGTCGCACAGATCAGGTCGCGCTGCATCTCCGAAGCTAGCCCAATCAGGGCGAGGGAGATGAGCTGGACACGAACGGCGACGGAGGACTTCACGCTGCGGAAATGACTGGGGATCTTGAAGCCCGTGTTCTCCGGGATCGTAATGGCAAAGAGATTGTACAGAGTCTGGTAAAGTCGGTTACTCCCGAGAATCCCGCGCGGCAGCCCCGCCAACAGCGCTTTCAGGGCCCATCCCACGCTCAGCACACTCGTCGATGCGTTACCAAGCGGCGGCAGCGCGATGACGCGGGTCGTCAATTCAATTTCACTCTGGATGTTCTCGGCATCAAAAACATCCTTCGCCCAGCTATCATACACGCGAGCCGCAATTTTCAAGTCGCCAGATTGACTGAAGATCTGGCCGTGGTTGAGACCTGGTGGGTCAGTCAAGTCAGGAATGGAACAGGAATGGGCACGAACCATATGTGTAGAGGAACAGGATCGCCGACACTATGGATGCGGGCAGCTGCAGAGGAGAAGGGCCCAGCTCATTGGAAACGATGTAGCTGTGTCCACCAAGCCGAGACAACTCTTCGAGCGTTCGTCCTCGAAGTGAAGTGAACGGCGCAGGGCTAAGATTCCCAAAGGTTCTCATGCGTCGCAGAATCGGCGTCCGTTCCTGGGCCGTCTCCAAGTTTGATCGTACGTTGCGGAGTCGACTAAACAACCCACGTCGAGTTGGCTCTGCTTGATCAGGTACCGGTGTCTGTGCTATCAGGAAGTTAGTGGGCTCTTGTAGATCCTGCGTGGCAGAACTCACGCGGGGTAGGCGCTTCATCGGACGCTATGCCCACTCTAATTCCATGTCGAGCTGCCATGCGATTGAAGTTCAGAATCGCACTCTGTGGAGTCAAATTGCGGGTGCTATTATGACTGGAAGCGCTACCAGCTGAGACAGCCCTCGCTCGGGGTCTTCCTGGGATGATCTGCGAAGGTGCGCGCTGAGGCGGTTCGACCGCAACGGCGTGATCGATCCTCTGAATTTGATCAATTGTATCGGCTTCGGCCTCAGAAATTGGCTCCAGTGGTCCTTCGGAGGCTCTCATTTCGTCTTGGCTTTGATAGGGAGCACGTCTGGATGGTCCTGCTACACTAGATGGCCCTGCTACAGCAGGTCGTTTGTCAGGGTTGGACTGCCGATACTCAGTGCTTTTGCCGTCTGAGAATGGATCTGAGAAATCCCGAATCTGCGTGCCTTCTTCGGGGATATACATCAACCCTGGCCACATCCAATCCTCGATATCTTCATCGAGAGGCGACGTCCCAAGGCGTGTTTCTGGGATATGTGGTGGCTGATCACTGATATCTTCAGTTTGGCTAGATCCCCGGGAGTGACTGTGTCGACCACCAACGTTGCGCGCATCTCGGGCAATTTGGGAGCTTGTTCGAGCGACGATGTTCTCGTAACCGGGGAGTTGTTCGGGAGGATTAGAGGACAAAGGACCCCCCGCTGCTTGCTCCCTGGCAGCACCTGCATCACTGGCCTCGGGCTGAGATGGCCCAGATACCTGCGTGATAGGATCGTCCTCCTGAGAACCACTCAGTCGGAAGCGAGTGACCAACTTTTTCAAGCGTTGACTGCCGGGTCTCGACCGAGATGATTCATCGACAACGTCAGCTTGAGGGCTGGGGTCGGCTTGGGGAGTTTCTTCGACAACGACGTCACCAACAGGAGCCACTTCCGACGAGACCTCGGAAATGATTTGAGCACTGGATGATCCGCCTTCGATCGGGTCCTGGCCTGTCTCCGTAGTCGTGGTCTCTGGCTGGGGTTTCGCTGCACTGCGGCGCCAGATACGATGAGACGATGTTTCGGACGTGTCCGATTTCCTGAACACGGTCTTGAAGCGCTTCATGTCGAAATTTGAATAAGCAATACGAGAGCAGATAATAGAGATGAAGTAAGGAATGAAGAAGTTGGGGGCCGCGACTTTGGTAAGGCGCGGGCGCTGAACGAGGAAGCTACGACAACGCAGAAGCAGAAGGTACACGACATTCCCAAGTCTATTTGGCACATTTTAGATGTCATTACCTCTGTACATTCGTGGGAGACCTCGCCGGGTCAAGCTGAAAACGCCGAAACGATGCAATATATGGAAGAGGTCATGCTTCTTCGTTTTCTCCCTCGAGGAGAATGTAGTGGAGAATATCACTCAGAGTGAGGACACCCTTGAGCTTGAAGTGCTCATCCACGACGACCAGACGGTGGACTCGGGACTTGCGGATGGTATCAAAGATGGTGTCCAGTCCATCGTTGAGAGAGCAGGTGTAGATCCCCGGGAAACCCTAGGAAATAATCAGCATATATATGAAATACGTCATAGCAGACGGGCCACATACCGCCGGACGTTTCTTCAGCGCTTCGCCAACCGTAAGGCTCAAGTCATCGTAAACACCACCCTTGATGAGAGCAATGACATCGACCGACTCGAACACATTATAGACAACGCCTGCGCGAGAGATTAGCTCTGTGACACGCCCCACAAACGTATACCCTACCTTCCGAGTTGACGATCGGCACGCTGGAAATGCTGCGCTCGACCAGAATATGGATTACATCGATGACCGGCGTGTCCATCGAAGCTGTAGCAACATTATCATACGATCCGAGCAGCAATTCCCCCAAGGGGCGACGCAGCTGCTGCGTGTCAGGGACGTTGACCGCGACGAATTTCAAGATACGGTATTGTGTAATCACGCTGAGCACGTGGGGGCGCTCGGTCTGGCTGTCGCTGGTGACGAGGGGGATACGACGGGCGCGCGACTCCAGCATGCGCCGGCACGCATCGTACAGCGGGCGCTCGGGGTCGATGGATACGGTCTCCGGGGGCGCCACGCCGAGCGCCTTTTCGACATCTGTAATCTCATCAGTCGTGGTTGCGTTCAGCGACCACACCAAACGTACCTCGCAGACTGTCCAGGCGGAACTGATCGATCTGGTCCAACGCGGCGGGGTTCTGGAAGTAATATTGGATGACGTTGATATAATCAGAGGTCGTCAGCAGACCGGCGAACTTGGACGCTTTAGAGTCCCACAACGGCGCGGAAACAATGCCTGTATGCCCGATTGTCGGGTCGCGGTTAGCGAGGCTGTCCGGAGATATCTCCCTTGCGGGGGAGGGGGAGGGCCCAACGTGCCATTTTGGATGAGGATGTTCAGACTCTCCTTGACGGAGAGCGACGTATCGAAGATGATGAGGCGAAAGCTGAGCGGTAGGACATCGTAGGAGTTTCGGACCTTGAGGAAGTTGCGGATGGCACGCTGATCGCGGTTAGTCGGGTCGAGATGGCGATTCCTGGCGGGGACCACCCTGGAGGAAAAAGCAAAGGGGAATACTCACAAGGCCCTGTCGCTCTTCCCGATCGATTGCTCTCTCGGAGGCCATTGGGGCGTAAGGTACGAGGATGGCTGCACGAAAGGCGCGTGACCAGAGGTGAAGGTCCCGGAGTCGAGGGTCTTCCGCCTTCATATGTGGGGTCTTCCTACTTCCCCCATCTTTTTTATTTTTCCCACCTCCATCCATGCCCATTATTCTCTTTTGATATCAGACATGCCATTCGTCAGATTGAGGGGAGGGGGTCATGCTGCAAGTATGCGGACTAGGAAACAGGGCTACATCGCAATCCTGGTGCCGAGGTGACACGCTTTCCTCTGTGCTTCACATCTTGTTGGACTCGTTTCCTTGACAGACGTGACATTCAAGAGTGTTCTTGGGGGGAAACGAGATACTGCAGTGAGCCTCGGGCTGGACTGGACCGTGATTGGATGCGAACGAGAGGACTAGAATGTCGGGGTTCAATGTTCGAGACATCGATGAATATTGTGGTTACAGCCCAACTCAAGCAATAGAGTGGTGAGAAGATGGATCTGAAACTCTTCAGTTTGATTTTACCGGGATATCGACGAACCGATCTGCTATCGCGCCACCGAGCCCTCCTGAGGGCTCGGCTTGAGCATGTGCTCCAATATTCGAAAAAGCAGCCACGGAAAAGAACCGCTTGACACAGCCCTGGAGGTGAAGCGAGCATCACACGTCTATCATGTACCTACTTTAAGGCAGTACGATGTATGGGCTTGGAACAATACTGGCCTGGCCGTCTCAGCATAGTCCCTTTCCCTATGCCTTAGGGGGGAATGGCTGTTGACGACAAGCAGGAGGCCCAATTGTAGTGATAGCCACCTTACCAGGTTGATTAACTGAATTGATAAACTGGAAATCACGGCACCCAGCCACTGCGGAGTATGTCCATCCGAGTATCGAATTTGCTACCCTGCATTGGCCTTGGTGGGTCATGAGAAAAGATTGAAAAGGTCAGGCCCCCTTTAGTCATGCCAATAAACCCTTGCCCGCGGATCACTTGGATCAATGCAACTTCTGGTGCCATCCTGTGTGTACTTGGTGTTATAGCACTCACCATCATGCTCAGCGCGCACATGTTGGATTTCACAAACCGGTGAATCTTCCACTGTTTGCAACTAGTTTAACTTCCACTGTCAGACTTTTCCTTGATGGTGTCGATGAAACGGGGGGTTTTCCAAACTCTGTGCTGCCCAGCTCGCAGGATATAGAACCTCCTCCCGAGGACAGGAAAGGATTCAGGCTTACAATCGCCCTCATAGTCAGATGAGCAGCAGAATGGCAACACAGCTTCCGAGGGTCAGATACCCAATGCCTTCCATATCCAGCCTGTCAACGAGGAAGAAGGTCAGGAAATGCTTCGGGGGTGATACAATGTCAAATCTTTACTAAGAAGGGGTCATGGCGACGGTGATAAGAGCACGCCTGGGAAGACCTCGACGGATAATCAATCTTTTCTTCCAGTGGAAGGTCCCTTCTGTGGCTTCAACCGCTTTTAATTGAACATGTCTGCCTCACAAGTATGCAGTCGATTCTCTCTTTGCCGGTACCTCTACATTGGCAAGGCATATCTGCATCTCCGGAAATCGCAAGTCCTAGGACCTCGGAGGCTGAAAATCACCCTAGTCGCCCAGCGCCTAACCCAGCCGCCCGCAGGCAAACATTGACCCCTCACGCTAGCATCTGAAACAACAATAGACTCCAGGGCCATTATTAGCTTATTGCTTTTTCTGAAAACTGCTCTGTATCTTGGTATACGCATGAAAGGATAGTTGGGAGATCCCTGATACTCCGTACGAAGTTCACGGTTGTAGTAGTTGTACAACTCAAGTTCATTTTACTAGTACAAGTACGTGAATAGTTTGCTGAACATTGGAAACTCATGGTCTGGCTCATACCGCTGTATAATTTAACGTTGATAGCCTTTAGTTTTCAGTATCTATATCCTCCAGTTTCCAGGCCCCAGAGGTTCCCTGTGTGGGGATTTGCGGGTGGCTGCTTCTTTCAATACGACTTTCAAGGCCACTCTTTGCTTTTCCCTCCTTCACCTTCCTCTTTATCGGGGATATGCAGACAATCATTCTCTTCTATGATTTCTTGCTCCCAGCAGTAGTCGAATCAAACTTCTATGAGGCCTACAACGATTCGAAGTCTGAGATTGTATGGCATTGATGGGGGTATAGTGGGGCCCGCCAATGGGCTGCAGGTTGGGCTGTGAGCCTAGGGTGCGGGCTCACTTGTGGGCTTGACACCCCAATCTCCGCGCGACGGCCTCGGCATACCTACAAGGTTTAAACACGCATGAAATCGCGGCGAATTCTGTGGTTTCTATAGAAAAAAAGATGGTTTACAAAACTCTATTCATCTGTAGTGACACACGATTTGTTAATAGGACTTTCCAGTGTGCTGCGAGGTAACAGTCACCATCATCGACTCACGACACATCGCAATAAGCCTACCTAGAGGGGTGTGGTTAAGATGAAACATATCCAGTGTTTCCTCAACTAATGTATATATTTCCCCTCCAGTGACTCTCAAGCACATACGACCACAGGGTGTGGAAAACAGGGCTTCCCGTCCGCTCAGCCGTACTTAAGCCACACGCCGGTGAGTTAGTAGTTGGGTGGGTGACCACCAGCGAATCCTCACTGTTGTATGTTTTTGTGTTTTTTTGTTTATTTCGAATCTGTTCGAGACTTACACAAAGAGGAAAAAATCATTTTAACCGGGTTTCTGCCACTGCAAATCTGGACCAAGAACGAAGGAAAGCTCCGTACTTGTAGAGGATCGCCATTCCAATATTTGAAAAGTTTAGTACGTCATCAAAAAACCCGAGAATGTGAATGCATGTCAAACGAAAAGCACACATGGGGACTTACAATACCCAATACACTGAGCCCGGCTAGGAGAGTCACTCCTTTGTCGGTACCCAGGTTGACGAACATGTTTCGAGAGAATAGGACGAAGGCAAAGCAAAGGCGGAGCGTGTGAAATCGTTTCCGGCGAAGAGGGAGGCAGCATATCGTGGATAAGACAGAGGGATGTAGACAAAAATGCATTGGAAAATGACAAAGACTGACCCTAAGTATATCACGATACCAATGGTGCCCACAATTCAATGTATCTCTTCCCTGCAGGTCCATGCTGAAGAAAATTGAGTTAGTCTACCTTTGAAGCCTTGGGCAGAATAGTCATGACAACTCAGCGAAGATCAAAAGTCCAGCTGGAGGAAAGAAAGATGCCACTAATCCAGGAAGAAGCCGATATTCATAACCACGGTGTTCGTTCTTTTTGAAGTTTGGAATGAGATGGGTGTAGAGGTAGATGATATAGCCGATCATTCCGACACCGCAATCAACACAAAAGACCGGTCCTCATCCACAGGATTTCCCATATTGCTCATCGCTATCTTAAGTAGTTTCAGCAATCAGTAGATATCGGTATAGGTGATAGTATGACTGACCCTTCTGCAACAACGGCAAAGGCTGATAAGACTGGCCCTAGAGCTGGGCCAGTCATGGAGGGTTCCAAGGTCCAAGGTTTTTAGAATATATGTGACACTGCATAATATCATGCAGCACCAGACTTCATTGGCTGCCTAAATCGGGGTAACTTCCGAGTTGGGGCTGCTTGCACATGTGCAACGTTGCAAGATGGGGTCCTTGCATTGGCACTTTACGTTGCCTTCCAAGGTTGGCTCCTTTTTTCAACAACTTCTCAACGTCCTCAATTCCAAGTTTGGTAGTAGTTAGATAATAACGGTTATTTTCCCCGGTATTGCTACCTCTGCGTGCGTAGGTTGGTAGATCAATCTACAAAAAAGCCGACCAGAGTGCTCGATAGCATCTGCGAATTTTGATTCCGATGACAGTCAATTGTACCAAATACCATGTCAAAAGTATATGTACGCTTTTCAATGCCGTCACCAAATCAACTCCTGATTCCTAAACCTTGAAAACATACCTCATTCAAAGTCTTACCCATAGGGCGACCTCAGGAGCATTTGACCAGGATCTGGCATCCTTTGATGTTTCATCTCAGTGAGTAGAGTCCTTCAGGCCTTGCTCCATTAAGTACAAACACTCGGCTAAACAGCTATGGAGTCCAAATTATAAAGTCCATCATCATGGCCCATATGTCCCTGCCTAGGCGACCCACCCGTATTCGCTTCCGGTTTCTCGGGCTGTTTGAGATCTGTGGATCCAGGACGAGCCCACCCAACTCGCTAGCACATGAGGCTTTACCTAGACCCGATGTTGGTGACCTAATAATATCCCAGTAAAACGGGGGCCTGTCGAGAAAATTATTAGTCGAAGAGCTATGCGAAATATTATACTAGTACATAAGCTGAGGATAGACGTGACTGGAGATTCATTTCGAACACGAACATCTATCTTGTTTCAATCTTCTTGCCAGTATTACCACCTCGGCAGGTGCTTAGCCAATTCGGCCAAAATGCAGAATCTGACTATTTCCGTTCGCATGGAAGATGTGATTGATTTTGCGTTCTATCGCTATGACCCCAGCATGGCTGGGGCGGTCATTTTCACACTCCTTTTCATCGGCACGACTTTTTACCACATTTTCCAAATGTTCAGAACCAAGACCTGGTATTTCGTTCCCTTTGTCATAGGAGGAACCTGTATGTATAGTTGTTCAGTTGATCTTGAATTTCATGCTGATATTAGCAGTCGAAATTGTCGGATATATCGGGCGTGCCGTATCAAGCAAACAGAGTCCGGATTGGACTCTGGGCCCTTACATCGTGCAGACACTATGTCTTCTCCTCGCCCCAGCTCTTTTAGCAGCTTCAATTTACATGCTGCTCGGCCGCATCATCCTGGTTCTGCAGGCAGAATCGCATGCAATTGTGAAAAAGAAGTGGCTCACCAAGATTTTCGTTGCTGGTGATGTGATGTCATTTCTTTTGCAAGGCGCCGGTATGTATCACCTGGAAAATTGAATATCGAGTGATATTGCAAAGCAGATCATTCATGCTGACATTGGGTTAAGGTGGGGGTATTCAGAGCAGCGGGAGTCTTGATGGCATGAAGAACGGCGAGAGAATTATCATTGTCGGCCTTTTCGTCCAAATCATCTTTTTTGGTTTCTTCATTGTTGTCACAGTGCTGTTTGACCTGAAATTACGCAAATACCCTATCCCACGCTGCTTCGACAATGGGATCCCTTGGCGCAGACACCTCAACATGCTATACACGACAAGTGTATTGATCCTGGTCCGCTCGCTATTTCGACTGGTTGAATACATACAGGGCAATGCTGGCTTTCTTCTACGACATGAGATTTTTCTATATGTTTTTGACGCACTGCTCATTTTCATTGCCATGGTTGCCTTCAATGTCACTCATCCCGATGGAATCACTCGTCTTTTGAAAACGGTACCGGAATATGAGTTAACTTGTGCTCCGGATGAGCCTGTTCGTTGAAGGACTTCTTCTCTGAAGAACCTTGGAAGTGCACGAGGTTTAAATTGACTGGTGGTTGAAGCAAGCACAGCAAAGGACTAGGGACTTTCATTCGACTTATTTCATTTCTCTTTTGAGTTGCGACTCTACAACCTTTCCTTCCTTCTCTCTCTCTATCTTTTTCTTTTTCTTTTTCTTTTTCTTTTCTTTCTTTTTCTTTCCAACAGAGAGAGTTTATCTTGAACACTAAACGTAAAATCGTCTAATTCCACCCTCGCCTGATAATGACTGCCTATTAATTAATCTATCTCAAACAAGTTTCAAGATTGCTGTCTATTTTGTGAGATTGAAAATAATTCTAAGGATTCAAACAAAGATCCTCCTCTGAAGAAGACTTCAGGGTCATGGCTGATCGTAGGATTGCCGACCAAACCTTCGAATTCACTTCGGGTGTTGGAAATAAGACCCACAGCATCGTGGCGAGATAAATTATGCAAAACAGAATATGAAAAATTGAAAACCTTCCTTCTCCCGATTAACTCCTAGCTAATGTATCCATCACAAGCAAAACAACCTTGAAGCTATCAGACAGTGCTAATGTGAGTCTTGTGTCGGGTTGTCGGAAGCAACTCGGCGTTTGGTGAGGCACGCCGGGCCGTCGCTGGACCAGAAAGAACCTTGGACGGGTGGAAGATACTCATCGCAACCATGGTGAAGAACATCAGCATGGAATCGAAGACATAAAGGAAGGCTTCGTGGCTAATGAGGTATCCGTCGTTGCCTTGAGCATATTCAATGAGACGGAAAATCGACCGGATCAGAATGAGAATGCTTGCGATGTATAGCCCGCTCATAACAACTTCCCAAGTAGCTCTCGATGAGCGAGATTGCTCTTTTGAAGATTCCTCGGTTGGGTTTTGGCGGATCCGGTAGTGAAAGATTGTTGAAGCAATGATGAAAATGCTAAAGAACACCAATTGTACAGCAAGACCGCCGATCGTGATACTTTCGCCGGTGTTCATCGCGCTGATGGTTCCGCTTGACATTATTCCGCCGCCTTGGTTTTCAATTAGCTTTTAATAATCGTGAAAGCGGGTAGGGGATCAATTTACCTGCTGCTTGCATGAGGAACGCAATCACGTCTCCAGTGACGAAAATAGCAGTAAGCCATTTCACAGGCACAACGCTCAACCGCTCAGCATCCAGGTGCATGATAAGCCTGCCGAGGGTCATGTATATCGAGGCAGCGTAGAGAGGAGGCGCAAGAAGAATCATAATAGTGCCGACGGAGTAGATTGGGATGTTTTCCTTGTCATTGTGGGCCAACGCGCGACAAATATAGCCTATGATTTGAACTGAAACACATGTTAGCAATGCTAGGGCGAGGATCATGCAGGTGTCTATGCAAAGCCTGGTATTGACAGCGGTTTCACTTACAAGCTCCTCCAGCGACGAAAATCAAAAAGTACCATGATCGCGTGCGAATGACCTGGTAAAGGTGAAAAGCAGTTGTGAGGACGAACAAAACGATGAAGATGATCGCAGCCACGAGTGAGGGTGTGTAGCGGTAGAGAACGAAGTCCACCCCTCCTTCCTGATTGGTGGCCATGGCGAATAGAGTATGGAATTTACTCAACCGATCAATTGAGCGGCTGGTGATAATGGGACTGAGAGGCTGTGAAAGAGGGAAGTATGAGGTTCGTAGCGTTGGAGAAATAGTTGACTGAAAGTGCAATTCCGAGAGCACTAGCTCAGTATTTGAGTTGAGCGCTGGTGAAATCCCTTCACGCCGTAATCGTAAATATCTTAGACCAGAACTTTTGCCTCAACGGGCTGTACCTTAAATCGTGAACGCCGGACCGTAGATGAAAAGCCGAGCTGTGGCAATGCCCCATTTTGACCCACCCGTATTCGCATTCTCGGGTTTTCGTATAATTGCCCATCATTTCACGGAGTATATTTACGGAGTATCGGAGGCATCAACATTATCCCATTTGTGGAGCAGCTCTCACTTCCCCCGGTTATTATCCGGCTCGGCTCCCCATCTTTTCATACCCCTGCCAGATATCATCTTCTTTCCACGCTCGTGGACGCCTCCCCAGCTGCCAAGACAACAGGTACCTAGGTATATCTTATCATGAGAGGTGATCCGAGCGTCTAGCCTGGCCGAAGCTGTTCCGAGTTCACTTTCTGCGTCCACCAGAAAATGAGATTCTCCCGGGTCAACAATGCATCGTGGTAGTATGTCACTACTTTCAACAATTCAGTCGACAAGACAAAATATAACATCTAGCCTGCTTGGAAGGCTCGGGTGGTCCGTGAAGAGTAGTAATCAATAATCGCGATCCCCGGAGGGTCTGGAAACCGAGCTTTGTATCAACATGGATGGGATCAGGGTGTGAATATTCGACGCCAACCCGTGGACATGGGAAGGAATCCCGAAGCACGTGATCGAACCGGTGATGGAAGCCCGAGAGAGATGCCCAGCATTCTCTGCGACATTGCGCAAGACGCAATATTGTCGTTGCTCGTTGGTTGGGCCCCATGGGCAGATTTGCAACGTGTCAACTCGTTGGAAGATACATCCAGGCAGTACACGGGGCTGAGTAGTTAACGTATTTCGCAGATGATTGGCATCTCGTTTCAGGAAGTAGATTTTGATGGCATCGCCACGACCTCGTTGGGCCAAAGCATAAATGTGGAGAGTAGGTTGTCGTCCATTGCATCGATAAGGGACTTCACCTTGAATATCTCCCCTTCAAATGAGCCTTGTAGGAACCAAGTATCAACTAATGTGTTGACCAAGTAAAAATGAGCAAGGAGAACGAGAGAGTACCCATGCAGGAAGTTATGCTCGCTCTCCTGGAGTGACAACAAAAATGGGCTCGATAGTGCGACTGGCCAGCCCAAAATAGCCGCGTCTTCAAAATCCATCTGAATCTCCGTGTCCACAGGAAATTCGGTTGCAGCGCACCGCAATACGGCGAGAACACGGGAGTAACTCTTTTCAAGAATTTCCAATGCCGCAAAATGAGCGTCCAAGATCAAATCAGAAGCCATGGAAGGCGAAGACTCAGAAGTTGGCGCGCCCGGGCAATTGGGCACTTCATCCTTCGGGGCCTCAAGCGCTTTTAGAGCAGACTTAAGATTGGCAACTGCTTGGTCTGCACCTTCAGCAAATTTCGATAGCCTGGGCGAACAACGAGAAAGCCGAGATAATCGGGCGTCGATTTGTAGGTCATTCCAAAATTCCTCGGTGTGTGGGAGGACTACCATCTGTCGGAGACGGCTGGCTTTTAAGACATTCCATTGGTCACTTAGCACAGATGACACACCTCGGTTAAGGTATAACCAATTGAGATGTAGAATTTCATTGGTTGAAGAGCTTCTCGGGGCCTGTTGTAGCTCAGCCAGTGAATTCAGCCTCTGAACCTTGAGGGATGCAAATGCATATCCAACAAGAAGCAGAGATCCGGCAAGAACATGATCAGCGTTGGCGGGGGAAATGCAAGACAGCTCCTCTCTGAAACCCTCTAGCCCTTTTTGATGATGCCCCTGTATGGTTGCTAAGTCTACCGTATCTGAGGCCTCGAGTGCTCCTTGCCTGCTGAACTCAGCCTGCCGGATGACCATGTGAATGCCCCCCAAAGCTAAAAGCAGGTGCATCAGGCTGCGATTCATATTCGCGAATTCGGGAATAACACGCTGCCAGACCATGGCTCTCCTCGGCTGTAGTGCCATTCTGCTCGCAGTGTGTAAGTGAAAGAACTGTAGGAGCTTCAGATCATCCATGGCCAGGCTTTGCTGCCCATGCTGAGGCTTCCCCAAATTTGCTGGTACTGTCGCGTTTGCCCCCATCAGGTCAATCGCACCGAGCTGGGGGCATTCATCTGGAGACGCCCAAGAGACCGGCATCGAGGATCCACTGTCGTCATCTGTTTGATCTTTTCTGGATGTCGAAGGCTTCTGCAGCAATATGCGTGGGCGGGGGTATGAGCAGGGCTCACCCCTGGAAGAGCATGTGCCGCAGGCGGGCTGAAGTTCGTCACACTTAGAAAGCTCAGCATCTGGTTCAGCGCAACGGTTTCGATGACCCTACTTTGACACGACGCGATTTGCAATTGTAGCAGCCATTGCGCGATTTGGTGTGGCGGGCACGGTGTCTTCTCATCACGCGTTGCTGGTCTGCAGTGGCGTCCGAGAGCACATACTCTGCCATTTGCTCGTCTGTTGTGCTGGTTTCGCAATTGTCTCAGGAGGATCGAAGATCTTCACCATGGTTGGCAACTATAAAGTTGGTGCTCGAAGTGAATGCGGCGAGAGGACGTAGGGCGGTCGGCAGAGACCCGAAACGTAGACCCAAAAGAGGTATCCCTGAATATAAATGGACGAAATAAGATATCTTGGCTATGATTCGCAATTTGATAGAGGGTACTCTTTTCAGGGAATCATGTCAGGGCATTTGAACCGTAATGAAATCTTTTTCCAATTTAGTTTCTGTTGGAGCTTTGTGACTATAGTACACACAGGAACTGTAGACCAGGCATCGAAAACACCATGGATTCTGTGAGAAAAAAAAAAAGAAGGTGAGGAGACAGCGCGCGAACTATCTGGTGAATAAGATCACCTGACCGTCCAGAAGAACTCTGGAGTGATGGACGAAGGAGACACTGGGCGTCTTCAAAATGCTTGACGTCACGTGGTTAATCACGCAGTCCACGGGTGTCTACCTCCAGGGCTATAGATTTAGCTTAGGTACTCTTTCTCATTTCCTCTGGTACATTGAGCTTTCCAAGGTTCCTGTTAGCCGTATATTTAGCGTGGTCTATCAGATGCTGTCTTTTATGCATAAACGAGTCCACGTGTGTGGGCTCGTTGTCAGCCTTGCGAAAGTCCCATCTGCCAAGATCCTAGTGGATCCAACTGCATTAGAAAGGCCTTAGACCAGGGTCCCGGACCCACGCGTATTCGTATATTCGTATATCCGTACGGAGTATACCGAAGAGCGAAAATACGAAACCGCCCAGGCTAATCCGCATTCGCCCCAAGGTTCTTTACATCGGGATGCCCTCCATCTTGAGCATCCAAATCGCGTTGGTTCTCGGGGCACCATTATAAAAAAAAAAAAAAACCATATAGAATGCATGAGAGCAAAGGTGCAATGGAAACACCCAAATCTTATTGTATGAGCAATTAAATAGGCCTGGGACTGGATCAAGCTCGTCACTTCTAAGGTCTATAAGCTTTGACGACATCAACTGGTGATAGTCTACCTAGTTATCAACGAGACCGCAGGGTAGCAAAGCAAACCATTGTCGTGAATATCCGGTCAGGTGGCCGTGTTACTCAGATAGTAGCTCGCTCTCTCCCTCTTTTTCCAAGGTTGCTTTCTTCTTTGCCTCTCTCTCTCTCTCCTTCGCCTCTCTCAGTATATGCAAGGAACACTGCCGGAGAAGAGAAAACTCGAAGGAGAAGAGAGAGGAATTTAGCGAGAGCTATCCAAACAACATCATCCAATGCCCACCCCGGGACCATCTGAATCAGCTCCTCAGCCTTTCTTGCCTTTGAGCATTCCTCGAAATCTTACAATGAGGCTATCAACTTCCACATAATCTGCCAACAACCATTGTCCCTCAGCGTGACGAGCGCTGGCAATCTTCTTTTTCGTCCCGGAATAGACAGCTGATTTCAGGCTTTTGGCAATACCAACACCCGGATATACCACAACACCAAACATCGCACAGCCAGCTTTCGTCGTCATATTTGCTACACCCTTACCAATACCAGTCACAGCGCCCCGAGCTCCATCTTCTCGGATGCCTTCGTACGGTTTCACGACCAAATCGCCCACTGCTTCCACCATCCCCAATGCGAACCCCTTGCCGCCGAGGACAAACCCGCTCTTGGCATCAGTGACGGATCCATCGTGCTGTGGCTTTTCTCCATATAATCGAGGGACGTTGCGCATCCCTTCCGTCATAGCGAGCGGGATGTCGACTGTCATTCCTTTCAGCGCAGTCGGCACAAATTTGGCAAGACTCTTCGCAGAAGCTCCAGCCATTCTTCCTGCAAGCCTAGCTCCATTCCGTTGGGAGTGCAGCGAGGGGTTTTCTGAAGAAGTGATACTTCTTGTAGAACCCGCTTTATTCTTCTGCATGGAGTACTCTCCGGTGGAGCTGCTTGCTGGCCTTTCTGCGGATTGGCTTGCGCTACTAGTCAAGGTGAGATCCCTGCGGCTCATTTGGTAGTCCTTATACTCCTCAACAGGCTTGTAGAAGACCCCCAAGATGGAATCAAGGAGCTCTGTCGTGGTTCCCATAACGGCAGAGCTTCCGCCCGTGATAGGGTCCCATCGACGATTCTCAATCACAAGGGATTTGAGCGTATGTCTGAAAACTGGTTAGATGCATAGCTTCATGGGGCCAGCAGCTTCACGTACGGTTTAAGTCGTTTCGGATTAATCACTTTCTTTTCGACGAGTGTGGCTGCCGCCACTTTTGACAGTTTGATTTGGGTGTCACCTGTGGGATAAGACCACACTGCAGGAACCCCTGGACAGATATCGCAGGAGAGATTCTCCAAAGGAAGACACGAGTGGAAGGAGTTGACGGCTGCTTGGACTCCTGTTTCAGAAGCAATTTTGACCGCAATTACAGAGGCGGCACTGGTTGCTTCATCCGTGAGACAATATCGAATTCCTTCCGCCAGAATTTCGGCATTGAGATCTTTGTGAGGAATGGGGGCAGGACCAGCGCCCGATGCAGCCACCATATCACCCCAGAATGGTTGACTAGAAAGTAAGCCTCAAACACGTTCAAAAATTACCAGGGCCAAGCCACTCACTCTCCAAAGAACGGAATGATGACTGTAGGTTTTGCATTTCGCAACCCACAAGCCGTCGTGCCAGCGCCTCCATGATGTACCACCGCTGCAACGTGTTGAAACAGCCACTCGTGGGGGCAATCTCCGATGAGATATACGTTTTCGCTTTTTTTGCCGCCCAAATTCGACCACCCCTGAGAGATGATGGCCCTAACTCCAGCAGCGTCGATCGCATCAAGAATGGCTGCATGCACCTTGGCCGGATCCTCAAGCACAATACTCCCAAAGCCAATATATACCGGCGGGGGACCAGAAGATAAAAAGACCTGGAGATCAGTTGGAGGGTCGTATGCTGGGGCATCACGGAAGAAAAAGCCGCAGACATCTAAACGCAATGTCAGCCACGTCTATCGATACTGAGAGGCTTCTTTCATGCCCAGGTGATAGACTAACCAACATAAGACGGCCAATCTGACGGTTTAGGAACAAGAGCCGGAGACCAGCAGTATGTGAATGGGACTTTCAGAATTTCAGCAAGATGAGGACCTTCGAACGTAGCCACTGTGTCCAGGTCAAGCTCTTTCCGCCATCGATTCACTACATCGCCTACCCTAGAATGATATTAGTATGTTGCAACCGTATTTGGCTTCAAATCAAAACTCACCCCTGCCATGTAAGCCAGTTGACAAGATCGTACGAGATGTAATTTTTGAGCCCCTGATCTGAATCATCTGCCTTGAAGTTGGCTAATGGGTGTGCAAAAGACTTTGTCTGGCTCCAAGGCATTGTGAACATCAGATGTACCGGAATGCTGAGGGCTTGAGCACAATGCACATGTGCAAAGCTCGGTGGGTTTGCGATGATCGCATCAGCCACGAATGGGTGACCTGTCACCAAATCCGGCTTGATACATGATTCCCAACACCCGTCCAGCATTTCCCGGATCATGATGCGCTTGCGACGAATCTCACCGGCCCGAAAACTCTCCATGCTAGGTATCAGCCCCGGGGTCTTCACCATGTATGCCATTAGCTCTTTTGGGTCGCCTCCGATTGGGTAGAACTCCAACCCGGAATCCCTCACGAAACTTTCGAACCTATCATGTGTGGCCAAGCGCACGCGATGTCCATATCGCTTGAGTTCATGGCCGAGGGCAATGAATGGTTGAACATCACCTCGGCTCCCCACGACTTGAATCACAATGTTCAATTTGGCGACCCAATTTTTTCCAGATTCTCCACTTGACTCCAAGTGCTCGGATATGCGATCTGGGTAAACATCTTGAGCCTCGGCACCCTGCGTCGGTAGTTCGGAGTATTCGGGTGGTGGTGTATCAGCGCGTGAGAAAGGGCCGGTGTACAGCTTTGAGAGGGTCCGCACGAAGTTTGAGTCCCAATCGATATCTACGCGACCTGCATCTATTTTTCATAGGTTGAAGATCAGTAAATTGGACGTGCAGTGCAGCATCAAAATCGAAGTGTGAAAAGAGAAGTAACGTACCATTCAACTTGATACCACTCATCCCAGTAGTTGGGGGACGAGTGTTGGATGACTCCACGACAGGTTCGGCGGGTAGCTCGTGGACATAGCCCGGATGGCCATGGTCGGCCATCTCTGCTACTTTCTCGTAGGGGTATCAAGGGAAGATGAAGTTCAGAGAATCAGCTAAGTTGGACCCGTGGACTGTAAAGATGATGTAAAATGGACGCATTGGGAAATAGGCTTCGGCCATTGAATAAACGAATACGCCCCGCCTGCGCATCTTTGGGTGGATTTCAAGCTAAGTTTTAAGCTTAACCCGAATCTGTGGGAAAGTGGGGCGTATTCGTATACGCTCTTGGGCTCCTAGTTTCTCTCTAAGTTCACGGGTTTGTTGCCAATAAAAGTTTGAAACAAGTGGCAAGTGCAATGAACTCGCAATGCAAAATTTGCCATCAATTTTCTTGGTGATCCACATTGTTGAGGAGCGGTTCGAATATTGAATTCGCCTAGAACCACTGTACGCAATGTTTTTTTGGCAGATGAATAACAATCCTGAGTCGATTACACGTTTTATCGGCGAGTGGGTCACCTCGGATATCCTGAAGCGGTACGGAGTACGGAGTCTTCACATCTCGGCATCGGCTTGGCGGGTCCTACACTACCGCGTTTCTTCGACTAGTTGGTGGATTCAAGTGGTAAGTACTAAAACAAGGGTTCGAATTTGGGGTGGTAAGCTAGCTTCTACGCCCAGGTGGGCACGGTAGATCCAGTAAGCACTAGATACATTGAGCATGAGGAGAAGGAAAGAAACAGGGGAAGGAGGAGACTGTGTGCCTTGGGAACGCTCTAGCATGTATTCTGCTTTCCTTTCAACCACTTCCCTTCCGTCCCCACCTGCCCCTTCTCCGTCTAGGAACATCCTTCCCAACCTCGGGAAAGACCTCTGTTTACCCATTTGGCAGGCATTCCGAAATGTTGCAGGAAATCGTTTACGTATGGAGCTCTCGTGTTCGTAAGTTGCTCTGACGTCGCAGGAGACACTGACCCACAGTGTGCCCTAATTTTAAATCACTGCCTAATCATCGATATCCCAGGCTATAAAAGCCTTGGGTGTGCCACAAGATTTTCAAGAGTTACAACCTATTCAGCATCAAAGAGACAAGAAACACATCGGCATATACAATGAAGACCTTTGCCACAAGATTGATCAGCGCGTTCCTCGTTGCCGCTGAAGGAATCCACGCGATCCCCAGTACCGGCACCACCTCACTGAGAGCGGAAGCGAGAAAGCAGGACATTCTTATTGGGTCCGGGGCGATCAACCCGACTTATCTCAATGACTCGAATTTCGCGGCCGTCCTCGCCACTCAGTTCAACAGCCTCTCTCCCGAAAACGAGATGAAGTGGTCTTTCATCAACCCAACCAAAGGGCAATATAATTGGGACACGCTCGACCGACTCGTCACCTTCGCAAAAGACAACAACATGGTTGTCAAGGGTCATGGGCTCATCTCGAGTTGCTGCAATCCCGACTATCTGCTCAACGTCACCGACCGCACAGCCCTACGGGCTGCCATGAAAACCCACTTTGAGGCGCTCATGCACAGATATGAAGGCAAGATGGACCGGTGGGACGTCGTCACCGAAGCCTTCAAAACCCAGGGAGGTGGCCTGAACAACGAGACCTTCTTCTACCAAGTCCTCGGTCCCAACTACATCGCAGATGCCTTTCATATCGCCCGGGAAGCATCCCCAGATAGCAAGCTGTTCATCAACGAGAACCTCGTTGAGTCACTCCCCGGCAAACGCCAGGAACTCTACAGCCTGGTGTCCAAACTCGTGGCTAAGGGTGTTCCAATTGATGGAGTCGCCCTGCAAATGCACATCACTGAAGTGGCACCGAAGCCGGGCGTGGTCACAGAAATGGTCAAATCCTACAATGAGCTTGGACTAGAGGTTTCGATCGCTGAGTTGGATGTTCACACCCTCGACAATGAACTGGAGACCGATATCTATGGCGCCGTCATCAGCGAGGCTCTGGACGCAGGAATCACCGATATTAGCTTCTGGGGATTTACGGACAAGCACGCCTATACATGGATAAAGGGAGCAAAGCCTTTGATGTTCGACCAGTGCTACAAGCCCAAGAGCGAATTTTACGCCACCCACGCTGCTCTCGCCAAATTCGTCAACCAGAGCTGAGTGTCAGAGAATGTATGAAATGTACATGTAAGCCCGAACACCGTTTGAAGCAAATCACAAAGACGGGAACTTTGTCCGTTCGGCACGATGAGTTTGACACACTCTGAGATATTTCTCGTGACAGTCTACCTAGGTACCTAGTAGTATCACTACCACCTCGGCAGCTCATTCCTTGTTTTAAATCGAATAATATAAGTCTCAATTGATACCATAATCAGTCATTTTCTACAGACAAGTACAGTAGACCAGCATATCGGAAAATCATAACGTTTCATTGATCATGACAACTATATATGGCCTTTGTATTCACATGAAGGAACGGGGAAAACAGGCATATCTGTCTGACAAAAACCCGAACCAAGGCAAGACATAATAAACAAGAGGACCTTATTCAGACGGGCCGTATGTGATATGTGAGACGGCGAGGTATGTTCGGTAGGACTGGAATCAGGTGCTGACTCTTCCACCCGCTTTGAGATGCCCAGGTGGGACTTAAACCCAGGACTAAATGTTGGTCAGCGATTATTGTGCCAAATGGGAACGGGAGGGTTATATACGGGAAGGAAGCTGGAGGCAGAGCAGGCCTTGCTAACAATGTTACCGGCCGTGGCAAGAACACCTCCCCGACTATGCTTGGTGGCGACGCCCTCAATACAGGTCCAGAACTGGCAACCAGCGGCGGAACCGTCCTTGCCGAGGTTGAAGCTGTCGAGGAAGCTGTCAACACATCCGTGCCATTCCTGGTACTCGGCTGGGGAGTACTTGTTGGTCTGAGCAGCGGGAGCGGCGTATCCACCATTGTACTGCTGCTGCTGGGGGAATGCCTGGTACTGCTGGGGCTGTTGACCATACTGCTGGGGCTGTTGGCCATACTGTTGAGCCTGTTGGCCGTACTGCTGTGGGTGTTGTGGCTGCTGGCCATACTGTTGCTGGTTCTGACCGTACTGAGCGGTAACAGCGGTGGCGAGGACGGCGATGGTGACGACGGAGAACTTCATTTTGATGAATCTTTCGAGGGTTATTAACCAGTCATTGATGATGTCCAACGGTAGAACTTACTGAGTGTTGGTTTCGAAAACTTTGGAAGTGGTTGTAATTCTTGTTTTTCTTGAGTGATGATGGATATCAGAGAATTGGCCGGGAAAGAGCTAGGTACTTATAGGTTTCTTCTCCTGTCTGTCTGTCTCAGCTTATGCTGGTTGTCCTCCAATGTCCAAGGAGGCGGTGACTGATTTCGTCAACCTTGAAACCCACAGCTCTACCTATTGCTGCCAAAGCGCCGCTCTACGGAGTACTCGCACCGCACTCTCCCTTGCTCCTATACGGCGTCATGCTTGTCGGTGCCCGCGGAATACCTACATGACTCTATTCTCGTTAGCAAGTCATCTACTACACGGAACGTCACTATAGATGATAAAATGCCTCATAGTCTATATCGACACGCGTGGAATACGTAGAGCATAAGAAGCTTTGAGTAATGATCAACGAGGAGCTGAGATGTTTTGACAAACTCGAACAAGCAAGTCCCTCGCATCCAACTGTGGATACTAAGTTTACAATCAGGTTGAGATCTGTTATGATTGCTGAATATGTAACGCAGGCGAATAGCTTTAGAAGTTGTCAAAAAGCGGTCTATAGTATAAGCTATTGCCATCTTTCTTCATGTCGATCCATGACGGAGGCATTGATCCCGAGGTCATGCGGGGGTTCGCACCCGGTCTGGCCAAGGATATCTGTCATTGTTGGTTTCTAGCTCGCGGATATACTCAACTATAAGTTACATTTTCTTGGATTTTGATCGTTTAGAAAAAAAAAACTACGAGGAGTATTATATATGACGAGACAATGCAACTCGGTCATTCTGGGCCTGATATAGTTGTCCCATGTTCTCTATGTCGTAGTTCCCGGTGAGGAAAAGACTGCAGGAGCTTAGTACACCCTGACAGACCTTGAGGCAAACCGTATTGGTATCATGGACTCGTAAGTCATGATGTGTTCTCCGTACATAGTATAAAATACATGGTCAAATTACATTCATGGATACCATCAAGGTCACACACGCAAGTCAAAATTGGATCGTGGCTGGCTGAGTGAGGTATGTACTGAAAGTCTGCAACCTGCAAAACATGCATAAATTGCCTTTTATGAGGAACCTGGGGATGATCCCGAGGTCACGACTCGCCCGGCGGGCGGGCCGTCCCAGAACCTAAACGATAACTCATTTCCCCTCTGTACGGTTCTTACCCTGGATGATTTCACTTGTAGATGCTCACTAAAAACAATTCGCCCGATGGTATCTTCTGGACTAATGTATTATTTCGGTGTGTCGCATATCGGCCATAAATGCAGGGGAAAGATTCTGCACCACCGCTGAGACCTATCTCAACCTCCCTGCATATCTCTCATGTGCGGAGTACTGGAATTGCTTCTCATTTGGATGGAGACAAAAGAAGCGAAATAGGAAATTATAATCAGTGTGAAAAATAAAAAAAGAGAGATCTTCCATTAAACATCTACCGCTCGTCTGGGGTCCCGCACCCCTGGCGTCTAGTATGTATGCCCCTTCGTACCGGTCCTCGGCTTTTCTCTAGAGCTGCAGGAAACCTGCATTTGTGGGGATAGTCGCCAGCTCTCAGCTGCCGTGTAACACCTAATAAGATTGATGTGCAATATAGTTGAAACCTTGGAAGAGTATGGGCTCCATTATCTTCGGGTCTCAGTTTCAGTTCCATTTTCGGTCGAGGCATTTGATGCAATGCTACTCCGTACACCTTTCACAGCCCTTATGGATTCGCTTGAATGGTATGTATGAGCGGCAAGTGATCTGCAATTGATCTGTTCAGACCAAAATAATTCAGTGTGATTCTTGACATCACCGGTTGACAAAGTCCACCAAAGGGCGTTTTTGCAAAGGCCTGTGGCTTGCTGAAAGCTAGGATCATGGGATAGAAATGGACATAAATACTTGACTATACCACCCGGTTGTTGTTCCTCCAGCCATTCGGATCCTTCATTGGCACAATGAAGAAAGTTCAGGCAATCCTTACCGTGTTCTTTTCAGTTTCGGCCTGCCAGGCTCAGTTTACTTCTCCTGGCAAGACCACTCACCGGAAATACACCCTCGATGATATTATACCCACCACCGACCAGGCTTCCGGTCATGTCAAGTGCTGTCCCACCGGCACAGAGTTTGATGGCAATGCCTGTATCCTGAGCGCGCCCATCTGTCCTGAGGGTAGCTCTCTTGTGGGAGACAAGTGTGTCGTCCACGCGAATCCAACCTGTGATGCTGGATATGAGCTCAAGGATGGTCTTTGCGTGACCACTCAGCCCCCTACTTGCGACAAAGGAACCATTCCACACGGTGATCACTGTGCTCTGGAAGGGGGCGCTAGCTGTGGGCCTGGATATCTTTTGAAAGGCAACGTTTGCGTTGCCCAAGGACCGCCTATCTGCCCGGACGGTGAGCGCTTCAACGGAAAGTCTTGCGCATCACTCGACGGGCCCAAATGCACCGATGGTTCCAAGCTCGAAGATGGTGTCTGCGTTGATGAGAACCCTCCCAGATGCCCTAAAGGAACTTCCTTCGATACGACCGGTACACGATGCGTCTCGGAGCAGGTGCCAGGTTGCCCTGAGAAAACAACTCCTCGAAACGGACAATGCACTTCAAATGTCGGACCTCAGTGCCGCGATGGCAGCAGCTTCAACCCCAAAACTCAATCGTGCACTACTATTGAATCGCCTCAGTGCCCACCTGAGACGGAGCTCGACAACGACAAATGCATCTACACTGGTCAGTTGCAGTGCGAGCCGGGTACAACTCTTTCCACCAGCAGTTTGGCTGGCTCTTCTCGCTGTTGCCCACCGGACATGTCATGGAACGGAAAGATCTGTTCCACGAAGGCGATCGAGGGCAAATGCCCAGATGGAAGTGCTCCAATCAACAACCGATGTGAAAAACATTCCAACCCTCAACCTCACTGCCCGTCAAATTTCAAATTGGACAAAACTCGCTGTGTTCTGCAAAGCTCCCCTCGCTGCCCCCAAGACAGCTACCTGGACGGCGCTCAATGCACCCTTCTGAAGAAGGCAGAATGCGCACAGGGAGCGGTCCTGGTCGGTAGTGACTGCGTGCTTCGAAGCCCTCCTACTTGTCCCCCCAACACCAGTATTGAAGGAGGAAAGTGTATCAGTTATGCCGAGCCAACCTGTGATGATAAGGCCACTTGGGATGGCAAACACTGTGGCAGTGAAGGTGGCATTGTATGTGACGATGGAGTCTACCAAAGTGGCGAGTGTAGCACTGCGAGCCAGCCCAAGTGCAGAGACGGTGCATCGTTCGATGGTACCCGCTGTGTTTCGAATGTTTCCCCCAAGTGTACTTCGGGATCTGTACTCAACGGAGATGGATTGTGTCTCACTGCGACTCCTCCTCAATGTCCCCCCAACACCAAGCTGCAAGGCGGGAACTGCGTCTACGGAAAGCCTAGCTGCGCCCCCGATCAACGCCTTGTCAATGGACGGTGCGAGCGTACAGAAGGTCCTGAATGTCCTGAAAAGTTCTTCTGGAAGGGCGGAAAATGTACCCGTATCGTCGAAGAACACTGTGAGCCTGGATTCACCCTCAAGGACGGCCAATGTATCTCCGGTGCCACTCCTGATTGCGGAGATCTTGTATTCAATGGCAAGGCCTGTGTTGGGGAGAAGCCTCTCTGCCCTGATGGAACCCACCTCGATGGAGAGAGCTGTTTCTCCAACATCGATCCCCAGTGTCCGCCAGGTTTCAAGTTTAATGGCAACAAATGCAGCGCAGAGCAAGCCCCTCACTGTCCTCCTGGCACAAAGCATGACAAGGTTACCCAAGACTGTGTCTCGGTCACAGAGCCTCGCTGTCCTCCCATGCAAAAATTCAATGGTAAACATTGTGCTATTGCCTCTGGGGAGTGTATGGAATTCCAGTTCTGTCCCACTGAGTCCTATGGAAGTGGATGTCAATTCACCCCCGATGGAGTTATCTGCAATGGATCCAGGTTCGAGCAGCAACCGGGTACCAGCCAGGACAGCTCCCAGGTTGCTTGGCAGAGACAGCCGCTGAACCAGCAGCCTGATAACCCCGGTGTGTCGCGTGAGCAGCCTGGCGGTCAGCAAACTGGCTGGCAGCCACAGCAACAGGGGCAGCCACAGCAGGGCAACCCCGGAGTCTGGCGTGAGCAGCCCGGCGGTCAGCAAACCGGCTGGCAGCCACAGCAACAGGGGCAGCCACAGCAGGGCAACCCCGGAGTCTGGCGTGAGCAGCCCGGCGGTCAGCAAACTGGCTGGCAGCCACAGCAACAGGGGCAGCCACAGCAGGGCAACCCCGGAGTCTGGCGTGAGCAGCCCGGCGGTCAGCAAACTGGCTGGCAGCCACAGCAACAGGGGCAGCCACAGCAGGGCAACCCCGGTGTGTGGCGTGAGCAGCCCGGTGGCCGGCAAACTGGTTGGCAGCCACGACAGTAGCCCAACGCGGGTGTGAAACATGAACATCCTCATTGATCTGGCCAAAAGCCTACAATGTGATACGACAGCAATGAGAATCCCAATTATTACCCCGATATGGCAATCTTCACCGATTCATAGGCTCATGTGCCATCACAGCCACATTAGGGTACCAGCAACTATGAACCATTTGTCATAGTTTAGAAGCATTGACTATCCCGAGGTTGAGTCCAGCTGTCATTCCTATCTACTATATGTTTTCTTATGTCTCTGTTCAGTCCGCCTCGGCGGTAACCACTGTCATTACGAGTCTTAGTTTGGTGATATAGTGCACGCACTTGAAACTAAATCAAAATTACATTGCATTATACGTCATTACGTTTCCTTTGTTACGAGCATTCCTTGGCAGATCTTCCAGCTGACACCCATGTTTTCAAGTATTCTACGGTGTGCTAAGAACCTTGATAGATTGAGTCTGTAGGAGTGGTTCAAGGTATCTAGTCACCGATTCGCCACATTTTCGATTCAAAGTTCGTTTCATCTGGCTGTTGCTCAGGCTAAATTGTTTCAATGCATCTTCAATTTCCCTCACTTGGTCTATTTCCAAGGTCACGCCCGGGAACATACACTCAGCGTTCGTTAGATTTCACTCATCGCACGTGAAAGCAGGCTATCTCCAAGCTTCCAAGGCTGGCGCTGCAAGTACTCCAGTACCTAGAATGGTATCCCCTCTGGCGAGGAATTGGTAGGGGAATGATGCCAGGGGAATTGATTGGGTACAAACCCGTCCGCGGTAACGCCGTTGCCGAAGCTTTCATATTTATTCCCGGGATTTCTGTATACTAGGTCAAAGTCCTCCCAGCGAACAATTTCTGTTGCTTTATAATAGTGAATGACAGTTCCGGACCAAGGGACAATAACTTTATCATTCCCATTCTTGTCTACGAATACACATGTTAATCACCAAACAATGCTATTGGAGGGTTATTCCACTTACACCATGAGCTACATGGCCCTGACCAAACCATATGAGGCATTCTAGATTGAACCCATTTGTTGAAGGCAATCTGAGCGTCTTTTTTTAGGCAGACTGACCGCAGGGCGTCTGTTTGGAGTCGAGACAATACTCGAATCATGTAGTTGCTTGCCCTCTCGATGCCAGGAATAGCGGACCCATTCACAGGACTTGTCGGTGGGTGAAAAACTGTACAAGTCAGATCTCTTCGACTCGCTGAGATGACCATATGTCAAAGTCCGTCCTCTTACCAAACATGTTAGGAAAACCGGCGACCATCGAAGCCATGTAACTCTCGCAAGGACCCTCTTGATCCCAGTCTTTCATTAGCGATTGTCCATCACGGCCAATGACAGGGAATCGTGGTTTGTACGGTTCGAATCCTGTAGCGTATACCAAGACGTCACACTCGTAGTTGTCACCAGACTCGGTGACAAGACTGTTTTTTTCTCGGTTTCCTGATCGAGTCCTGCACGAAAGTGGCGTTTGACTTCTGCAGTGCATCCAAATAATGACCACCAGGCGTGAAACGGCGACACCCGGCTTCAAATGCCGGAAGCAGTGATTTCAAGAGCTCAGGGTCTTTGATCTTGGACTTCATGAAGGCCAAGGCTAAGGATGTGAATTTGGTCTGAGATGTGGTCCCCTTCCACAGTCCTGGGAACCCTGCTGCAAGTTGCTTCTCCAACGAGAGGCAAAATCCATAATATCGCTCAGGGCATGACTGGATATCCCGCTTCTCCTCGGTTGTGTCTATGTTTGAATTAATACATATGCTCTTTTGCTGATGAATTTTCGGTGACACGGGGGGCGCTCACATTGGTGCTGTATTGCACCATCTGCAGAGAACACATGCGGAAGAATCCAAGTTGGTCCGCGAGCAATGTTGGTTATCTCGGAAGCAGCTAGACAGACAAAAATTGTGAGCTTCATGACAACTCGCAATTCTGTGTTGCCACTCACCTGGCTGTAAAGCTGCCACACACTGAACAGCACTCGCTCCATTCCCAATCACAGCGACTCTCTTTCCCGTGACGTCTATATCCGCGGGCCAGTTTGCAGTGTGTACTTTTCTCCCAGCAAAGTCCTCCTGGCCCTCAATCTCAGGGATTTTGTAGTTGTTCAGTCGCCCGACGGCATAAACAAATACATCTGCAATAACGGTCTTCCGTTCATTAGACACCACATCACGGAGAACCACTTTCCATTTTGAAGACTCTTCGTCCCACTCAGCCAGTATACATTCGGTGTTGAACTTCATGAAGCGACGAAGGTCATGCTGATCGGTGACATCCTCCAAGTACTGGTGAATCTCCGGGGCTGGTGGGTAAAGCGAAGACCATGATTGGTTGGGCGACCAGTTGAACTGATAGGTGTGGGAAGGCACATCGCATGTACATCTTCGATTCTGTTAACTCCGTGGCTTCTTGTATCGCAACAGTAACGATGGGGAAGCATACCCGGGATAGCGATTTTCATACCATGTACCTCCAACGCTAGGATTTCTCTCGTAAATCACAAGATCAATATTTTGCAATGATGTTGTGGCATCATGTGCAAATTGGATTCCGGAAATTCTGCAAAGAAAAAGGGTCAGTCAAACTCTCAAAGGAAGTTCCAGTATCCACAAACCCGGTACCGATAGCCACTATCTTGATCGGACGTGCCAAGAAGGCACTTGGAAGAAGGTTCGATTCTACAACACTTAGTGTGCTTGTCACCTTAATGCCTTTTGAACTTGGAACTGTATACTGAGAAGCTGAGGATGCGCAGTGGGACAACATTCTAAATGATATGATAGAGGAACGAAGAGCAAAGAGCGAGCTATCTAGAGAACAAGATAACTTGACCGGGCAATCCCGAGGCCCACGACAACTAGTACTTGCGAAATGCAATCTCGACATCCTCGTCAAATAGCTGAACGCCTTCCTCTAGACCTATAACCGCTTCCATGGTGCTCTGCCCTCTCGCCTTTTCCCTGTTGATTGAATCCCAGAGTTCACGCGTTGTCGACGCTCGACTAGGTTTCTCGTCCCGTTCGCCGAGATTGTTGCTCTCTGTCTCCTCATCGGCAACTTCCGGTAAGAAGTTCCCTGTTCGAAGGAACTCCACGGGAGGTATTGTCTTGCGTCCTTCCTTGAATACCACCTTCGATACTATCACCGCGTAGATGGTAGGTCGAGGTTTCTCCACATGCATCTCATCCTCCGGGTGTGGCAAGCTCGCTTTTGAATGCTCCGTTGCCATATCACTGAATGTTCGAGGTTTGACAACGCCTTCTTGAACAAAATGGGAGATGATGTATGTCCATTTTTCATCCCAGTAGCAGACCCGACTCCATATTTCGTATTTTTGAAAGAGTCCAATCGAGCGTTTGAATACACAGGTCATTCCGCCAAGGGCATAGTTGAATCTGCCACCTGACGGTACTTCTGGGTTGCTGAACCGGGACTCATAATTGCGGGCACATTCCCAAAAAAGACTGTATACATGATGTGCCCGCGCAAAATCTAGATCCACGAAATATGTGCTGTTGGACTTATGGCCGAAATGATCCATCTCCCCAAGGGCAACTTGTGATTTGAAAACTGTAGGTTGAAAAACAGCAAGATCATCGGATATTGATGGCGAGGCGGTTCTTTTGACGAGCTTGTAGCGAAAGAAATGGGTGTAAAAAACTCGGATCTGTTGTCACTCTCCGGTTGATTTATTAGCTTAGTTTGGAAGGGCTTGATTTATGTAACAAAACATACATGCCATGAGAATGGGAAGACCTTAAGGCTGAGAATTGATCGAAAATAGCCGAAAATAACTGCTATGAAATATGCAACGACCTTAAATGGCCTGATCCACAAGGCAGGCGATCTTTGAGACTCCATGAGTATGAATCTGAACAGGCTCAAATCTTCAAATGCTTGATGGTGTTTGATCCATGCTATGAACTAGTCCTTTAAGTGCGGAGTGGTTCGAGGGAAACTTTGCCCCAGCTGCAAGGGGTGGGAGGATGGGTACACACATAGAAGTAGTCTTGTCCACTTGGTGTTGTACAAGCATAAAGCCGTCCCAAAGCAGACTATATCTGCTTTAAAGAGCTACCTGATCGTCCGAGAGATCTGTGAGGGGAATTCGGAGGCCAAACATGTAAATCAAGAGTGAGGGACCAGTGCCTTATGTCCTACCATCCCTTTCTCCCGCTATTTTCATAACTTCCAAAAGTTACTCCCTGCATTTTTAGCTCCAACGCCCTAAAATGTATACATATGAGCAGGCCAATCGTGGCACTTGTGATCATTGGTGCAACACGCATGTGACGGATTTCAAGCGGGTTCATTCATTCTACGGAGTATGCATGATCATCCAGTACTGATGCTACAACTCATCCCCCACAGTGAGTCTTTAAGTGATACATCAACGTCCACGGTGTAGTGAGACACAGCTTACATTTACAGCATCAAAACAAGAACAAGAGATTGATAGCCAATTACCATTGGGGTGGGCTTCTACCCTGATCCCAACACCCGTCTCCAAGTCTGTCCGCAATGGGAGAAATTTTCAGGCGCGTGGCTTGGCCCATTGGTGCTTGTAGACTGCTGGAATACAGTATAGATAGCATTGAGTGAGTCGATTGAAATAATGTTGTAAGATAAGAGTAGGTTGGAATAACATGCTTGGAGCGATGTCACTAACGCTGCAGATATAGGCCAAAAGTCTGTCCCCACTCCATTTTCGGGACAGTAATTCGTGTCAGTGGCGGGCGAAAAATCTTGTTAGGTTTATGACACCAAAGATCTAACATGCTCTTCAACAATTGGTTGTGTGGTGTAGTGGCAGCACTCAAGGTTCTGATTCTTGCAACCCCGGTTCGATCCCGGGCATGACCTTTCTTTTTTGCTGTTTATTTTTTTGCCACTCCAGACTAGTCTGCATGTTGTCCCTAGAATACTGTGATAGACACGTCTATGAGTGCTTCAGATGAGAAATTCGCAATGCAGAAACTGCTTAGTTGTGCAGATGAAATACCAGTTGACCTTCTCGCACAGTAGCAGGAACTAAATATCGCCTACACCATACCTACGTATATATCTATAGCGAGACTCACCCGTGGAAATCATCTGCCTTCTTAGTGAAAGTTCCATGTGGTCACTATCCCCAATTCCTGCGTTAAAGTCACATAGACAGTTCCTCGCTCGCTAAGCCTTGCTCTCTGTCAGGATGGCCATGACATAGCCGAGGTCCGTTGACCTCTTATGCGTGGGATCCCAGTATTCAACCTTCAAGGTTGTTCATGTCGTAAGCAACGGTTCTACTAGTCGGGAAGATGTCGGGTAGACGCGCCATAATACCATCGTTTGTATAATGACGATGTTGCTGCTGGTCCTGGGGTCTGGGTCCTCCTCGTCACATTGTAGAGGGTCATTGTACGAGTTTTCCACCTCCTCATTCATGTTATCCAGGTTCACCATCCGTATGAAAGCCATTTTTTACAGCCAGGTAGCTCGCTTCATTGTGAAAACGTGAGATGGGGAGCGACGCGAGACGCGGAAATAAATGAAGGAGAAGAGTTACGTGAGGGTGTGCTATCCTACACCCCTCCCCGCGACCAAAGACCTCTCCTCTGCAGACTATTCTGCCTCCTCTGCATATGAATTGGAATCCTGTTCCGCGAATCAGAGAAGTCTCTACATCTCGAAATCTTCTTTCCTTCGCCAAACTCCGTTCTATATATCCCGGTTCTTATCTACTAGCCTCTCGAGCCGGCCTCTCGATCTCATTTTTATATCAACCTCTGAATGTTTTATATTCTGATAACTCTTATAGGTTACTCTCATCTTACCTCATTTTACTTCACTTCCAACCTTAAAGGGTTCATATCACTTTATATCACTACAGTTCCAAGGTTTCATACTTCTCCAGATGTCCCGAGATCTCTCTCCTCTCTCTCCTTCCTAGAGCTCTATGCACTTTTCTGCTAAGCTCTGCATTGTGAAGTTATTTGGAGAGCGGGTCTCTCCCCTCTCAGCCCTAGTGGAGATGGTTTTCTCTTCTCTTTCTTCTCTCTTTCCATCAACCAAGTTGAAGAGATCTTTTCCTCCCTGCCTATCGTAGGCTCCAAGAGGCTATGATCCCCTGCACTACATCCCTGAAAGAATCAACGGAAGAAGCGGTCTTGATTGAACCGCAAAAACTACATTGAGCTGTCACTTGCCGATCTCTCACCTCGTGTATGGAGTCGTCCGGAAGTCGGACCCACGAAGAAGCTTAGACCTACAAGTCTATTACGCTCTCAAGAAATTGTCTGCCAAGGAGTGCTACAGACGCTGGCCACGAGACTTCGATTCTAACGGCGCAGTCCGTGCCCCAGCTAACCGGACGAACGAAGACCCCCCAGCCTTGGCCTGGGCACACGGCATCCTCTGGATCCCCGTGGGCACACTGAAGACAGATGACTTGGTCGCGGATCGTGAGTTTGGACACTTGGCAACGGTTCCGGACAACGAACTGCTCGCTTTCAGAAGAGTCGTCATGTGCGCTAAAGATCGTCGCGGTGTCACAAAATGGACGACCCTCTTGGGAGTGAGTACAGCAGGTAACCCCCCCCCCCGAAAGAAGGTAAACTTCGATCGGGGAAAGAACGTCGACTTCTTCCACGAATTTGAGATTGAGGCAACCAATGCCGGGCTGCGTGGGGAAGCTGTCAAGGACGGGACTCGTAGCCTGTTTGAGGAAGTCAATTCGCGATGGAACGTTGACTGGGCTACCGGCTGGGGGACAGCTGAAACTCTAGATGAAAGACCACAGCAACGAGCCGAAATTGAGGCCCGCGAACGCCGGATTTCGCAACAGTCATACGAAATCCTCGTCTTTGGAGACAATCGATCGCCAGCGGAGCTAGCTGGTATGTGGGGGCTCCTGAATGGAGCACAATTCGGAAACAGCTCGGAGATCGCGTCACTGGAAGCCAAAGGAGTTACATCCCAGTTTTGGTAAGTCAGATACCTCATGGCCGCCCAGACAGTGGATCTCCTGGAGCGGGCCATGCGAGAAATCACGGCAACCGAAAGAGGAATTACATTTAAAACCTTGGATTAAAAAGCAACACCGCGCCTGCGACCACACCTGAGGCCCGCCGACCTTCAAATCAAACCCCGGAAGCTCGAATCAGCCTCACTTTCCCTGCATCGACGAAGATGGAAGGACCAGCTTCAATGTTAGACACTGCGATGCTGACTGGTCGGGACCTCAGGCTTCATTCTCACCACAGTGATCATATCCGACAGAGACGTCAAATTTACCATAGGAGTTTGGGAAAGCCATACTCGATGCCCTGGTTAAAACCCCCGTTGTGCTCAACGGCATACTACGCTCAGACATACGGACAGTCTGAACGCACAAACCAGACAATTGAGATGATGATCCGTTTCTCTCAGGGGCCACGCCCCGTTCCCTATGAACGAACCAGCCCTGAGCCGCTAGCAATCATATTCTCTTCCTGCTTCGCTTTTGCGTCGTCCATTCCTCGTAGTCCGCTACAGTATCCCACAGTACCAGATAATTTTTGGCATATTAGGGCATTTGTGGATATAGTAGTGAAAAATTGAGATCAGTGTAAAGGGATTTCTAATGATGGTGATTATACCGAGGCTAGGATGATTTACATTGTACATTGCATTGGAGGCAGTGGACCATAATGTTCTGCAGAATTGAAGGTTCAGGCAATTCTAGGTTATTTAGGGCTATCCTACCTGGCAAAATACTTGAGGTTTATGTTGGCAAAGATGTGACGTCGTCTTCAACAATTGGTTGTGTGGTGTAGTGGCAGCACTCAAGGTTCTGATTCTTGCAACCCCGGTTCGATCCCGGGCATGACCTTTTTTTTGCAAAGTTTATATTGTTGACCTCGATTTTTTTTCGTTTTTCTTTTAATTATGAGCTCAATCACTGACACCATGGGGCAAATATCTGGCTACGGTGCAGTGGGTAGCTCCCTCTCCCTCATGAGGACGGCTGTACATAATAACACCTACAGGAGTTCCCCACGCTCAACTCTTCCACATATCCATACATAATAGACTTCCTATCCTTCTTGGAGGTATACACAGCTCTTTGGTTTCTCTCATCGTCATAGTGGAAAAATCACAAATGAGACGATAAGTTGTCAATAGCTTCATACACCTTACTCTAATATGGGCATCATTGTCCTTCCAAGTACGTCGTCGCTGCCTGTCTGGGGCCTCGGGATGCATCAATCATTACCTGCCTAGGCAGCTTCAATGCCTCCAAGCACATGCTTTATTCATTATTTCATCCAACCAACTCGAGGATAATACCAAAAATATGAGAGATGCAAAAAAAAAGGTCATGCCCGGGATCGAACCGGGGTTGCAAGAATCAGAACCTTGAGTGCTGCCACTACACCACACAACCAATTGTTGAAAGGTAGCGGCCGATCTTTACCTACATGACCCAATATATAAAATTCTAAGAGCCCTCTCATAATTTTCTACACTGTGGAAATTCCTTGTCAAGAGCGTTCCCATTTTCATCTTCAAGCAACCCTACATCCTAGGAAATAGAGATACCTGCAGCAATAAGCCCTCGGGTACTTCTGAGGACTTACTGCCCAGTGTATCACACAATACAGCTTATACCAGACGGAGTATCTAACTGATTTCACTTGGGATGAACTCGGAGTTCAGCATCTCCAATGTACTGCTTCTTTTCCTACTTTTCGTTGCAGCCCTGGGGCCATATGATCATACGGGTTGATAGGCGAATGTATACCAAGTCTGCGTTGGCATAGTGGGAGACTGATCCCTCCGTCAGAAACCGCCCAGTCCTTATGAACAGACTGTATGGGTTTTGTGTTACTTGCTCATGATTAAATGAGTCCGCGGGCGATGCGTCTCTCGGTTATAGCACTTGGCAGGAAATCAGCTCAGTCATCTTCGTGTTTATAATTTGATCGAAGACCTTCCAAGGTTTCGAGGTTGTTTTCCTGGCTATACCTAGGTAGCGGCTCTTGGGTGGTAGTGGGCGCTGCAACGAGGACGAGTACTTGCTGCCTGTATCTTCAAATATCATGAAGGTCGGCCAATCTGTACAGATGCATCAATCAATGGTTGGACCTCCTACCCATAGTAGGATAAATGAAGAGAGACCTTCGGGACAGTCCGTATCAATGCTTTAGAATCCATAATTCCAGGTTTCAATGACAACTTGAAACTTGGAAAGAGGAAAGTAGAGCATGGACCCCACCCTTGGAACATCATGGCCACCGATGCAGCTCAGACTTGAAAGGTCCACGCTCGTCCGAAGGAACCTTAAAAACACACGATTCGACCTTTTTAGAGTCGTCGATAGTATCCCCGGATAACAAGCCCTCACCGGGCGCGATCGAGAGTTTTAGTACCTAGGTAGACTTCCAAGGTTACCTGGGTAGCAGGGCCTTGGGGCTCGGCTTTATTTAGTATTAGGTTTTGAGGCTCTTACGGTTCCAAGGTTTCGATGTTAGATCCGGGGTCGGTCATCGATGTTTCCAGACTTTAGAAGCTCTCGGGGCCAGAGCCTCCTACTAGTAGACCGACGGATATATATCTGAAAATAGGAACAGCCAGAAACTTGGAAGGGCCATCGATCAAATCTCCGTGGATCCCAAGACAGCGAATTCAGTACGCATAGCACGACTTAGTTAGCGTAGGTATGAGCACAATCGTCCAACACATCTAGGTACAGACTGTGTTGCAGTAAATAGGGATATCGTTTCAAGGCTCCAAACCTAATCGGGCTCCATTCAAAAATGGAGATAAAAATAAACAGACAAAAAGAAAGGTCATGCCCGGGATCGAACCGGGGTTGCAAGAATCAGAACCTTGAGTGCTGCCACTACACCACACAACCAATTGATGTGAGGTGGCCAAACTTGTGACTACATAAGGCAGAATGTGAAATAAAATTATCTTCAAGTATTGTGGCCATGTCTCAAAACATCTTGAGTGTAATTCTGCCAATCATCCACAACAAAAAAGCTAGAAAAAAATAAATCCGGTGCGATATGATAGGAAGACAGTGGAAAATCTTCTAGACTCGAACAACCTGGTATCAAGGCTCCGTATCTTGTTGATGCCAGTATTCCAACCTTGGAAGGTTGGTTTCGCCCATTGATGTGTGGATATATTTCATATGCTGTAGATTTCGTCACTTCATCTGCAAAAAGATGTGTACTTTACTGTTTACCCCTTTGCATTCGTCTACAGCACCGAAGCCCATGAAATTTTGGTGGGAGGTTGCGTCTTGCGAACGAGTGTGTGTAGACGGTTCATTCATCGGCCTGGGTCCCCGGGCCGCTAGGCAGGCACGCAAGCCTAGACACCCCGGTGCCCGGGTGGCCGCACATCTGGGGACAAAATCGAAGCCTTAGGGGAACTTGTCGGGGCGTTGAAGAAGCCAATCACAATGCTCTGCAAAAAAAAAAAGAAAAGAAAACGGGGTCTATTTGATGTTTTTTCTTATTCTTTTTTTTTTCTTCTTTCTATTGCTTTTTTATCTTTTCATAAATGCGGACTTAAAACCTCTTGGCCCCCCGGACTTGGGGCTGTTAAGGGATGTTGTGGGGTTGAGGGTACACTTACAGTGCCTGGCGGAACCCGAGATTTACTGTACGGGCGTTCCGGCCTTTGGGCAGCTGAACCGGGCCTAACGAGGAGCCCAATACGTACGAATTGCTTGACACAGCCCTGGAGTTTTAAAATGTTGTGTTTTGGCTCATAGATTCAAAGATGTGGCAACTCTCCATCAATTGGTTGTGTGGTGTAGTGGCAGCACTCAAGGTTCTGATTCTTGCAACCCCGGTTCGATCCCGGGCATGACCTTTCTTTTTTGCTGTTCATTTTTTTGCACCGTCAACAATTTTTCTTGCGGTCTCTCCTCAATCTATGGCTACATCGAATTACTGACGTGTGAAGGCTTTTAGTGATACTTACAGCCGTAATCGTGCTCCAATTGTGGAGTAGACCAGAGTCAAGAAATGTGGTGGGTGTTACTCTGAAAGCAGTATCTCAGTATCTCAGTGAAGAACTACAGTTGAGAAGCAAACAAGATGACTACTTCCAGAAACCCAGAGATTGAAGCTCGAGAATCTGTGGGCCGCCTACTAGGGTGAGGGATCCTTCCCTGCAAGGAGAATTCAGACAGATGGCAAGAAGCTTTCTTGGTTTCCAACGGAAAGGAACAATAAGGGGAGAATCTATGGTTAGAAAATATGGAAACTCAAATTGTGTACTCCGTAGCGTCAGGTTGCTTAAGGCTGCGCGTATAGGGAGCATTTAGAGGGCACCTAGCTCTCTGATCTTCTAGATTGTGTCTGAAACTCCTACATTTAACCTTCCTTGCTCTATACCCAACACAGCCAGATAGCTGGCCATTTCCGAGTATCCATGGATGTTCCTCCCTGTCGTGCCTCCGCCAGCTCACTAACCCCAATAAGCCGAGGCAACGTACCATTCATTTGAAATTTGGCGGCACCGCTATCTTCGACTTCCGAATATAGACCACAATACTGCCCCAGGGACACAAATCCTCGCCGGTACCAAATTCAAACATGTCGTATTCTTCCATCATCTTGAAAACACGATAAGAGTTAGGATCCAGTCTCGCGGATTCCCCCGTCATACCAATCGCGTCCTCGAAACTGACACGATCCCAAATGATGACTGCAGGCCGAGCAATGTCTGCAATAATCTCTTTGACAGGAACCGTGGCTGCGATAGAGACTACCATCGATTGCTCATCAACTTCAAGCCAGCCACGTGGGTCGTCAATCACCTCTATGCCATTCTCTTGTAAGACCTGCGTGTCAATCGAGTTGTACGCGGGGTCCTGGGCATAGCATGGACTCTTGCCGCCGGTCTTCTTCTGAAGCCAGTCCTTCAGGACTCGGAGGAGCACGTGTTGGGTCATGGCTCGGGTTGCGCTCTTGTAAGGTATCATTCTCCTGGAGAAACCGCCGAGGCCGAAGCCGATTACCTTGTTGATATCGTGGTTGTGGGCAGATGCCGATAAGATGGTCTTGAGCTTTCTGCAAACGGAGGTACTTTTCCATTCGTAGCTCTTGGCTCGATAGACCAGTGACACAGGACCGTGGTCGACGACCTCGTCTGCTGGGAGGGGTTCGTCGGTGTCGACGTCGAGGAGGTACCCTCTGTGCACGATGGAGACAGGGCTTAGAATGGCATCACCATTCTTCATCTTCAAATTTGCTTTCAAATTTTCTTTGCTCAGATACCAAAGTGACAAATCGCTCCTGATTGAGGGTTAGCTTGGTTTCGAAAGAGCTCATCGTCATATTACCATATAGTATATTGGTGGTGCTCGCAATCCGTACACACATGCTCAGGTATGGAAACATTTCTTCCAAACATGACATCGTGCTCGATTGTGTTTCCACTGAAATCCTTCGAGTATACCTTGCCGCCGTGGCTGACTGCCCGCTTGGTCTGCGCCCAGGTGTACCGAATGTTTTTCTTCGTGAAGAGAGGCCGGCCAGACGCATACACCTTTTCGAGGCGCTGCCGGAGTTGTTTGGTGGTTTCCGTGGTGGGGTTCACCGGTCGACGTTTGGAGTTGAATCTGCATCTGAGGAGGTCCGATGAGGGCTCATATTCTGAACTGCCTTTCTCGCCCATGTTGAATATGTCTTGCTGGTCTGCTTACGATGTAAGGTCTAGAGAAATGTGTGTGAGATGTCGAGGCTCGAAGACCAGTGAGTCTTATAGAAGAATAGAGAAGATAGAAGAAAGACCATTCTTTGTTCCTTTGCTTCCCTCGGAAGGCGTTCTTTGTGAACTACTTCTAAACGTCTCATGTTTTAAACTCCCACTTGTCGAAGGTCCAAGTTCTACAATTTATCTTCCTCAAGAGACAGACAGAGAGAGATATTATTGCTTTACAGTAGAATTCGAAATCAGCTTTAACTCTAAACTCTTCCGATTTAATTCCCGGATCCTAAGTGGAGACACGCTAATCTAAATTTAGCTCTTCCCCTGTTAATCCATCCAAGGATGTAGGGCTGTATTGTATTCCAGGGTACCCACAATGAACCATGAATACAGTACCGTAATTTCTTATGTAAACCGATAGAATCCATCGTGCAAACAAATCAAACAAGAAGAGACTCTTATCAATCTGGCAAGATCTTCTTTCATTCTCATACCTTGGTCTATTTGTCACGCGCAGCCTTGCCCACACTTTTTTGCTGGAGAGACTTATCCTGGTACGCAACTTGCTTCCCTCTACCTTTGGCTTCTGTAAACCACCGCAATTCCCCAAGTCCGAAGGAAATCCGGTACTTAAGGAAGCTAACATGGACCCTCTGAGGACTACCATCGTACTGTAGAGATGACACAGAGCCCATGCCATGACGATCTCATCTCCCAGTCGGAAGAGCCTGCAACATGGGAAAACAACTCACAGTACGCTCCAACACCTGATTGCTTCATCCAACAGCCTGATTTTGAGGTTATTGATTTGGTAGACAAGTGGTTTAGTAAATCCATGGTCCAACTGACCCAGGTGCAAATATATACATTTAACAACTGTGTGGCCTATTACCACAATCAACCTCAACACTTCGAGGTGACAAATCATGTAAACATATTCTATCCTTGCTGAGCATCTCCATGTTCGGTTTCTTGTTGGACATCACAACAACATGTACCCTGTTAACATCAACGACCTGTTGCAGTCCGTACTTCGTAGACACGATCAACCGATTCTTAACTTCTTCCACAAGCGAGTAGATACCAGAATACTTCCCTTCTTGCACATTGCGTGGAATATCAACGACCATATTCTTGGTCATTCCTCGCTTAACATACCGATTTCTCATACCAGCTGCCGCACCGGCATTGACCACGAACCAATCTTTTTTCACAAGACATTTCACAAACGTAGTTTTGCCCTCGTTACCCTCGGGTCCATACACCCAGTGGATCGTTCGATCATCAGGAGCTGCCTGTAGCTCTTTGCGTAATTGGATCTGCCACGGGCGATCCATTTTATCAAGGTCATATTCGTCGTGCTCGTCGAGCTCTTGCCGTTGGCGTTTGGCCTCGATCCTAACAGCAAGATCAGGATTACGCCATTGAAAAGATTCAGGGTCTTCATCGTACTCAGCTTCAAGAGTCGCACGCTTCCGCTTATTCGATCTTCTAGGATGGTCACAGGTAGGCTTGTTCGATAATGACTCGCTTATTTCGTCCCGCTGGCTCGTTGCAGCGCCGCTTGGGTTGTCTCGACTGCTTTGCACATAAAGGTCGGATCGGGGCGCTGTGACTGGCTCATTCTGTCAATCGCTGCGACATCGTGCGAAACTCCGTTAAAAGACATTTACCGTTTTTATCCACACGAAACTTGCCAAATGTGCCCATTTTGTTCAACAATTCTTCGAATAACACGGGAGTTGTACCGCTGGTTCCCAGGGACTGTGTATCCACGACAGTAAAAGTGATTTAGAACTTTTAATTTAATCCCGGTTTCCTGGGGGGTATACTCTACATTTATAGACACACAACCTTCCCGACTGGGTGAATGCAAGATGACATGGCCCCCTTGACAGTGTGCATTGAAGCCCAATCAACGTAGGATTGCGCTACAACGTTATGCCAAGAATTACTACTTCTAGTAATTATCTCAGTCTCACAGTCTCGCCAAGACCTTTAGCGTATTCTACGCTTCTGGGAAGGCGGTGGGATACCGTCCACCTGACTTCGTCGTATTTACTGTCACTTTACAATACAACAAGCCCCTTTGGGCCCGCTCACGCTCTTCTGGCCAATGGCTGGGGGCCTCTCCCGCTTACTCGCGGGCCCCTCCCGGTATCCCAAATTCCCCCGAAGGGGGAATTACAGTTGAGTCTCAAGTCTCAACTTTTTGGGGCAATGTTATATATCCCGGCGGATCTAAAAGGTTGTCCAATCAGCTCAATCCTAGATCATTGTCTGATCGAAATCTTCCTCGGGTAATCGCCGTTCCATCAACTCTTTTTATTAATAAAAATATTACCTTGCGTAGAGTAACACTTTCGAGGTGTAATGCTTCACCCCCCAGGCTTTGCCTGGGGCCCCCCTTCAATCAATAATATGAAACTGGTAGGAAAGTGCTCTTCTGATACTAGAGGTTGTGACTAAGGTGTCGAATGCATCCTAGAGAGAAAAGCTATCTTATCTAGGTACATATGCTGTAAAATGAGCTTTTCAGACAAATGATCGCAGAGAGATTTAATCATTAAAATTGTTACAGTCCGTTTCCATCCTATTCAAGTTAGGGTGGCGTGCATACTGCCAAATTGCCGCAAGTTTGTGCGAATATTTATAATCGTAGCCTAGCTGCATTCTGCTTCTTCGGCCATTTTAAATGTGCTTAGTGACTGACTCTATCATATCGCGGATGAGATGCAGCTGGGATGGTGAAAGTCTGAGAGCCATTTTGTGAGGTCAATTATGATATTTAAGAAAGATAAACAGGGAAAGAGGGCTCCTAGTTGGAGTGGACAGTATGTAGAGAATTACCATTGTACGGCGCTTTCAAGTAAGATACACAAGGCGCAGGGTCCCACCTGCGTTATGTAAAATACAACTCTCTTTGTCCCTCGATCAATGAGATGCCAATAATAGCCCCTCATCACCTCGGGAATCTGAGTGGACAAGTTGGCATCAAGCTTGTCTGGACCTGTGCAATCTGACGCGGGGTCAAAGGAAGTCAAACTGGTTGCAACCTTGGAAGGAATTGCCCAGGTGAGTTCGAATATTCATTTGGTTAACGTCTTCTACGCTCTGATTTATTTTGCAACCTTGCATTTCACACGTCCGATGCTACGAAACCTTGGAAGAAAGCACCGAAGAACCCATGTCAGGCGAAATAAAGTGTATAATATGCTGGGTCTTAAAGATACATTCAACGCAAAGAGATCAAAGCCTCGAAACCCCCCAATCACCAGTAACGCCGCAGCCATGCAAGGTATCAACGCAAATGTTTCCAGCTTCCGGAACAAGAGTATCATTTTGAAAGAAAGAGAAAGCCAGGAAAGCCAGTTGAAGACAAAAAAAGGGCTAGATGTGCCCATGTAATTTGAACCGGTAGATACAAGTGTGTTTGGAGCCCCAATTCGAAGTTACTCGGAAGACGACCTTGTCCACCCGGATAGTCGAGACATCAACGATGGTGTTGAGCTTGAATCTCTGGATATGATCCGGGCTGTGGATGTTGTACTCCGCCTTACCGATGCGGTAGAAGTTCTGACCGAGTATAGGATCGTCGGAGTAAGCGTATTCCGGCTCGAAGGGGTTACTTCGACGCAACAGATTCATGATCAGTTCATGGAGCGATCCGATGCCGGGAATCAGGTACCCGCCTAGACCTGTTTCGCGGGACGATGGGACCTGGGTCGCTGGAGACTCTGGGGAGACGGTAGCGTCACCGAAGATGGAGAAGAAGCCACGACCTGGTACGGCGCCGGGAGTGTGTTTGGCTTTCACAGGTGTCTTGTGGGGGTTCACTTTGAAGCGCGCCCAGACCTCGATTGTTCGCGGCGCGGCTTCTGGCTCCAGAGATGCGCCGAGGGGGACGTGTTCGACGACTAGTTCTTCGGCCACGATGTTTCGGCCCAGGAGCACGGATAGCTGGGTTGATCCTCCTCGAGATGCGCTGCACCAGCAGTCGCCTACTTCTTCCCATGCGCTGAGGGCAGCGATGGGGGACTGCGGTGCTCGGACGACGGTCTGGGGTGACTTTTGAAAAAGCCATAGAACTGCACGGGCGGGGGTACCAAGCTTGTAGCCCAGAGTCGGGGAAGTGTATGCCGGGTCGATGAGTGCGCCTAAGGCCACTGATAAGAAATTCACCTTGTGGACAGGGTTCCGGTGAACGACGAGATCGGCAGTATCTGTAGGGCGTGAATCAACGGCGTGGGAATTTGCTTGCTCTGACATGACGGAGCTTAGCTCGCTTGAGAGTGATGACATTTTGACATCCATTTTGGATATCTGGTTTCGGAGACCGCGGTAGATCTCTGGATTAGATGTGTTCATCGCGGATCGATCCAAGTCCCATCCTAGGGGGTCTAGGCTTTGATGGATCTTGACTGCCACTAGGTAAAAGGAGATAGACCCCACGATCACGATCAGCCATAACGCTGCCCGAACAAGACTTGCGTAGGGGCCCTTGTCCGCCGACTCCACCAAAATTTGGAACAAGCCTCTTCGGGTTGCCCTAGGAGGTTCGGGATTTGGAGCCTCGGTAGTTGTGGGATTGGTAAGGGGCCTTTTAGGTTTCATTGCCGACAGCCAACGGCGCATGAAGCTTTGCCTGGGTGGACCAGGGGGAAGTTCTGGGGGAGGTGTTTGCGCAATGGGATTCCACTCCCCGGGTTCAGACTTGACAGATTCATCCTCTTCGGGAACAATCGCCAAACCAGAAATACGCCGCGGAGGCGCCGAGATATTTTCTCCGTGGGCTTCACCACGGTATTTGCTTGGTCTTGTCCGCTGTAGATCGTCTTCGTTGATATCCCGCTCGAGATTCCATGAGGCTTCCGAGGCATTATCAACCGAGCTGTGACGCGAGACTGAACTTGCAATAGAAGCATGTCGAGAGCCAGGACGCTGAAGTGGTGATGGATATAATGGTGAATTGGACAACAGTCGTTGTGATGGAGGTTGTGCACCTGGGCTGGAGTCGGTGGAAACCGAATGCGGCACAGGAGGCGTTGGAGTTCTATCAGATTGGTGATCTTCTGTGGCTTTATTTAACGACTGCTGAAGCTGAGCCTGGTCGGGCGTTGGTTCACGCTTGGCCCGAGCCTGTGGCTGCTTCTGCTTGACAGCTGCTGATCGTTCTCGAGCGATCTCCATGCGGGCTTCCGTCGTTTCGACCATCTGATCTATATCCATGGTGGGACGCACCCCCATGCGATTGGGCATCGCTGCAGTAGTAGCTGCGCCATAGTTCCATGATGCCCCAATTGGAACGGCTGGCAAATCAGGTTGGTTGTAAGGGTTGACCATGGCTTGATACCCAGACTCATTGACGAATGATGACCGCTGAGGCGTCCCACCATTCCGGCGAGTAGCTCTTTTGGGGGGCATTTGTGCCTATTATGCTCGAGCCAATTCCCAAGTCTGTATGGGTCGTGCGTGTATCTAAACATCAATTAGCTGAGCTGAACGGGTTCATAAACCACACAAGTCGAAGTGATGCACAACGGACGCCGAGTGCAAATATAATGCAAAGATCCGCATCAGTTCCCATAAAGATGCATTATGGTCATAGGCCAAATGGCATAGATCAATGTGTCGGTGTCGCGAAAAAAGAAATCCGGTATCCATTCCCTTTCGCGAACATCGATGCCCTCGAAAAAAAAGTTCGAGGCAATAAAAATGGCTGAGACAAAGAAGACCGAGTCAAACTTACTCGAATGATAGATGGAAACGTCGACGTTGCGAGCCCGTCCGCTTCCCTTCCACTTTTGAGGTCTGTAGATCGATCGCGACCCCCGACGCGCCGACGCGACGTACCGTCACTTGCAGGATTGGCGATTCGCCCTGGGCAACGACGCAAAACTAGTGCGCTTAAGGCTTATTGGAATTAAATTGGCGTGTTCTCGCCGGTGGCCTGCGTCGCGAAGAAACCCGCGGTTGTTGATGAAGGGAGAAATTGGACGGGGGTGGAGCGCAATGAAGATCTCCGAAGAATCTCACTGAAGTATCAATTTGGCGACGAAACAGCAACACCTTCTTCTTTATATTTTGGGTTCTTTATTCGTTCCAGAATGTGATTTTGGGGAAGTTTGATGCGCCTTTGTTATTCTAAGTCTTTGTTCACGCGACACAGGGTACTATTTTTGTGTCGGACTGAGACGAGCTTCAACGTTGAAACTTATACAATAGTTATGACTATGGTCCTGCCACTCCTAATTCGCTTCTAAGACGCAAGTAGTAACTTGATACTATACAGTAGCCAGGGGGAGATGCAAGTGTGATCTCAAACTCCCGCAAAATGGCCAGAGAGGATATTCTAACATGTCCAAGCAGCCATGGTACCATCTTTGCGACCTTCCACAAGATAGCCATCCTTGAGACGAACCCGCTCGACTGTCGCGGGGAGTGGTCCCTCGTCGATTCCAACACCGGGGCCGCAGTCCCAGTGGTTGCCATCGGCCTTGTCGTAAACCTTGACCACATTCTCCCCGGCAGCAGCGACGATACGCTTGGCATCAAACATCATGCTGGTGACAGGCTTGTCATAGGCATACGCATCGTAGATGGAGCCCATGCGCAGATCCCAAATCTATCAAATAGTTAGCGACAGCCGGTGTCTCGAAGAAAAAGAAACTCACCCGAATGCTGCGGTCTAGACTGCCAGTGACTAGGTGCATATCGTTGAATTGAAGACAGGTAACCGGACCAGTGTGTCCAACAAGACTCCGATGAACGTGACCACTGCGCAAATCCCACAGACGGACCATGCCGTCGGCAGTACCACAAGCCAAAGCGGCGTCAAAGCATTGTACAGCACCAACGAAGTCGGCGGAAGCATCAGGCATGCGACCTGACGGGCGCCAGTCAGACTCGCCCGCCATGGAAGATGAAGCCTGCGCAGAAGCCCAAAGCACGTCCAATGTCTGAACACAACGACCCTTGACCAAATCCCACTGTCTGAGTGTCTTATCCGCTGAACCCGAAATGAGAGTATCGCCCTTGAAATGAAGGGCTGTCACCTCGTCAACGTGAGCTTCCAATGAGAAAACGTTGCAGTCTTCGAGGTTCGACGATGGTGGAACCGGAGTCTTTCGCTGAGGTTCTCCGTCCTCCTGGTCGCGCTCATGCTTGTTCAGACGTCCATCTCGAGTCGTGGGCCGCGCGCGACTCAGATCCCAGAGCTTCACGGATGCGTCCATCGATCCCGTTGCCACTATATTATCCTCTACCTGCAGGCACCGGACGGAGGCATGGTGCCCTTCTAAGAAACCAGAGCACCGGCCGACGTTCATATCCCAAACTCGCACGGTATCGTCTAGCGCGGCGCTGACCATGGTGCCGAATGGGTAGTCGAAGTCAATCGCGGTGACCATGTCTGTGTGCGCTTCTATCTCTTTGATTAAAGATCCCGGCTCGAAGTGTTCGTGAAGAATAGGCATCGATCGTTTCCCTAGAAATGGTCAGTCTGCGTTCGCGTTCGGGCGGAGGCTCTCGTACTGTTCGATCGATGTCGTAAGCTTTTTGGTGAGGATGTAGGCAGCTTTTCATATATAGACTCGGACATGAAGGAGGCATCCATCGCTGGATCGTCCGACGACCCAATGGTCTCATCGTCGCCCTCCTGCTGTGACGCCTCTGTCGCAACAGGTGTATCCGAAGATTCCTCTTCTTCGGGAAACTCCTCCAGCTTGTTATCGAGTTCGGTAACTATGGCATATAGGTCAGCTCTGGTCCACGAGCCTGTCAGCTCGAATTGCACTCACGGTCGGCTTCCAATCCCGCCTCGTCCATCTCTAAGCCAGCAAGTCTATCCAGGACGATTTTCCGAATCTTATGCAGGTTTGCGACCTTGTTGTCGATCTCGTGAATCTCTGCGCTGCACATGTTCTTCCGAATGCCCATTAATTCCAGCTTGCGACTCAGCGATTTCCGCTGGTCCTTCAACCCGGCCGGTCCGGCAGTCAAAGAACCCCCTCTCTCGACATCCTTCAGATATTTGCCCTTGGAACTGCGCCTCCGGTGCCGTTTCTTGTGTTCTTCCTCTGGTACGGAGGCCTGGAAGCCCTCGAAGAGCGAGTAGGAGCTACTGTCTTCGGGGATGTTGGCAAGGAGATCATCGGGGACCGAGGATAACGCGCGGGATTGGATCTCGGTGGTCGAAAGCTTCGATCGGACAAGGTCGGTCGGCGTGGTTTGTGTTAGCGAGAACACCTTGCGCTGCGCCGCCGGTCGCCGGAGCTCGCGGTGGATGTCGGTCATCGCATGGTGGAAGTGTGTGTCTTTTTCGCCCGGTCCCATCAAATGTCCTGCGGTCGTAGTGACTTTTCGTCCAAATGCCTCGATATGACGGGTCTGGTATCACCGCAAGACCCAGTCAGCCTTCCGTGGAGCGCCGTCGATGGGGGTAAAAGCTCACCGTGAGGCCGGTGCCCAGAAGGCCGTCGCCTTCGACAATATCCGACAGACCCGACGGCGAGTCGTCGCGGCGCTGATTTTCCATTCAAGGTATCTGGGCTTAGCGGAAACCCATGTAGGTGAGTAGAGGGTGAAGGAGACTTGGGTCGCGGGTCACCGCGTCGGGTACTGCCGTTCTCCCGTTTACGATCGGGCGTTTCACTATGATTCGCAAGTCTTGGAATTCTTTGATTTGATTCAGTAGAGAGTATTCTGTATCTACGGAGTAGAAAAAAACTTGCTATTGTCTTGTCCGGAAATGGTTTAGTTGGATCGAGTACGGAGTATATGTCCCTAAGTGCTCCGTACATATATGTATGTCGGGGACCGACGTCCTTACTCCGTGCACCTGGGCAATAATCGACATATAGTCTGATTTATCAGATGCCGCGCAATAGGATGCCCAGGGCTGGGAGTTCCGAGTTCGCTTCAGCTGAGTGTGGAGCTGCATGAACCCCCTATCACCACGGCGCAGAGCAAACAATCGGTTATACGGTCATCCGCGTTCGTCCCACACTTCTCCTTTGCAACTCACCATGGATACAGCCATAGACCTCTCCAATGCCGCGAAGGCTTTGGACCTTGCCAACATTCGATTCCAGTTGATGTGAGTGTAGCTGGTCGCGATGTGTTCCGCCCCCGCCCCCGCCGAGCTCGGATCTTTACGATGCGTGGTGTTCAGCCTGCTAATCGAGACCAGCCGTCTAGAGGATACAATCACCTTTCATCTGATTGAGCGCGTTCAATTCCCCCTCAACAAGACGATCTACGTCCCCGGCGGCGTCAAGATCCCCGACAGCGAGCTCAGTCTCCTGGACTACTTCCTCCGAGAGCAAGAGCGTCTGCAATCGCGCATGCGTCGTTTCCAATCTCCTGACGAGTACCCATTTTTCCCGGATGCCTTGGAGGACCCCATCCTTCAGCCGCTCGAGTACCCCCGCATTCTGCACGAGAATGATGTCTGCGTGAACGATGTGATCAAGCAGCGCTACATCGAGGAGGTTCTGCCAGCGGTTTGTCCCAAGTTCGGACGGGAAGACCGTGGCGAAACTCAGGAGAACTATGGATCCGCAGCGACCTGTGACGTTGCTTGCTTGCAGGCGCTGTCGCGTCGCATCCATTTCGGCAAGTTTGTTGCCGAGTCCAAGTTCCAGAAGGACCCCGAGACTTTTGTTCGCCTGATTAAGGCGGAAGATCGGGCTGGCATCGACGCGGCTATTACCAACGCCGCCGTTGAGCTGAAGGTCCTTGAGCGCTTGGGTCTCAAGGCTAAGACATACGGTACCGATCCTGCTTTCCCTGATGAAAAGGGACAGAAGATCAACAGCGATGCTGTTGTTGCTATCTACAAGGTGAGTCGAAGCGCGAGTATGGCTCTGATGCTGGTGATACTGACTTGTTCGTAGGAATGTGTCATCCCCTTGACCAAGATTGTGGAGGTAGAGTACCTCATGCAGCGTCTCAAGGGAACACAATGGGAGTAAAGAGAAAAAATGAATTAATGAAACGGAAATTGTGACCGACACTTATCGAAAGACATCTATAGTTGGAAAGGTCAAATACTTGAAATCTCACCAAAGTAATCCATGCACCAAACGTTTGGATTCTTGAGGCATGTAAAAGAGTATATTTCTCGTTTTTCGTAAACTGGACATCAAATGCAACAGACAAGCCGTGACACTACGACATGTATTCTGTGAGAGCCTTGACCATAGGCTCGAACTGGGCGGCCTCGAGCAAGATCAGGCTACCATTCGTCTTGATGCCGAGCTCCTGGAAGGCACGCTTTGAGTCCGAGTGACCCTCGTCCGACTTATGAGTATACTCAATAGATCCGGAGCACAGTGCATGGCGCTCCACGACCTCATCCTCAGGGTGGAAGAAGAAGCGCTCGGCCTGCTCGCCGCCCTTCTTCTTCTTCTTCTGGGGCCGTGACTCTTCCTGGTCAAGCTTTGACTCCACCTCCTCGTAGTTTTTCGAGACAATGAGGTAGTGCGAGAAGTTGTAAGGCTCCTTGTCCTCGATGGCCCAGGCGATCTCCTCCTGGAGCATGTTGTACATGGGCGGGACAATCTCGGAAGGCATGTTGATCAGACGTTCTGTGAGAATGAGGCCAATGGGCGGGATGGGGTTCTGAGACAGAAGCTGATTGGCAGCAGAGAGCGACGGGTTGGTGGCGGATTTGGTCTTAAGGTAGTTGATCAGGTCCTGGATGACGGGCTTGTCCTGGGGCAGTATTAGTATTGGGCGATGGATGAGAGTCTTGCATCTACGAACCTTGTGCTCCTGCAGGTTGAGGATGGTCAAGAACGCATAAGGGTCGGACTCGTTTCCATCGACCTTCACTGTTGATCCCAGCGTTGGCTGCGACAGAATCAAGTCGGCCAGAGCGGACATGTCGAAGATCTGGGCATCGTTGTCGAACAATTGGCGCAGCAGGTTCTTCATGCCATGGAAATCGATGGGCTGGGGGTCGAACCACTCGAAGTCTACATTGACCATGTCAATGTCCTGTAGACGTCTTAGCGGGTTGGCAGTGAAGGTGGGGGGATACAAGTCGTACCTCGCCGGAGTCGTCGTCCTCTGGTTGGGTACCGCCCATTTGGACATCACCGAGATCCTTTCGCTTGACCATTTTGTGCTAATTGAGTGTTGTTGAGGGCAAAGATGAAGGTCCAACGTTGGCCCCACGCTGAATGCGAACTTTTTCCTTATCGTTATCGCCGAGGTATTTCCCCCGGACATTGACGTCGTGGTTGTTTTCGCATTAGAGCCTTGGGAAGTTATGAATACAAGCTTCGAGAGGAATGATTTAGCTATTTGTTAAGGCTCGAGAAGGGCACATTTGCTGGCTGCACTGGATACTCACTATACGATCAAATGACAGACCTCGGGCAGACAACCTTGGAAACTTGGGATATCCTGCAAACATAAACCACTTTACATATGTAGCTATTGGTGAAAGAATTCGCTCGGCATCTTTCTCTTTATCCCAGAAAACTTTCCCTCGAAAATTTTAGACCATTATTGTATGACATATCTGATTCCATCAGATCTCGTGGATTACTAGCAATATCCAGCCTTGACAGCCCAGCTTGGCGCTAAGTATATACCCAGACCCTGAATTGCCAATGAGCTTGACTCGAGGGTTTTAATGTCCTAGAGAGTAACTCAGGTAGCTGGTACAGTGCTTCCAAGTTGTGCCTTGTGCCAACCATCTTGAAGGTCAGCTTAATCCAATCCAGATTGCTCGCCCTTCACAATGCTACCTATAGACAGTGGGGTCTTTGGTACAATTATAACTACATTGGAGTACTGACAGGACAGGACACCTAATACTTAAATGAGATAAGGTGAATGCTCTCCTGGTATCTCGGGGTGTTCACGAGACGACCCCAGTAGATTGAGTACATATTTGAAATAGAACTGGAACTGCATTTCTATTACTCCGTACTCCCTTGGAAGAAAAAGCCACTCGTATCTATCATACCAGATTCTAAACATCATATTCAACCTGCTCAACAGTCGGTACCTTGTGAAGCTTCACCTCAAAGAACCGAGCGACAGCCTGCACACAATCCCAAATAACCTCCACCTCCTCCTTCGGCACCCCAATCCGTCTCGTTCCACGAATATGCCAATGTGTCTCCTTGGGCAGATTCTGGCTCATGATCCCCGGCAACACCACCAACTGGGTATCGACATCCCCAAGTACCTGTCGATCCGACAAGAATAACCCATAGGTGATCTCCTTCGACAGCCACGAAAAGTCCTTGTGCGCACTGAACAAGTCCAGCGTGCCGCTACCATTGCGCGCATACAGCTGTTGGAACCACTCGATGCCGCGATCATGGTTGGCCTGGTCGCATTGCCACCCTTCACGCGTGAATGAATAATCTTTGTCTTCGTCGCGCTCCACCTCGCTGATTGCAAGGATGGCTTCAACTGGCTTGCATACTCCTACAATAGGCACGGATTTGACGAGTGCTTCCCGGAGACGCCGCACCAGTGCTTGCCGCGCGGTGGAGGTCGCATACTCCGCTTGCTGGGTGAGGTGCAGGTATAGTTGGTCTGCGCGCTCGGGATCTGGAGATGCGACAATTGTGGAGATTGCTAGGATGTACCACTTGTCATTGCCTAGGATGGTGGATTTGAAGCGGTTCTCGAGCTCGGTGAAGAGCTGCTGGAAACAGGGTTGGACTTCCGAGGTCATTGTGGCGATGGTTCGGACTTGGAAGGAGCTTGAGATGGATCTCGGTGGAAGCTTGAATCTGGTCGCTCGGATGATGGACCGAGTGAACATCGATTGGTGTTATGCCTCCTATGTGGTGCTCAGACGCAGTGCGCTCCGATGAGCGGAGTGGGTCGCATGTTCGACTTGTGCAGTTCAGACTCTTCCCATTTCTAAGCTGATTCTCCTACCATGGTGAGAAAATGCATATGTTCTTCTGAAAATGTGAGATACACTCTAGTTCAGTAGGAATTAATTTAGTAGTATACCATGTCCGGTTGCGGCTGTATAGATCACACCACGCAGTACATGGTAATATTAGTCTCGGACAATCTCACTTTCCAAAGCTCTGCTATATTTTCTCATTTTTAGTATTATAGAGTATACTATGAAGTAACTTCTACTGTAGTACTGTATACACATACAGTATAGTACTGTAGTACTGTACTCTCACGAGTATAAAGCCAAGGTGGAGCAACAATTAGTCTAGTGGGGTCCCGGCAAGCCACACGCATCGACGATGTCACCAACGCAGCTCTGCCTTGTTTGCAACATCTGAGGACATCGACGAATCCCAAAGAAGGGTCCAGAGCACACGAACACTGTACAAAGTGCAGACTCTGAGGTCAATTGCCTGTAAACTGGGCGACGACCCACTATGATCTCAGCGACTCCAGCATGACATCACTTGGCGATGGCGACCTTGATATAAGAACTGGTCACTACCACTACTTCTCCCTCCCATACAATCCTCTCATACAATCCTCTCTACAATCCTCTCTATCTCCTATTCTACCTCTTCCAATCCTATCAAAATGTCAGGCCAATCTAGCGTCGGAAACCGTGCCGTCTACGAGGCTGGCGACCAGCGCAACCCCCCTGTCTCCGAGCTCCAGGATCGTGCCCGCTACGCCGAGGGCCAAACCCACAGCCACCAGAACCTTGACTCCAAGGATGGCCGCTCCATCGCCAACAAGCTGGCTTCCCAGTCCAACAAGCCCAACCCCTCTCACCACCACAACTACGAGGCCAACGAGGAGGCCGAGCTCAGCAAGCAGGACCCCACCAAGCCTGTAAGTGTCCATGTACAGAACTATGTGGTACCATATACTAATACATATCAGGCCAAGCTCCACGGCAACGCTCCCTCCAAGGGCGCTCAGATTGACGCCGAGCTCCAGGCTGAGGATGAGCAGCGCCTGCGCGAGAAGGGCATCAAGCACTAAATTTGGAAATGCGGTTATGCTATAAAATACCCCATAAGACTTGGATCTCCATAAAAGATTGGAGATGAAATGATGTACGATAATAATGACATTTGGTCGGAGTTCTTTTATTGAGCCAAGATCAAGGAATGAATTCATTGAAGACGCACCTGGTTACATGTAGTCAAACTTTGGAAAGAGTATCTTAAGCTCACTATCATAGTCCGCACGTATTCACGTCAATAGTATGAGAAGTCCAATTTGCTGCTCCATGTTCCCCACCAAGGTTGGTTGTAAAATTTAGCGGATCAAAGGTTCTATAACCTTGGAAGGTTCAAGATGTCCCGGACATGGAAGCTACTAACCCTGGAAGACCTGAAAGTCTATGTCAATTGTATAGACTTCAAGCCCTGCTCATAGGTAAACTTCCAAGTTGGAGTAAGAACTTGGTAAAAACGGAAATGACATTCTAAATATAAATTCAATCTTATTCTCATTAAGTGGATGCAATTTAAATGCAACCATATGCCAACGACCCACGATCAAGGAGTCAATTATCTGTACAAAGCCAAACTGGCCAATATGTTCCGTAAATTCATGCAGTCCTCGAGAGGACGAGCGGTGCTCAGCAAGGCCAATGCCATGCAGACTGGCACGGGAAAAACTGGGTTCCCACCGATGCCAAAAGAGTTCAGAGACCAAGCACTGATCAACCATCAAGAGTAAACTTAGGATCATCGTCGTGCGGCGTAGCAAAAACATGACCCCAGTACTCTTGGACTCTGTCACACAATCCCACTTTGTTTTCCCAGGTCTTGAATGCTGTTTCGAGATTACAGCTGACCCATTTGATTTCTTCCCAGTACGCCTTTTCGACGTCGTAGCCGAATCTCCTGATAGTATCGGGAGGTGCCGTCCAGGCACGTCCGTCTGAGCCATCATCCTTCAGAGTAGGGGTTGTTTCCCAACCAAGACCGAAGATTCGGTCACCAGGATTGAACTTGGGATAATTGGCATGGATGAAGAAGATATGCGGTGCGGGTGCAGCGGATTCGTCTTCCACGCGCCATTTTCCTTCCTTCGTCAAAGCGAAGTCCTCCCGCGGGTCTGATTGTGCCATTGCGGACCCGGACAGTCCGCCTGGGCTAGAATGTCCGATAGCTTGCACCCTTTCGCTAACAGTGTAGAAGGGTGCACCGACCGCAGAGGCAGCCTGTAAGAACGTTTCCTTGTCGCCCTCGCCAGGACCCCCTTGGGTCAACAGGCGGAAATAGTGCGACGGGCCGTAGAAATTATAATAGGAAGCCAGCAGAAGAGCCAGTAAATGCGTTTTCTTGTTTACCAAGAATGCGCCGGTCTCGGACGACTGCCGGGCCGTCATGGCCGGCGGTTCTTGACGCGAGATCCTGAAATACAGAGGGGACGCCGAGGAAGCCCAGAAGTCAGGCCAGGTGACTAACCCGTTAGACTTGAAGGGCTCCGAGTCAAGCAGCTCCTCGGGTTTACCCAGTGGGAAACAATCCGCGTCCATCCAGACAATCTCCTCAAAGGACGAGAACAGCACCGCAAAAATCTTCAGCTGGTAGTGTTCAATGACGTTCTTACCCACCACATCCGCGAGCACCAGGCACCGGGCATCCAGTTGGGGAAGCACATCCTCGCACACGCGTTTCTCATGCTCTGTGGCGTCCTTCATGTATATCTCAACAGGCAGTGTTGACCCGGCGCGACGAAGCATTCGTAGCGAGGACACAAAGACCGGGAGGTATGTCGAACCAGCAGTCGACACCAGTCCTCGCTTCCCGGGGGTATGGATGGGCTTCAGCACTTTGCCGGAGTTCTTGACATCCTCGATGAAGGCCGCGTGGGCCTCTTCCATCTTGCGTGCATCTTCCTCGCTTAGCACCGACAGATCAGGTCGCGGCTGTTCTTTCGCGGGGTCAAAGTGTTGTGCTGCCACGTCCCCTCGCTTCTCCGGCGCCGGGCAGTTCGGGTTATGACGTTCGATGATCGGGCGCAGCGCTTTCCAGAAATCCTTCTGGCGTTCGGTGAGGGGGACTTCGAATGCGGTGTTTGGCACCACAGAAACGGTGGAGGACGCGGTCGTCGGAGACCAGTAAAAGTAGACGGTGCACACGAGTATCAAGGCGAGCATCGCCAGGACCAGGGACCTTGCCCTGCCCGGTCGAAATACACCCTTGGACATGACTGCGAGGTCCCAGGGGGCGCACGGCCACGCCGATCAGAAGTTAAGAAGAGATAGGTGCGTAACTGAGCACGTTCAGGGTATAGGGTGTGGCGCATATAATTCAGGGAGGGCGGAAACAAGATTGGCCGGGCTTGGCACCGGCCATTTTTACAGACAGCAGACAGCAGACAGTAGAGAAAAGAGAAGTCAGAGTGAAGGCAACAGAAATAAGTGTTACTAGTAATTACTACTGTATGTCCTGCTCGATGAAAATGGAAATGAAACACGAGACCACACTACTAGGATTAGTAGTTGCCTCGCCGCACGTTAAGCCGAGGCCACTTTTGACTCTTCTCCCCTCTTCATCTCTCATCCTTCACGGAGCAGATCGTTCCAATCCGGAGCCAGTGAGACATTATCTTCCAATGATTTCATGATCACCGAGAGTGGAACCAACCATTGCCTGCCGTGAGAAGGCAATGAACGCCCCAGTTCTGTCCCGACTAGAGGACTAAAGCGCGGATCAGCCTCCACTGGGAAGATCCCATATCCACCCCCCCGAAGTCTTCGTTTTATCTTCTTTTTCGGTCTCAGGAGTCGCCCTATAAAGTCGATTCCCCCAAACCGTTTTCGCCGATCTCATATTTGAGATTTTTTCTTCCCTTTTCCGAATTCAGATTTCAGACTCCCCCCACAAATTCTGCACCCTGACCGGTCGTGCCTCCGACTGACCCGTCAGGTTTTGACGGATGGACTCCGTGCGGGCCTTGCCCACGTCTGTGTACGATGACCTCCGATAGTGCTGAGCATCGAGCTCGAGACCCCGCGCCGAAGGGAAAATCCCGCAAAACCGATCCGAATGCCCCGGTCCGGAAACGCCGCAAGAGAACGGTGGTCAGCGGGGCCCCCGACGACTGTTTCGCTTGCTCCAAGCGAGGAGCGCGGTGCGATCGCCGCCGGCCGTATTGCTCACAATGCCTGGAAATGGGTCGCGAATGTTCCGGGTACAAGACGACGTTAACATGGGGTGTTGGGGTTGCAAGTCGAGGGAAGCTCCGGGGGCAAAAACTCCCAGTGATGGAGTCGGGCGAGCAGGCGCAAAGAGAGACTGCGAAATCACCACCCAAGACATCAAGTAGTACTGCTGCGTCTTCTTCACGGCTTCCTTCACATACGCCAGTCCCGCCAGCCTCCGACCCAACCATGTCGTCTTTCAACGCAGGACCCAATATCAAACTTGAAGATAGTCCGCCGACCATGATGAACTCATTTGACATGGGATCGAATATGGCCTGGACAATGGACATGCCAGATCCACAGACGTGGAGTACGCCAGCTCCTGCGCCTAAGATTTCCGGGCTCCCGCTGCCAACACGACCAATGATTTCAAATAACACATCTCAAGCTATGACGCCTGAGACGCCCCTACTCTACGCTCCCATTCACAGTCCGACGGCGGGTTTCAGCTCCCCAGTTTGGTCCACTGCAATGTCATACCCAGTCCAATCCGCCACCCCGCCATCATCACAGGATATGGACGAAGAGGAGGTGAAAAAAGACCCTAATTATAACATGTTCTGGAACGCTGCGCATTCCCCGTCCCTCTCACAGCTTCTTTTGGCAAGATCAGTGGGTCGGACACCGCGCATTCGATATCTCATCAGTTATTACGCTGAAGTCATTGCACCAATGATCGTTGCATTCGATACACCAACAAATCCGTTCAGAACCCACGTCATTCGTCTGGCGATGGAGAGTGAGGCTCTCCAGGAGGCAATTGCGACCTTGTCTACGAGTAACCTGCGCCAAAGGCGAGAACACAACCACCTCTCGACAGAAAGAACCTTACCCGCACGCATGTCCTCCATGGCCCACCGGGCACTGACCGATGAGGACTTCCAAGATAGATACGGTATCTCCATGACCGAGGGTTATATCAGGGAAGAAAACCACCATCGCGGCATGGCCGTCAAAGCCTTGAACGCGGACCTTGCAGATCCCCGCCGCAGATTGTCAGATTCAGTACTGGCAACTTTACTGATCCTCTGCCTTTTCCATGGTTGTGATACCGGAGTTGCTGGTTTCAGAGCGCAGTTTGCTGGTGTCACAAGACTTCTCGCGATCCGAATGCGCCATTCCCGCGTCATGACGGACGATTTGAAATGGTTCATCCGAATGTTCTCGTGGTTCGATACACTGACAGCAACGACAAACGATCGAGATGTCCAACTTCGTGGAACGTGTCTGGAAATCAGCTCCAAGACAGACGGTGAATGGGGCTTGGAAAATTTGGCCGGCTGTGACGGTCGTTTGTTCAAATTGATCTCTCAACTGGGTCGTTTGAATTTGCTCAGCCAGGACCAAGAGCCTAATCTATCACGCCCCCGGGATGCAAATGTTGCCACAACCTCGTTACCCCCCAACATGATTTTCCCAGGATGGGAAAATGTCGTCCCAGATCCTGGGCTAGGCTCTGTTCCACTTTCAGGGCAACCCTTCTCTCTTCCGACTCCACCCCCAAGTAGCGATTCAAGCCGTCGCCCTTCTTCCCCGGCATTTTGGACAGAGTGGTATTCGCTCAGGCAGCGACTTGAATCCTGGCGATTCGACCCACCTACTGCACCATCTGCACCATCCGAGGCCTTCCCTTCACCACCCTTGTCGGCATCTACAATGACCTGGAACGCAACCACGTATTTGACGCCGATGACTTCGACATCCGCATATCAGGTTGCACCCGAAAACCTCCAGGATGTTTTCCAAATCTCAGAATGTTTCCGGCACGCAGCCCTCCTTTACTGCGAACGTCTAGCTGAGCCTACTCTTCCGTCCCGGCATGGACGTATCCAACACCTTGTCCAGCTCGCCATGCACTGTATCATAACTGTGCAGTCAGATGTGTATCTCTTGTGGCCACTTTTCATTGTCGGCTCGGAGTGTGTTCAGGAAGACCATCGTTCTATTATTCGCAATCGCTGCATTGATATCTCCAAGGACTCCGGCTTTATCAACAATCTTTCCTGCCTGGAACTTCTTGAGAAAATCTGGGCAGAGCACTCCGACGAGTCCTCATTCCCAATCTATCCCAGCGAGTTTGCTGCCCCGCCTCCGCTGGCAGGTGGCAGGGCACCTACTACTTCACAGGCTTTCCGGTGGTCCCAAGTCATGCAGGCCAAGCGGGGCGACGGAGAGTATATGGTCGCATAGACCTGTTTAAACTTCTCTCATTTTACTCATTTTCCTTTAATTATCATGCCAGAAGGATGGTATCTAGCTTTTCAGCATATCGGTGGCATTATTTATTCTTTTTGTTGGAGGCTCAGCGACTCGATTTTTGACAAACATGATACCTCACATATTCGGGTTACTCTTTTCTGACTTGGTAGGAGTTAATCCCGAGGTCTTTTTCAGTACATAGACATAGACCAATTACATGCACATATCTCGCAACTACTCTTCAATGCGCTCTTATCATAAAATGCAGTCCCAACAAACTCGTTCCAAGGTTGAATCTGCACAAGGCACCGTTGGCTCACAATATCTCCATCCGAAGGTACTTGCATAATCTAGAGCACGGCCAGCGCCATTTCGAGCCGGGCCAAGCCACTCGGAGGTAGCACCTCAAGAGGAATGCACCTGAGCAAAAGTCAATCTCACCCAACTGGGCACAGGCAAAAGTACGGAGTGCGCCGTACGAGCTCGGCATTTAGCCCAGGTGAGAGACCTGTCTAAAGGCGTAGGGCACAGGGCAAGGGCAGTCATGCAAACCCTACCGATCAGCGCGCACAAACCCCATATCAGAACGGAGTCCTCCGTCCGCCGAACTGCTCACAATCAAGGAAGCAGAATGTGGACAACTTCGGGATTCAGATAAACAAGGTCTCGCCGAGCTCCCCGACCGCTAGTACTACACGGCCTGAAATACCAATTAGAAACACTAAATTGCAAGATTTGCGTTTGGATTTCACGGCGCTCGTGCAAGGGGCAGCAGCAGATAGATGGAATTCCAAGGCAGACTGCACTATGATTGGGATGTTGGATCCCAGCGATTTAATATCAGTGCACACGTACGTGCAGAAAAGAAAAATTCCCCCAAGTGATCATTATGTACTTGATATTGAAATAAATTACCCAATCCACTTTGGAATTTAGAGCTGCGGTGCTCAGTATAGCGGGATTTCAAAATCGGCATGTCTGAGCCTCATACTAGCACTCCGTACTTATTGTTTGTAGCACGTAGCACATGAAGAATAGGAAAGTACCGAGCATTATCTCGCAACATGATGCAATGTACGGTGAATAAGAGTAAGCGCGTCTGTGCGAGTTCAAGGTTATGTTCCTACAGCCGAGGCCGGCTCCCAGCCCGTTGGCCCCCTGCAGGCTTGGCCTAGCGGGCTGGGATTTCCATTTTGGTCTCGATTTGTGATCCTTCCAGAAATTCCATGGCCCGCTTTTAGCGAGCTGGCATTACGCATTACGCACTCTACTAATGCGGAGGACAATCATTTGCACAGTAATTATTGCTGTTAATTGTTGAGAAGAGTCTTGATAAGAGGGCTCATATCTGCAAATGCAGACAGATACATCTAAGAATATCTGTAGATTTTTTTTCTCCATCAGCTGCCTGCATGTGAGATCTAGACAGACATCCAATGACCGACAGGTGAAATTGGAAATTAAAAATAAGCCATGTGCAACCCTAGATGATCGGCGGTACAGGAGATGCTTTGCCTTGTGAATGGCTGGATTGGCCAAGACAGGGGGCATTTCTCGAAGGGTTGACTCATTCAAGAAAAACAAAATCCTCGAATCAGGGGTGGCCCTGGGATTCTTTGTGTGGGCAGCAAGGACGCGCCGAAAATTCCGCCGATTCTCATCCCTTTCCTGGGTGCGTGAGCGTAAAGAATATCTCGGTATTGCTCGTATTGGCGAGTGTCACTGTTTTGCATTTCTTACTGGCTCTTGCGAGGTAAGGTGAGTCTGATATCCTTGGGAATCGTCACAGCCTAGAGAACGGAGTATAGTACTCAGGTGGCATATCATGCACCTTGGGAACGATTACGGATTCAGGTGCTTTGGTGTACTTGATCGTTGTCCAATCCCGCACTCGTATCAAACAGACTAGGGCTTGAACTCGAGCGGTCGCAGCGACTCGCCTATTGTTCGATGCCCCACGCTGAAACAAAGATCCAGAGAACCAATGTTGAGTATCGATGACAACTGACCCGGGGCTTCGGCTGGGCCTTGGGCTTTTGGTTGGACGCTGCCTATCCATTATGCGGTTTCGATCCCAACGCGCTGTATGTACACAGCCACCAGGCTGCCAAATCATCCAAGTAGAGCCGGATTTTGATACAAGTAGATTACAACTATTTTTACTCCTAGGCTGAAGGGATTTGATTTTTCACGCTTGTCGCGTTGGTCAGACCATAGAAGTTGCGGTCTGCGAATTTTTTTTTTCTTCTTGCCCAAAGAGAGCCGTTGCTGCCCAGCGACGCAGCGGTAACGCCCATTCATGGTCCGTGATGTTGCCCGACACGGCGGTGCAAAGTGGATGTGGAAGAGGGACCCTGATGGAGCTCGTTTAGTTCGCCATGGCAACATGTACGTATAAGTTACCAGGAATTTAAATGTCCGATTGTCTGGGGGTGGGGTCTTGAACCGGTGGACGAGACGGGACCGCCCGTTCTAAAATCTGGGATGCCGTCAGGCCAACCATGGAACCAACCTTTAATCGAGCATGGCTTTCAGTAGTTTACTTACACGTGTAAGTACCACACTTTGCGAGTACATAAAGGGCTTGCTTGCTTGATGGGCTATAAAGATGATAGGTTGATATCTTGATGCACCAGTTGATCGTATCCAGTGTTCGTCGTCATGCTACAACAGGTCGGTGTTCATGCAGATGAACTGTACAAGACATGGAGGTTCCCTCTTAGTTCTGGAAATCGAGCACATGGCTTTGTGTCCATCCAACCCAACCGTGACACGCCAGCCGATAGAGGGGTGACCTAAATTAACTCCAACGACATATGGCCGTAAGGCAGCCAGTGAGATCTCCCGTCATTGCCAGCTTAGTGGCGATATCTGCGCTCAAGTTTTCCTTCGCTTTGCCTCAGAGTGACTCACCGAGGGTTTGGGAGTCGCAGATGGTGTGAGCCCGGTGATCTCAGAGACACCGCAAGAAAGCCATATGAGTAATTGTCTGCCCGATTATCCTGAGGGGCGTCTAGCCAAGCGGCAGATATTCATAGCGTCGAAGAATACGGCTCCATAGGGACTAGTCTGAGGGGTCGAAACCATGGTACTTTGGGATTGTAAGGTCGAAAGTCCTGACTGAAAGTGAGTAACGGGTGAGTCGACTTGCGATGTTTGCCACTTCTCAGCATCGAGTCATACTTAATAATGACAGATAAAGCTGAGCTATAAAAGCAGACCCAAACCCCCTGCGTGATGAGAAATCTTAGAAAGCAATAGAATACGGGAGTATTTGGAAATTCAATACACGTAAGGGTATTATCGCCACAGCCTAAAACGCCAACCCGCACGCTCCGGCCACTAGCGGCTGCAGTGATTGGCGACAATAATATCACCGGCGCTGACATTGGGATCCATCTTCTTTTCTCTTTCATCCTTGGGTTGAAATTTTCCCACTCCACAAATCCCAAAAGCCATTACATCTGTGGGAGTCTCTGCTACTCCTTTGTTTTGCTTGAGAATCACTCTGGATCAACTACCCTAAGGTAGAGGATCCCCCCCTTAAACGCACTCTTCCTTCTTTTCCTTGAATCGGTCGAAGAACGTTCAAATGCTCTCTCTGCACATTCAGTCTCAACCTTCTTCTCTTCGATCGGAAACCGTACCACGGTGACGGTGTCAAAAATCTAAAAAAAACCTATCTGACCTGCTCGTCGGCGTCGATTCTTGTTCTGGGTGCGCGATATCCTGTATAATATACTCGGTGTTTTCTTTTTTTTATCTTCTTCCTTTTTGGCGATTCGCATTTAATCGTTTGGTTCATTGCATTGCATTTTCCAGCCTCTGGTGCTTCTATATGATCCGATAATGTATCATTACTCCAGTCCACCACACGGGTGGTCCACCTACGACTACACACAATCTCCTCCCACCTCACCTCAATACGCCTACTACGCCTCGCAATACGCGAACTCCTACTCACCTCGGGGCACCACACGTCGACACAACCGCAAGGCCAGCTACACAGCGACCAAAGAAACGCCAGGATGGTATTCGACCTATCAACCCGGTTTCTATGAAACCACAGACTATGGCATTCCATCGCGAAAGCACGATCATGTAAGTGCTACTTTTGGAAAGCCCACACATCGTCGATACCACTCCTCGGCGGGTTATCCTCCGGATGGCTTCGACAACGGATACGGATACGACCCGGCGCAATCGCAGACCCGACCCATCTTCGTCGATGTGGTCGACGACGCATTCGACGGCCACCCAGGCTACACTGGCCGTCCCCCCACGACCCCGAAAGATGGTCCCCGTCGCACCTCGACCTCTTACCGCAAACCCAACCCAGCTGATTCTCACTTTTACTTCACTCAGGCCCCTAACAACGAGGATATTGACGCGGCTCGACGATCCCGCGCCAGACGCCAATCTACTTCCACTCGCACTCCCAAGCCCAAGCCTCCTCCCGCCGCAAAGCCCCCTCCTGTCGCCACTGAAGACGACGCCGCGCGAGCCAAGATTCCCCCGGGGTACTCGATCAAGAACTGGGACCCCACCGAGGCGCCGATCATCTTGCTGGGCAGTGTCTTCGACGCCAACTCTCTTGGGAAATGGATCTACGACTGGACCGTTTTCCACCACGGGGCCTCGACCCCCATGGCCGACGTCGCTGGCGACCTGTGGCTATTGTTGATCAAGCTTGCGGGCAAGGTGAAGAGGGCTGACGAGTGCCTGGATCGCATCCAACGTGTCGAGGCCCGGGAAGTCGTGGAAGACTTCCTGGAAAGTGGCGAGCGCCTGTGGGGCCGCTTCAAGAAGCTGCTCAAGGGCTGCGAGGTTTACATGTGGAAGGCCGCCAAGCGAGAAGGCGGCAAGGGGCCTGTCTCTATGGGCCGCAACTCCGGCTGCGAGTTCGTGGAATCGATTTTCGGCCGTGATCGCGAGCTTGAAAACACCGAGAAGCTCATGAACAGCATCCGGCTGTGGAACATGCGCTTCGACGCAAACTGCGAAGACATCCTGCGCCGCCCTGCGGCTGCTTAGGTTCTTGGATACGTTATTGTTTTGCTTTTTTGTTGCTTTTTTTCTTGAATTACCGAAAGTGATACCCAGAGAGAGAGTCTTTTCTTGTTTTTCTGGTCTACGGAGTACTTCACAGTGTTTCGCGTTTGGAGCGCTTTTGGCTTCGGCTGCAATTCTCCATCTTCGTCCCGGTTTGGACGATCCCCCAAAAATTCCTTTGCTCTTTTCGGCGCCTCGATTCTGATCTCGCTCCCTTGAGCATTCTTCCCATTTCTGGCGTCCTGTTTAATCTTTCTCTTTCTGGCCGTCTAGTTCGTTTCTGAAGTCCTGTGTCACCCTGCTTTGATGATACCATCTTGCGATCGCTTATACACACGTCTGTTTTTTTCCTTTGTTCATGCATTATACTGTTTTGCTTTTACTGTGATGTGTCGGAGAACCCGGGTTGTACATAGAAAGACGATCCTACATCCGATAAACCACACTCGTTATACTTTTCGCATATACATTCCGAGACTTCTGTAATACTATTTCCACGTAGACCCAGTGTGATGTGATAGCTACCCCTCTTGCTTCCGCGCTACGCTCGGCGCCTGCAGTACCTACATACAGGTGAATCATCTACCCCGCCTCAGCAACGAGGGTATCGAATCCCGAGATTGGCTGCCTCGTTTGGATGAAGATCGAAAGACGTGCATTTTGCCCCAGCTCAGGGGTCCATTTCATGACGGCAATTGATGTCACGCCTACGTACGGCCCCCCAGCGGTGGCCTGGCCCAGCATGTTCTATTGGCCTGGGGTTCAGATTTCATGCAATATGCATGTTGGCTGGGGTACCCGAGCTGTTGGGTGTGGCGACCCTATGAGGGGCCCGTACGCGAATTCCTTGTGTTGGGTTGCATGCCGCCATAGTACTTTATGCATCAATGAGAAACGGCCCTGGCTGTGCTCGCTGTGAGTGGCTGTTGGTGAGGTATTTTCCTCGCATTTTCTCAGTCTGCTGCCGCCAGCCTCCCGAACCAGCAGTCTCGGCTAATCTGGAGATGACAGCTGCTCGACGTCAGGTGCCCAGTCAAGGAGTCCAGCAGGTATTCCCATTTACACAGAGCATCCGAGACAGGTCAGGTCGGTCTCACCAACCTCCTTCTCCATTCAGAATGAAACCACGCTTGTGAAACGTTGAGGTTCGGAGAAAAGAGCCGACCTGGCTGTTCGGATGTCTCAAACCAGGCTAAACATGCAGGAAGACGAAACACCCTAATCTGAGGCATGCAGCCTTAGCCCGTGGCGAGAAGGATTCGGGTGCATTTGGAGAGCCCATGTGGCCATGCAACCTTATCTCAAAGGCCAACTCAAGGCTAAAATCAACGTAGGTCAAGTTCTGTCGTAGATCCGCGTAGGTCAGCCTCGATAAATGTCTGAGAGAGAAAGCAAAGCAAAACTGAAGCATAATGATGACGCGCGGGTCACGGGGTCAAGGTCCAAACTCCGGGGCCGTTGACATCATCTCCACACTCACACCTGGGCAGTACTCCATGCGTATTGATTTGAATATTCTGAAATCAAAGGCTATATGTTACGGAATATCACCTCTTTTCCGCTTTCCTGTGACGCTATCTCTCCCTAGCAACAGAGAATGCGAGCCCGTCATTTCCCAAGTCTTGACTCAATCCGGTTCCGGGTAGACTGATACCTCGGGAGATCGAAAATACACAGATCTGCATCAAAAAGCAGTCTCCAGTCCTTGGCTGCTCCCGCCTGGGGTGCGGCTATGCGGGAAACCCCATGCAACAGGAACCCACAGCAACCGAGACAGACTCGGTGAGAGCATCAGATGCGCCGTCACGATGGGCGCGGATGGGGGTCCACCTCAACTTGAGACCGGTGGAAGATGACGAGCCTCAGTCTTGGTGGATAGCATCCACGGCTATTCCGCTCCTCGCCGCCGCAACGGGACCGCTGGCCAATGTCATGTCGGTCGTTGCGCTAGTCATGCCGTGGAGGAGTGACATTCTTTCGGAAACAGTAGGGCCTGCTGGAAATTGGATCCAGGAAGGATACCCGGACCCCCATTGGTAAATTGCAGAATATGACCATCAATGAAGCTTTCCTGACATTTTGACAGGATTACTGCCCTCAATGCAGTTTCCCTTGTGTGTGGAATTGTGGGCAATGCCTTTCTACTGTTCAACTTCACCCAGATCGTGCGCTATATCGTTGCTCTGCCGGTGACGATTATCCTGTGGTTTCTGGCCACGGGTATTGTGAGTGACACGCTTTGATTGACCTATCATGTCTAATGCATGCTTGTAGCTATGTGGAATCACCATAGCCATTGAAGTGTATGCCCCGCCAATTGGAGATGACCGGATTTTCTCCCAGGCATATTGGAGTGCCGTTATTGCGGCGTGTCTCTATTTCGTCTTGAGCTTGAGTTTGATGATCAACATGCTAGGCTATATTTTGGGCAAATATCCACAGCACTTTTCGTTGACGGACGAGCAACGGACATTGATCTTGCAAATGACTGCCTTCGTGATTTGGCTCTTAATAGGCGCCGCCATCTTTCAGCGGGTAATTGGGATCTCTTTCGCGGATGCATTATACTTCTGCGATGTCACTGTCTTAACCTTGGGTTATGGTGATATTACTCCTACAAGCTCTCTCGGTCGCGGTCTCATCTGGCCATATGCAGTCATTGGAATAATTATTCTTGGTTTAGTTGTGGGGAGCATTCACAAGTTTGCCCGCGAGGTTCATTACGACAATGTCATTCAAAAGCATATTGAACAGAAGCGGCAGGTGACTTTCAACCGGTCCATTAATACCGAGGAGTTCTGTGCTTCCAAAGGAAAATCCTCCATTGGTGGCATTGATGCTCCCGCGGTTGCCCTAAAAAGCTCAAAGGGCCCTCATCACCATCCCCACCGGCCAATTCGAAATACTCTGAGCGCCATCGCAGCGACCCGCCGGCCGAAGATAAACATCATGCGCGAAGAGAAAGACCGGTTCGATGCCATGCGTCGTATCCAGTATGAAACCTTGCGGTTTCGCCGGTGGAATGATCTGATCATAAGCTTCATTGCTTTTGGGATCGTGTGGTCTTGCGGAGCAGTTGTGTTCTGGAAACTAGAAGACTGGACATACTTCAATTCACTCTACTTCTGCTTCGTCTCGCTATTGACCATTGGCTACGGCGATTTCACCCCCCAGTCAAACGCGGGTCGACCATTCTTCGTGCTTTGGTCACTCATCGCAATCCCAACCATGACCATGCTGATCTCTCAAATGAGCGATACGATTGTGGCCAGCTTCAAGCGCGCCACGAGCATCGTCGCCGACTATGTTGTATTGCCCCAATCGCATCTTTACAGGTCATTCCTCGGTCGAATACCCGGGGTTGCGCAGCTCATGCTTGCCCGCCAGGAGAAGAAAAGACTCCAACGGGGATTCCCATTAGAAGGAGCCGATAAAGCCCAAGCCGGCAAAAGTACACATCCAACAAAATCAGCTGAGTCCGATAACGATGATGATCCAGCGGCAGCACATCCTCACAGAACACTCGAAGAGCTCGTTCGCAATCCCGCACCCCTTGAACTTGCTCAGCAACTTGCCTTTGCTATTCGACGGGCGACAAGACATGCTCGCGAGGGTAAACGGAAGCAGTATTGCTATGAGGAATGGGTTGAGTTTACCCGCCTCATCAAGTTCACAGATCCGCGAGCCCGGCCATCGTCCCAGAACGGACAATCAGAAACCTTTGATGGATCTGGCTCTTTAGATCTTAATGAGGATGAGTATGGGCTCTTGAACTGGGATTGGATCGGCGAGAACAGCCCTATGCTGGCGAAACAAACGGAGCCGGAGTGGGTTTTGGATCGATTGTGTGAAAGTCTGGTTCGATATGTATCGACACAAGAAGATCGAGCTGCGGGTGCAGAGTCGGAGGAGCCAACCCTGAGAAAGGAGCGAGATATTGGCTTAGATGGTTGAAGTTCATTCCAGGTTTCAATCATGATCTCGATCTGTGAAAAATGCGTGGCTATTATCTGCATATGTCAGTTTCAAGGTACGCAGATAAAGTAGCGTATTGTCTATGGACTTACTCGCCAGTTTACGCCTCTTTCAGAAGGCGTGACACGCCGTGAAGTACCGAAAATAGATCATTCATGGCCTTGATATCCAACCCTCGGTTTTCTACTTGCTTGCTATTGACATTTTGCAGCTATCGCCAGTCTAATTCTACCCCGGTATCTAACCAGCAATAATATGACAATTCCTACTACTACCTATGTAGGTAGCAATCTAGGATTTGAGGGACAATTCTACACGAAAAATGCCCTTTTATGATACTTAGGTGTGCCCGAGTGATGTCCTCAGCTAGTGTAGGAAGAAGCATGATCAATCATTTAATGCTAGAATACCTAGGTATGTATGAACGAGATTGCATATCCAACTCGATTCCCGCTTGTCTAGAAACATCCATGGATATTTTCCAGTAGAAAGTCATTTCCGAATCGGTCAAGTCTATGGGGGCCTGGGGCAAATATTGCTTACATAAGGAGGCCTGGCAAAGAGCCTAGAGATCAATGGCTTCACGATGATTGCTTCCTCGAAATTCTTCCGTTGGATTTCCCCCTCACTTCCTGTCCTCATCTACCCGCAGGCTACCTGTCCTGTGCCAAAGTTCTTTCGCTATCTCCAATCGATATTACAGCTTCATCTTCCAGCTCTGCGCAACCCCCCATCTGAATTACACCCCGCGATAACCCGAGATGTCTCTTTGCCAGAACCGTCTCCAGGAGGAGCGGTAAGTTCACCCAAGCTACCTTTGAGATTGCAGAGATGCGCATTCTCTGCATTCGAGTCTCGTTCCGCGCTAATAGATGCAAATCACAGAAAGCAGTGGCGTCGCGATCACCCATTCGGGTTTGTCGCAAAGCCTACACGCACTGCCCAGGGCGGCCTGGACCTCAAGACTTGGGAGTGTGCGATTCCTGGCAAGGCCAGCACCCTCTGGGAAGGTGGACTTTTCAAAATGAAGGTGGTGTTCCCAGATGGTAAGCAGCACAACACACATCGCCCCCGATGATCCCTATCTTGATCTGAGGCTGACCGATCTTCTAGAATACCCCACCAAGCCACCCAAGTGTATGTGACTCCGATACAATCCATCTGTGGCAACAACCCACGATATGCAGTGCTGCCTTTTGGGAAATCACAAACTAACATGATGGTCTTCTAGGCAAATTTGACCCAGCGTTGTTCCACCCAAATGTCTACCCTTCCGGAACTGTGTGTCTGTCAATTCTCAACGAGGAAGAGGACTGGCGTCCCGCGATCACGATCAAGCAAATCCTCCTCGGTATCCAATCTCTGCTTGACGACCCGAACCCCGACTCGCCGGCCCAGGCCGATGCCTATAACCTGTTCAAGAAGGACCGTCCGGCGTACGAGCGCAAGGTGCGCCAGGTTGTTCGCGAAAACCAGCCCAACTAGTGACATTGTGGCCCGCGTCAGCGGCCCTGGAGAACACCCCGGTGTGATTCTGTTATTTCTTTTTCGGCATGGGATACCAGGGCATCGGAGATCATGCATTTATTAATGGCGAGGGGAGCATCTTCGCTTTTTGTTTTTGACCGCGAGCATGGCGTTTACGAATAACCCAATGGATGGCGTTTTCTGGCTTAGGAGCAATCAGAAACAATGAGATCCTACTCCGAGCTCCTCGGAGCTTGGACTTTTTTTACTGTATGGAAGAGTGTGAGTGGTGTAGTTCCATCGTCGGGTGGCATTTCCAAGGGACTCAGGTTTCGCGCAACCTCCCAAAAGCTTGGAAGCATGCGCTTTGGTTGACATAGCTCTCTGGTCCTTGTGCCCAGATGCTGGAGTGCACATGTCCGGGGAATCAAGATGCCTGAACTTCCATCAAGTCTCTCGTGAGGGAGAAATAGGGATTACAGCTGAAGCTTGAGGTCTCAGGAAGTGTTTAACGATCGCTCCTGGTGGCATTGCTTGCGGTATCTCAATCCAATCATGCAGCTTGTTTGGTCATCGAAGACTCCCCAAAACAAGGACAATGGCCAAAGGCCTGGCATCCGAAGGAGATGAGCAATATTCAGCACCGTGACTTATTGGGCTCCAGGGCTAGGTTAACAGCTGAGGTACTCGGACACTCCACTTCGTCGAGCGGTAATTGACTTAGCTCCCATAATTACATAGTTCGAAGAAGTCGCACCATGCTTCTTTAGACAGGTTCCTGGATTCAGCGGGACTGATTCAGAGGTCAAGGACTTGAAGGGATTCTATCATTCAAAACGATGAACGAATTTTGCATTCGGGGAGTGCACCGCTAACCTTGCGAAGAAAGAGGATATAGTCTCCTGCTTGTCCCCAAGTGAGCTAATGCGTGAGCTTGTGAAAGATTACATGGGACCATGTGAGTAAACATTTCCGCTTCTCGGAATCAAGTCATGCCGGGTTGAACTCGCCATCTCCATGGGAAACCTGATGAAGTGTAGTAACCATTCATGCATGGCTTGCACAGCTATCCATGATACTCTCTGTATCGTGTCACAGTGCTGCTACGGAACTCGTCCCATTCGCATACTGGGAATCTCGGGGACCTCCAGATAGTCATGCGGAGTGACGCGATTAATGTTAGGTTTGCATGTCCAAAGCTATGCAAACAGTCAATACATAGTATAAAATGGACGAACATGGCTTAGAGCAGCTCATCACTCCATTGATGGGGTTTCCAGTTGCTGGTCTTGCTCCAGGCGCTTACGATTGAATTGCATACATGTTTTGGAATGAATTTACAATTGAGGATAGGCACAGTTGGTTAAAATGCGAATTTGGATGCGATTAGAGAAGTCTATTAATATCACAACTTTGACGGAGGCCAGAGTGTGAGGAAACTGGACATAGGAGAGAAAATCAAATCAAACAAAAGGTATACCACAAGGGCGCTTTTTCCTCCGTACAAAGCTAGAGCACAGGGCGAGTAGCTTAGAGAATGGAGCCGAGAGCAACACAGGGGAGGCCGGCGCCGACGAGGTCCTCGCTGGCGGTGGAAGGAGAGTTGGCGCAGCAGGCAATGTTCTGCTTGCAGCGCTGGTTTAGGAGGTCCTGGACAGCAATGCCAATGATGGGGACTATGAATGGTTAGAAGGGCACAGAAAGATAGATGATTGTATTGAATACTCACCCTGGACATCGAGCTTGGAGCACTGGTCGAAGATACCAGCACCCTTGGCACCAGAGCCAGCACCGATCAGGTTGGAGAGGGTACCGCCGAGGAGGCCGGAGTTGACATCGGTGGTGTCACCGGCGTAGGTGGCGACGTTGCAGCAAGAGAGCTGAGCCTGGTCACCACACTTGGACTGGGCCTGCTTGACAGTCAAGTCACCAGGGACGGGGAAGCGAGGCTTGCCACCCTGGGCCTCAGTGGGAGCGGCAGCGGCGAAGGCAGCAAGGCCGACGAAGACAGCGGTGATGGAGAACTGCATTGTGAAGGTAGAGGTATTAAAGATTAAAATCTTGTAATTATAAAAGATGGTTTGGAGGTTTGGAAGATAGAAGAGTGAGAGAGATAGAGAAGTAGAGAGCTGATGGATAGAAGAAGAAAACGAGCACCGAATGCTTGCCTTTTATCTCCAAATCCTGGAGCTAGGACACGAGGTGATCTGCGGCTTTTCGTGAGAGTCACAAACAACAGGCCCATATTTTTGCTGGTGGAATGCCCTACGCAAGGGTTTCATCCCGAGCTTGTCCTGCTTGCACTCGCCTCCTAGCAATTTTATTGGCTGCTCCTTGATTCCGGAATTTAAGGTCGATTAAACGTGCCCCTTCGGTGCTCGCAGCACATGAGCCCTGCATTCCGCCCTAATGGCATCCATCAAGGCTACGCTACTCCTTGACCACTCGCAGGATCAAATGAATCCAATTGCAGAGTCACATTTTCACACCTTGTGGGTATCAATATCCTGCAATCAAACTTGTCTCTCTTACAATTCCACTATGTAGGCCCTGCGTAGGATATGGGTCCAGACTTCTAGAACCAATGCTAAGCATGCCCAAGCCCTACCGGTATCCTCCGAGTAATTCCAGCCAGGGTCGGAGATATTCTTGTACTGGGCAATCCAAGCAATTGCTTGATGTATGTGGCGCTTTGAGGCGTTTCAAGGCGCTTTCCTGACAGGAAACTGTCGCTACATAGTCAAGACTCAGCAATATTCCGAGGGCGCAGGCCTTACCTGAAGTCTAGTTACTCTGATAAGGTCCCTTATTGCTCAATAGCCCCACTTACCTGCGCTACCTACAGTAGATCCGCTCATGTCTCTGATCCTCGGGAATCTAAGATCGACAGTTCCCTGTCGATCTTGATCACTTCCGAACTCCTGCCTTCTCTTTGGCATAGCTTGTCGTGTTACGACGGGCAACCATGCTGATCTACGATCTTCTTCCTCAATGCAACCTTAGAAGCTCGCATGGCCCATGATGAGAGATTATCTGCATTTTTTATCAGTCGCAACCCGGATGTACATACAGGCTTTGGGTGCGGAGCACAATCTCTTTAGTCAGGCTAGATCCATGTGTACCTAGATTGTCAAAATATTTGACTCAACAGCTCGGGTCCCAGTCTCGTGAGCTTGTGAGTACCTCAGTAAGTCTGCCGCGCAGGGATGTAGACAAAGAGTGTGACCTCAAGGCCAACATTGAATCATGTAGGCAGGAAATTCTAGCTCTGTCTACTCGAGTACTTCTGCTCAGGTGACTGCCCATATGACCAGCGGCGGCTGATCAACTGATCTGTCGCAGAAAACTTGTAAATCCCGAACTTCCAATGGTTGGGAGGCTCAACTATACCTAGGTAGATTTCAGCATCGAGCTTCGTTTAAGGCCGCAACCTTGAAAATGCTGGGCGTTTCTTCCAAGTTCCAATGTATGTACCCAGGTATAACAGTCCGTGGACGCAGTCCACGGTTGTACTCCCGAGTCCGTATGCAGTTTCCAAGGTTACCAGTTCCGATCTTTTGTTCGTATCAGTATTATGAAGATTCACATGGGATACGGCTTGCAACCTTATAGCAGTCGGTCATAGGTCATCGGCTTATTTTTCAAGCCCTTTTTTTTATTTTTCTCCCAGGTGTCCAAGGTTGTTGCCTTTCCAAGGTTGGAGATATATGTTTCCACAATGGGCCGGGACCCGGTACCTAGGTAGTACTACACAGACCCTCCAAGATCCATCGAGTACATGGAACCCACACACTAAAGATGCTCATCCTGCTCATATAATAAAAGACTCCTAGAGGCCTTGGGTCTGTCCAAATTCACGCTACTAGCCCTAGTAGATCAGATATTTAGCAAGTTCCGAGGTCATAGAGCAGTGTCCACGGGTTCCACCCTGGGTTCCGCCGCTAACCACATCGAGTCTAAAGCCCTGGTCCATCTACTTCAACCTTCACTTCACACAGCTCTGCAAAGGCCAACAACACTGAATGTGATACCTATGATTGCTTCATCCTAGCTTTGGAACACTAGAAACCTTGGAAGGGCTTCGGGAGAGTGTGTGTCTACCGATTGAAGGTCGGGGTCCCGGCTCTGGACTTTCCAAGTTGTTGCTATTTCCAAGGTTGTATTTGGGTATGCTGTGAAAGTCAGCGACTTCAGAGGTTCCTACCTAGTATGGATTTGTGTCACGGCCCCGGGGTTACTCTAATTCCGTAGAGGATTGGAGACATATCTTAAGTTGACTATAGAGTTACTGTGAGTCACTGGCGTAATTAGATGTATTGAGCGATAGACTAGATAAACCAGTCAATGCAGTATATAGCGGGAAAACAAGATAGAGCTCTAGGCTGAAGAAAAATGGCAGCAAAGCCTCTCGGGCATGTTGACGAAACATCAGTGCCACTGTAACAAAAATCCAAACAAACTCCAAAGCTAAGCAGACAGGGTGTCATTGACAACAGCAAGATTAACAGCTGAGAAACTGTACAATGGGTAGGGACAAAGACCAACTCGATCGCGTGATCAAAGTATCCTTGTCCCATTTCGTGACGGTCGTAAAGAAAACAGATTTAAGAGGTGAATCAAGTGCCGTTATAAGGCTCTGGACGGTCGATTTGAGCACTCTTTCGCTCAATCTGGGCACTCTTTCGTTCAATCTGAGCACTCTTTCGCTCACCCTGAGTACTGGGTCGATCCATCTGCATACTGGAGCGCTCAATTTGAGCACTGCGACGCTCTTCCTTGACTTTTTTCTTTTCCATCTTCCTCATAGCTTCTTCGGTGAGCTCTTGGCGGAAGAGCCGCTCGACGACATCCTTCTTTCGTGTCCTGCGGTCTCCAATCATGATCAAAACCCCACCGGTGATGTTGCAAGTGATGGAACAGCACAGAATGACGGTTGTGAGGGCGAATGGCCGCTCATCGGGGTTTTCCATACTCCAGGTGCAGGCACCAAGGGCCATCTGAAGCAGCGAATGCATGTCAAGGATGACGACAATAGCGATGAGGAATCGAAGAGGGAAAGCATGATGAGTGTAGGTTTCGTGAGGTTTGTAGAAGGTATGCGACTTGGCAAACTTCTTCTGGTGATGCATTAAGCGGAGTTGCTGGCGGGCATCAAGGACCGAGAATTCGTGTTCATCTTCCTTGGAAGTGTCCCCGAACTCTACATCAATGTCCTTTTCAGGCTTGGAAGGAAGATCATTTTTGTCCTTCAAACTTGGCAAAGCTCGCTTTGAACGGAGCTTCCACGTCAGGAGCGTGTAATGAGCGATGAAACTCATATGGTATGTGTCAACGGCTCGGAAGGGGGCGAGTCCATCTCCCATGATGGCGAAAAGGGCAACCAAGACGTTGTCGATGACATTGACGACGTAGATTTGTTTTCCGCCGACATTGATCCAACCTGCAGGACTGGTAAGCAATTTGTACAAGGGGTAATGAGCCAGGAGATAGTACCAATCAAGAAGAGCACCCAAGCGAGACCGAAGAGCGTGATCAAAGTTGCGTACAAGGTCACAAGGAAACCGAGCGCTGGACGATATTAGTGGGAGCACACAAGCTTCCATGAAATTATCACTTACGCTGCCGCACATATTGGCCGAAGCCCTTCATGGAGCGTTTGAATTTGGAACGTCGAGAGTGAAGCATATGTCGGACATGGTCGTTCAGCTCGGCAAAGTCCTCCCTAGTCCACCCTTCGAGTCCGTGTCCCTCGGGCAGAACAGCATAGCGGGGCCCACGTAACACTGAAGACATGCTCGTGAATGGGCGGAGTTGTTCCAAGGTTGGCCGTTGCTTCAGCTTGGCCTCTTCGGACATCTCGCCATCATCTGTTGTGGTTCCCTGCTCTTCATCGGAAGAATATTGCGGTCGGGTTATGGTGTAAGTTGGCATTCGATTAACGAAGCCGCCAAGGTTCGGAATGAACAAAGAGTTCTGGACATTGGTGAGAGTGGAGAGTGCCGAGACCTCGGGGTCTAGGGTCATGTCAGTTAGAGCTACGATTCTCTTGGCGCATTTGGGACTTACCGATGACGTCCAGGACATCCACCACGTGAGATCCATACTCATTCGCTGGCTGCTCTTCCTTTTGTGTAGACATTGTCGGCGCAGCACCCGTGACTGTCGAGGCGCGGTTCCGCGAGAAGCGATTCAACGCGGCTTGGCTTGTTCGGCGAAGACGACCCGGGGGCCTTGCGACTTCAGCAGGGGCCTCGGGTTGTTCCTCTTTGGCTTCGGGCGGTTGGAAGTAGTCCCCTCCATTCTCTCGGGCGGACTCGACCGGTGGCGGAGAGGTTATCGACAGACTTGGACGGGACGACTCTTCTGTCACTGGCATCATCCGCCCGGGAGTTATCGACCGCGTGAGGACATCCGGTGGAGGAGAGGACCACCGCCCCGGATTCGGCTCGGAGCTGCTGCGCCTTCGACCGCCCGACCAGGCTTCATCTTCTTCGTTGGGGGGAGGGGAGCGGATGGGCTGTCGTTCGATGCCTGGTGCCTGGCTCTCTGGAAGATTGGTGTCTATGGAGGGAATGGAAGGAAGTCGAGTCAGGCGGATACTCGGCCTTCGCGTTCGCGAGCTGGATCGTGTGCGCAAGGTGGACGGGCCTGGCCTTGCAGGCGGAGACTCGGTGGGCTCTGTGGGCTGACCCTGCGAGTTACTAGAGTCCCCGGCCGGCTCGATGCGATCCATGATGGGGCGACGAGTAGAACCGATTTCTAAATCACTGAGATTCAAGATTCAGAATCAAACCCCTTCCGCCCTTCTGTGGAAACACTCGAGAAATAAGCTCAAGGGGAAATGCAGAGTGGATGACTCAGCGTCCCCATGGGAAATCTTGTTTTTTTGGAGTTGATGGAGTGACGAGCCAAGTGGAGCGGTAAGCCGTCAGTCTGGCGCTAGGATGTCGATCTTCATCCAATGTGTGCAGATTCTTTTCACAGATGGGAAAAGTTGTCCACAGTATCTGTCCTTCCCGTCGTACACAATTCAATGGTGGCGAGAGAAGGTCAATTGTACATCATCGGAGTTGAACCGTTGGTTGGCACAGAATGTGGCCTGAAATATCAGGTGTCACCATAGGATCGTCCTCAGCAACTTACGCGGCCCAATCGCCATCACTGTCTAAAGACGTCACAGAAAAGAAGCTGTGCAGATCCAAAGGCAGTTGGGGCGATAACAGGGTTTTATCTCTTGTGGATGCAGATGGTAAAATCACTATTGTCGATCTATGCAATTGCACCCTCGGTAGATTGCCGCCCGGACCTACTAGTATACTATACACCACGTACGTACTTGGCACTGGCCCATCGTTATATCAAGGTACCGTAAATATTAGATATGTTTTCATGCCGAGGGACGCAATATATATAAACCTGAATTGCCGTAGGCAAATCACTGCCAACATGTACTTAGGGGAGCGGTTTGGGGAAGTCTGGTCTGATGCCTCGGGAAACCATGACTATGATTAACATACCTGTGGACATAGGTGTTGAGTATTGTACATGGACATGCACTGGAACAGCCTGGTCTACGCTCGACGAACGGTATTTCCAGATGGTGCTAAAAACCTACCGAGAAAAAAGTGCCGAAGCCTCACACATATAACTAGTGGTATATGGGGTATGGAAAAATTGAAAGGTACAAGATGCCACTTGATCATGATATAACTAGGTATGTACAGTACTTTACTGTAGCTAGACATCTTCAGGCCTTCACCCAATAGATTTTTGACTCCTTAGAAAATCGAGAGCAGGCGTGGAGTGGTGGAGCTCTGGGAGATCAACCTATCCCGGTTTATTTATGGAACATGTCGCACACATGCACATGTGCGGTTGCGGTTGCGGTTCCGGATGATATGCAGCTAAACGTGAACAGGAGCACAGAGCCCAGGATTGACGAGGGCTTGAGTTACTTACACAAGGTGTGATACTCAATGGAGTGAAGAAGAAAAGAAAAGAGAATCCGAGTTGATGAGTCATGGGAGATGGCCAGGTGAGGTCTCCAGAATGACATCAGGTTGTTTACTGATAATAGCGGGGGGAGCTTGAGGCCCAAGGGGCCACCTACTGGGGCACAGCTGTTAGGGAGCACTTGGGGGGCCATTGGGGGACCATGGGCGTGCGCTGCGGGCTAGGCCCTCCCGAAAGAGGGTCTCGATCGCACCTGATCGATCGTAAGCTCTAACTGGGCTAGTGCCACACCGCCTCTCCTTTCCCTTTCCATCTCCTTCTCCCATCATCCTCTTTCCTCTCTTCAAGATCCAGTGAATCAAAAACTTCAAACCCATCTTCCTTTTTCAAATTGGTATCTAGGGCACGAAGCTACCCTGCTCCTCGCTCCTCTCCGTCAAGTTATACTCAGCTGCAATCAACCCCCTCCCGACAATTAGAATCCTCCCAAACATCTCAACCATCAAGATGTCTGCCGTCGACGCTATTGCTGACTCCGTGGCTGCGACCACCATCTCTGACAAGCCCGAGACCAACGGTGTGACCCCATCTCAGGCCGCTAACGCGGCTGCCGCCAGCGCGGATGAGGGTCGCCGTCTATATATCGGAAACCTCGCATACGCGACCACAGAGGAGGAGCTCAAGGAGTTCTTCAAATCCTACACCATGTAAGTAGCTCAACGAGAGAGTGCCCCCACCAGCTCCTCGTCCTACATGGATTCCGTCACAAGACTTTCCCACCTGTCCGATCGATATCTGACTCATTTTCTCTTCATTCAGCGAGACCACCTCGATCCCGGTGAACCCCCGCACCAACCGCCCCGTTGGTTACGCTTTTGTGGACATCGCCACTGCTGCTGAAGCTTCCGCCGCCATCGAGGCCCTTTCCGGCAAGGAAATCCTGCAGCGCAAGGTTTCCGTGCAGCTTGCCCGCAAGCCCGAGCCCTCTGAGGCCAAGGAAGGTGCCACTAGCGGTGACGCTGCCAGCGGCGCTGAGGGTCGCAAGCGTGCTGGTGGTCGTGGCCGTGGCCGTGGCCGCGCCCGTGGTCGTGGAGGCCGTACTGGTCGCAGCCGTGCTGTATGTCAAACGATCCTTCCCAAATCGGGTCTTTCCACTTGAACTCCCTGGATTGGTTACTAACCGTGGAACAGGCTCAGGAAGGCCAAGAATCTACCGAGACCGCTACTGAGGAGGCACCCCTTGCCGAAACCACCAACGACAAGGACACTGGCTCCGATGCTGGCAAGAACCGTGCTGCCCGCCCTCAGAAGCAGCGTGGTCCTCCCGAGGATGGAATCGCTTCCAAGACCAAGGTCATGGTTGCCAACCTGCCTTACGACCTGACCGAGGACAAGGTGGGTTTCACATCATCTCTTTTCGTTTGATTATCGTGTCATGCCAACTGACTTGTTTGGTTCCTTATAGCTCAAGGAGATCTTCGCTGCTTACGAGCCTGTTTCAGCCAAGGTTGCTCTGCGTCCCATTCCCCGCTTCATGATTAAGAAGCTGCAGGCCCGCAACGAGCGCCGCAAGACCCGCGGCTTCGGCTTTGTCAACCTTGCCTCTGAGGAGCTTCAGGCCAAGGCTGTCAGCGAGATGAACGGCAAGGACATTGACGGTCGCGTCATCGCCGTCAAGGTCGCCATCGACAGCCCCGGAAAGGAGGATGAGGACATTAACGCCCCTACCGATGAGGCACCCGCACCTGCTCAGGAGAACGCCGCTCCTGCCGCTCCCACCGCTCCCGCCGCTACCACTGAGGCTTAAGGGCCCCAATATTGCTACCTCGAATGATGACTTTGCTGATTGGGTTTGGGACAGGGATGAGCTACGGAGGGCCGTATGGGTATGATCACGGTGGTTTGGTCTAAGATTCGGACTGCCGTGAATATCTTAGCTTTCAAGGAATTTTATGGGGAAACGAGGAGGATTGATGACTTTTATCGGACGACATGGTTCATTAGTGGACCATGCTGGGGAGCCTTCTTTGCTGATGTGAACCCCAGTCCCTAACGACTTTTTTTTGCCCTTGTGTATTGTATCTTAGCACCATTTACCACATGATAACGATCTGCCATTTGGCAATTATTTGCGCGTGAGTAGTTTTGGACACGAAGATGTCTCCGGAGTACGGAGTAGAGCTGGGAGGGAATGACGCTAAATCGGGCGACCCTTGCCGATCAGAGGCAAAAACATAGACACTGTAAACGTTGTCCTTCTCTTTGCATTACCATTGACTCTCGCTATAACCTCTCGTTGTACCGGAGGGTCAGAATTGAAAGAAAAGGGGTCAACTACAAACGTGCCGAGTCGGTCAATTCTTGCATCTTAGCGCACTCCGTCATTTGAATCGCGTTTCCCCGCCTGGCTCCCTTGGTATATTGACTGAAAGATGTCTCGCATGTGGGAAGTCGACCCCGAGACCAGGACGAAGGTATACTTTCCTTTCCGGCGCTCGCTGCAAGTCCACTACTGACATGTACTACAGCTCCTCCAAATCTCCAAGACGAACGGAAATGACAGGTGCTGTGATTGCGGTGCGCCCTCGCCACAATGGGTACGTCTTCTTCGCCCCCCGAAGTCTGCGCGACTACAATTTGCATACAAGCCGCTGCTACACTCAAATTACCGACACTGGTCCCTCATTGACACTTGCTGACCTTTCGCCCGCCATGGGTCTCTCCATCAGGCTTCCCCAAAGTTCGGCACCTTCATTTGTCTCAACTGCGCTGGCACACACCGAGGTCTAGGTGTGCACATCTCCTTCGTTCGCTCAATTACAATGGATGCCTTCAAGCACGCCGAGATCCAACGCATGGAGCTGGGAGGCAACGAGCCATGGAAGACATTCTATGACGAACACCCTGTCACCGTGTCGGAGGGCCGTACCTTCGAAGACTCCACGATTAAGGAACGATACGAGAGCGACGCCGGAGAGGAATGGAAGGAGAGATTGGCGTGTAAGGTGGACGGCCGCGAGTACGTCCAGGGTCAAGAGAAGAAGAACAACCCTTCGCGGTCGAGCACACCGCTCAGTGTAGGCGGTGCGAAGTCCGGTGCGCGCGCTGGATCTCCAGCTGCGTCCTCTATTCGTTCAAGCGACAGCCAACGTGGTGGCCCTACCAGCAAGAAAGAGCAGAACGAGGCATATTTCTCAAAGTTGGGGAACGAGAATGCCACGCGTAGTGACGCTCTTCCTCCTTCACAGGGTGGAAAGTTCACCGGGTTCGGAGGTGGTATGCCTGCGCCTTCGGCGAATGATCGCCGCTCTTCTCCCTTTGGAGGGTTTGGAGGGTTTGGAGGCTGGGGTGGAGGCGGCAGCGGCGGCGGCAATGGTGGTCAGCCATTTGAGGACCTCCAGAAGGATCCCATGGGGACCATCACCAAAGGACTTGGGTGGTTCGCATCCACGGTTGGTAAAAGTGCAAAGCAAGTCAATGACTCTTACCTCCAACCGACAGCCAAACAGGTACAGATAACTTCATTCCCGTATCTCTTGACGTGCATCTTTGCTTACGATTCCCAGCTATCTGAATCCGAGTTTGCAGCCCAAGCGCGTATCCACGCCGCAAATCTTGGACAAAACATGCAGACCGGAGTTCGCGGTGCCGCGGACCATTTCAATCGATTTGTTGAAGGTGAGGATGGGCGCGTAGACGGGCAACGTGCCCGTGTGGAGCCTGAGCGCCGCGATTTCTGGGATGACTTCTCGTCTTTGGGTGACCAGGAGCAATCAAACCACCGCCGGAGTGGATCTCAGCGATCCCAGCGCTCTGATGTTGTTGGTACGGCTGCTATGCGAAAGGGCCCTACGGCCTCTTCGCTGGCCAACTCTACACCCGCCGCATCTGGCGGCGAGGCAGACAAGAATACCACGAATTCTGCTGCGGGTAAAGGCAAAGACGAATGGGATGACAACTGGTAGAGTATTGGTGATTGGATTTTCATCCACCTCTTGTCATTTTCCCAGGGCCATGCCTGCATGGCCTGTGTTTCTTTTCTGATTCCCTTGGCTTAAATACATATACCTCGTTAGAATCCTCCTCTTTGATAGAGGTGATATCATTGCACGATTTACCTGCTCCATATACGACTCCATCATTTCTGGCTATACTGTCCTTCATGTTTCACCGCTGCGTCGATGTACTCGGCTGCTTCACACATTCAATTCCGAGAAACAACATGTTTTCCAGAAATTAGAAGACGAAACCGCTTAGAGTATACTTAGGTATTCAGAGGATGCACAAAATGAAAGAGAACCTTGAAATATAGTACAGGGATGAGATGGTTAGAGATTATATTATACAAGCTTTTGCGGTCAGCCTCCAGGCTAGCCCTCCCTGGAGATCCGCTGTTTCCCACACCCCAAACCTCAAGCATGAGAGAGAAAAGTGATTATTAAAATCCACCTCTCAGCTCAGCAAGCACTGCCTTCTGCCTTTGGCCGGACATGTTTTCAAACCGATCAACACTCATGACGAAAGTGCCCCGACCAGCCGTCAAGCTTCGCAAATGCTTGAGATACCCAACCATCTCCTTCAGTGGTACCTTGGCCGTTATCGTTCTCGGGCTTGCCACAGAGGCAGGGATCTCTGCCCCAACCGAGGGGGTCTCGAATGGATCCGGGGGAGCATAGACACGGCTTGTATCGATAGGGGGCAGCATCTCTTCCTCGAGCGCCTGAGATGATGGCGAGGCATCCGTACCAGAAATAGGGACTTCCTCGTCAAGAGAGATGATGTGGCCACCCCGTGAAGATGAAATGTCGTGGACAACAGATCCAAGACTGGCTTCGTCTACACTGATAATGACGTTCATCACTGGTTCCATCATGGTTGTGCCAGCTCCAGCCTGGACGTCTCGCAGAGCCGCAACAGTCGCTTGCCGAGCTGCAGACGTCAATGCCGAGGTGGACGTCTCATTGCCAAAAAGGTCAGTGGCTGGATCGATAGTCAGGGTGACGCGAGTATTGTGCATTGGGAAAGTGAACTGTGGGCCGCGAGCGAGAGCTGCCACGGCACCATTTTGCAGAGCGGTGCGGAACTGAACCAGATCCATACCTGGCGGGAGCAATGGACTGCTTTCTTCTTCACCGCGGGAGGAGCGTTCGATCTGTAGGCCTGGCGCACGGAGAATGATCTGGTTGCCGTCGTAGGTTTCAACGAGAAGAGTATCCTGGTCGTATGGAGCTTCGTCATTCTCGTCGAGCTGCTCTGCAAGTGCCGTACAGCCTGCCTTGCCTTTGCGGCCGGCAATCTCTTTGTCGAAAATGATGGCCATTGGGCTTGAAGCACCGAGTGCAGTCTCCCGGTAGCCGATTTCGATGCGGCCCATGGTAGCTTTGGCCTTCAGGTCATTTATGAGTCGATCGCGGGCAATTTCGAGATGCAATTCGCCCATACCACTCAAGAGGGTCTGTCCCGACTCTTCGTCCACGTTGACATGAAGACTGGGGTCTTCACGAAGAAGTAGTGCCAGGGAGTCCTGCATGCGCTTCTCTTCGCTAAGGCTGTGAGGCTCCACGCTTGTGAAGAACACTGGCGGAGGTACGGCAATTGGCCGAAGCTGGAGACTAGTGAGTGGTTCCGGGGGTGTGGCTTTGTTTCCTGCGTAGGAAACGAGAGTGTCTCCGGTTCTGGTCTGCTTGAGACCGACCACAACTCCAATGTGACCAGCTGGAATCGAGTCCACCTCCACAGCATCGTTGGCATACATCTTCAGCAATCGTGGCGCGCGCTCAGATAGGTGCAGATTTGTGTTGAAGAGTAGGCTGTTGCGGTCTAGTGAGCCCGAGTATACTCGCACATAGACCAGAACTCCTCTCTTTGCGTCATTGACCACTTTGAATGCCAGTGCACAACTTTGAAGCTTGCTGATAGCATCGGTAGATTTTGTCACCGATGTGCTCTTCTTTTTGTGCTGCTTTCCTTTAGAAGTAGCGGACGCCTTTTCGTCCTGCTGGACGATCAGGTCTCCAGACAATAGGGTACGAAGTCCTCCCTTGACTCCGCCAATGCTGACTTCTGGGTCAGGGGCCTCCGGCGGACTGGGTAAAAGGTCCACGATAGAATCTAACAAGGGCTGCACGCCCATGTTGCGGAAACTGGCACCTGCAAACAGAGGGATAATCCGGCTGCTTTGGTCTAGCACGCAGCGACGTAGACTCTGGATGATATCAGCTGGTGAGACTGCAAGGTGATCCTCTTCACATTCAAAGAATTTTTCAACAATTTCTTCGTCATGCTCGCTGAGCAGCTCAATTAGCGCGACGCGAGCCCGTCGCAGCTCCTTTGCCAACGCGGGTTCCTCGGTTTCCAATTGTTGGAGATCAGCCATCTTCACGGTACGACCATCTTCTCCTTCCTTCCACCGTAGTCCTTGGAGATGAACTGCGTCTGCCACACCGACAAATGCACCGTTTCCACCTAGGAACCAGGGGATTTGACAGACTGCTGGATAAACGCCCAGGCGAGAGCTAACTTCTCGCACTGTCCGCCCAAATGCGGCTCCGTCTCGGTCCAACTTATTCACAAAGATGACTCGGGGGATTTTGTATGTGCTGGCCTGATTCCAGACTTTTTCGGTCTGCGCCTCAACCCCAGCAACGCCGTCAAGGATGCAAACAGCGCCGTCGAGAATACGCAGAGACCGCATGACTTCAAAGGTGAAATCGGCGTGACCGGGGGTGTCGATCAAATTGATTGTATGTGGGTAAGCAGACCGCCGAATTGGCTCGTTTTGAGCCCCGGACTGAGGGCCTGTTGATCCATTGACTTCCCCCGGAGGCCAATGGAAGGTAATAGCAGCGGATTGAATAGTGATCCCGCGTGCACGCTCAGCAGGGAGGAAGTCGGTCACTGTTGAGCCTTCGTCAACATCACCTATCCGTCGTGTGAAGCCACTATAAAACAGCATGCGTTCCGTAGTAGTAGTCTTGCCGGCATCGATGTGAGCGATGATTCCAATGTTTCGGGTCCTGTCCAAAACTTCGTTTTGCCATGATGATGAGGTGGAAAACTTTTGAAGTTGTTTGTAGTTTGATTGGCTGCCCTTGGGCAGGGAAGATCTTATGCTGGTGATGTTAGAGGTCCTATATAAGGTTGACCTCATACGGCACATCCCCGAAGGGAAGCGAGACAATGAAGCTACGACCATGCCGGGGGTAGAGAGCCCATGCAGTGAGATGAGCAACTGAGTGACCAGCTCTAAGGCAGCTCCAAATGTATGCTTTTGTATTCGGTATTGTGTTGAGAGTGCTGTTCGAAGCAAAGAAAATCGAAGCGTAAAGCGGACTGGGGGATCGCGAGGCTTGGCGCACGCATATCTCCACACCCCGACACTTGCCTCTCCTCGCCCTGAACTGCCTAGCTCGTTGCTTGCAATACTCCGGGGTTCTCTGTTTGTTGCATGTAATGCCAACTTGGGTACTAATTCTTCCCTCTGTCATCCCAATCTGAAGCTGTTCAAGGTATGTCTTAGGTCTCTTGGAGCTACCTGGCCGTTACCCGTGGGGTCTGATCTCGAGCCATCGGAATACTGACGCCTACGACGACTAGCACCTCCCCCTTGTCGGCGAATACACTCCTTGCATCGAAACCCGGACGATATGGACTACTCTACCATCACCAACGATCCGGATCATCCCAATGAAGGGTCACCCTGGGGCTCGCCGCGCGCTGAGCGAGGGACATTCCCCACCTCCAACAATGACATCCCGTCCTCTCCTTTGGTCGGGCAGGAGCAGGTCGCGGATCAAACGGACCGAGCTCTCAGCGCCGAACCGCAATCTCCAGACCTCTCTGCGCAGCTACAGAGCGCACAATTGGGAGATCCGGACTATCCCCAGGAACAATCCCCATTCGCTACCCAGCAGTCTTTGAATGCTCAACAGCAATTGCCCGGTCCTGCACACCATCAGACCGAACAAAGACAAGCCTCACGACCCCCTGCGCCGACTTATAAAATCCAGGGTAAAATCACCGGATTGGAAAGGACGGGTAAAAAGGACCCGATCTTGCGCTTCGAGGTTCACGTACGTCTACCCTATTGGACATTTTGTTTACTTGATCAATGGCTAATCGATGAATATCCTTGGTTTAGACCAATATCCCCAAATTCCGCACGACCCAGTACCGCGATGTGCGCCGCACCCACTCCGAATTCGTCAAGCTAGCAGACCACCTTGTGTCTGCCAATCCAGAATGTCTGGTCCCCGCCGTGCCCTCGCCAGTGACACCAGCAGGAGCTGGCACAGAGGAAGATGAAATTCGCATCAAATCCGCAATGCAGAAATGGCTCAATGTTGTGCTCAACAATGAGGTGCTGATTCAAGATGATGAGGTCGTACTCTTTGTTGAGAGCGACTTTGGCTATAGCCCAGTTCTACGGATGAAGCAGCCTGCAACAGGAGTGCGTCGGAAGATGTTGAAACAGTTCGCGCCGCCACCAGACGATACGCCTGAACTGCAGGCTGCTCGTCCAACTGCAAAGATGTTCTACTTGGGATCAATGGATTCGAGCCACAAGGTTGATAAGGTGGTCAAAGCGCGTCGTGGTACGTCCGTTGAGAGAGCTCCATTGCATACAATGTTTGAAACAGTCCAGACTAACTTCTTGCAGGACTCGGTTTGGCGGAATCCGATTTCGGTGTGAAGCTTGGTCAACTGCACGTGCAAGAAACGCATCCCGGCTTGGGTGTGGCCTACCGCAAGCTCGGCAAAATCATTCAGACTGTCGGTGATTATCACGCCGTTCAAGCCACAGCGGAGGCCACAACTCTCGGGGAACCACTGAGCTACCACTCATCCGACGCTTTCATCGTGAAAGAAACCTTGACCAACCGACACATCCTCCTTCGTGATCTACTCCAGGCCCAGCAAACCGCCCGAAGCAAGCGTGCTGCTGCTGACCGGTTGAAGGTCAGCTCGTCAGTGCGCCCAGATAAGGTAGATGAAGCCATTAATGCCCTCGAGGAGGCCCAGGGCCACGAGGATCACTTGACGAAGCGAACTCAGCGTGTTACTTCAAATCTTCTTCAGGAAAAGCGCCGCTGGTTCGACCGTACTACCCAGGACCTTCTGTCTAGTCTGCGGGAATACACTCTGCGCCAAATCGAAGCGGAGAGACGGACTCTGGCAACACTCGAAAGTGTTCGCCCTGACATTCGCGCCATCGATGCCTCCGGTGGTCTGAGCCGCCTGGGCCGCGAATCTCACCCCACAGCTCGCCGGACAAACATGGCTTCGAGCCAAGGCCCTAAGGGTGACTCGTGGAGTGGTGTTCCTCGCCGCAATGACAACGCCGGGCGCAGCATGAGCGGTAGCTTTACTGCTCCTTCACTTGAGGACGACGATGATGCGAGTGGTCAGGGTTCCGGTAAAGGTCGCAACCGAGCCCCCAGCCAGGTTGGTTCTATTGCGGAAGAGGATGATGACCGTCTTGATGCCCGGAACGCAGCTAGCCGCCTGGCCACCAGCACGTTTTAACCGGGCTTTCAATACGCAATGAGTATGTACATGTAGCCCGGGCACGGATTTGTGATTCCCCTTTTTGCCCTTGCCTGTTTTTATCTTTCCGTTATGTTACCTAGGCTTATAAACACCCTGACTTGGTTTTCGAGGTCCTTGGTAACTCTGAATACTCCAAGTTGATCACAACTGATGTAGTTATAAATAGCATTTTATGTCTCCTCTCATACATGCCGACAGACGAAGGCATCTTCAAGACTTGGTTCAGGGATCATTGACTCCACAAATCCCACTTCTGCGCCCCATCGTCCGGGACTTGAAACCAACTCGCTTTTTCAGCAAGGAATATGTGATGACTGGGCGGTGGAATCGTTGCGTGGCCCTCATCGAGCGTCCCCGCGGCCAGGCCAGTGAGCCCTGGGAATCGATCCAGAACCATGCTGATGGTTGAGCCGCAACGCGGACAGAAGCTGCGTGTGGCAGTGTTGGTGGCTCGTCGCTCTGTGGGCTTCACCTGCCACTGGATATCATCGGTGGCGAAGTGTGCCCATGTCTGATATGGCGCGCCAGCTTGCCTGCGACAGGTGTTACAGTGGCAATTGACGAGGCGAGTAGGAGCACTGGTAGTTGTGTAACTGATATAGTTACAGGCGCAAGCTCCGGAGGCCATTGTAGTGGTTATGTTTCAGGATGGAATCACGTATGTCGTACTACTGCCAGATGGTATATCTGTACTTCGTATCAGGTGGGGAGGTATACCCACGTTGGCGTCATTCAGAACAAATTTCAGCAAAAACACCGAAAAACAGTATGGACCAAGAAGCGGATAACATGTAGATCAGGTTTTCGGGGTTAAATGCACCTAAGTATCCCCCACCTCTCGGCCTCGGACCAACTTCCCTAGATAGTTGATTTCAAAGCACAGCACGTAACCTCACTGCTCATGCTCGTGCTTCGGCTTTCTTGACACTACTCATACCTTCGATATTCAGATATCACACCATGGCCCCCAAAGTCTTCATGTATGTCAATTCCCCGCCTACAGTGAACATATCTGATCTAGGACCAGTACCGGCGCTACTGGCTACATCGGAGGTGATGGTTTGTTTGCCATCGCCAAGGCTCACCCTAACTGGGAGCTCTCCGCCCTAATCCGCAGTCAGGAAAAGGCCACTCAAGTCACAGCCAAATACCCTCAAATTCGGACTGTGCTCGGCGACTTGGACTCATCCGACTTGATTGAAAAAGAAGTTCAGAATGCCGACATCGTCTTCCGTATGTTGGCTTACCTATTTAGGCATGGTTGATGCCAGTACTTATTCATGATATACAGACTTTGCCGATTGTGACCATGTCGCCGCCGCTCATGCCATTGCCAAGGGCGCGCAACACCACACACCCGAGCGCCCATTGTGGTTGATCCATACTTCCGGCACTGGTATTCTGACTGTGGAGGATCAGCGCGCGGAGACGTATGGAATTGAGCGCCCGAAGCAGTACAATGATTGGGATGGCGTGAGTGAGCTAGTCAATCTCCCCGCCGATGCCTTCCACCGCAACGTGGATGAGATCATCATTGGTGCTGGTCAGCAGAATCCCGCCAGCGTCAAAACTGCTATCGTCTGCCCGCCAACTATCTACGGCCCAGGCCGTGGTCCTGGTAACACAAGGAGTGTTCAGGCATACTGGCTCAGTGCCGCCGTACTCCAGCGGAAGAAGGGTCTTCTAGTCGGGGAGGGTAAAAACGTGTGGCACCAGGTCCATGTTCAGGATTTGAGCAATGTGTATTTGGCTTTGGGTGAGGCGGCTTCCCAGGGAGGTGGCAAGGCTACTTGGAACGATGAAGGCTACTATTTGGCTGAGAATGGCCCGTTCGTTTGGGGGGACATTCAGCGTGCAGTTGCCCAGGCTGCTTTTGATAAGAAGCTCATTGCTTCACCTGATGTTGAGTCTCTGGATGGTGCTCAGACCACTGCGGTTCATCCATTTGGGATCTATGCCTGGGGCTCGAACTCTCGGGGTCATTCGCTCCGTGCTCGCAAGCTGTTTGGATGGTCGCCTGAACAGCCCAAGCTGATTGACCTCATTCCCGAGATTGTTGAAGGCGAGGCCAAGATCCTTGGGTTATTGTGAGTCCCCAGGATCGGTTCGATAGTGTAATGTGAACCCTTGATGGAAGTTCTTGAATGATGAAAAAGGAAACTCTACTTCTCAGTGAGACAAAAGAAGTCCAAAGTAAGTTAAGCAGTGAGCAGAAACGTGGAAGATAAGGCTAAAGATCGCGTGGCGCTAAATTGAATATGTCATCCCTGACTGAACCTTGGAAGTGTGAGGCATACTAGTAGGCAGTGCGTTCACCATTGAAGCAGGTGAAGGCTACATACATGTACCTAGTAGAATGCAAGCCACTCACTGAGCACCTTGTAAGTGACTGACTCTGCTGGAGGTCAATAGCTGTAGCACTCTTATTGTCAAAATTATGACATTGAAGATGGTGATGAATAAAATTAGCATCAATGGATCAGATCAATAGATCAATGGATGATTGATGGATTGAATAGAAGCGGGATCAAAAGACAATATCTTTGACACCTGAGGCACCAGATATCGGGACCAAGCTTCGACCACCAGCATCTTCAATCTTCACCTTACACGCCGCTCACTTCTTTGGCCCGGGTCATCTTCACTGGTACGATTGCTCTGCGCTATTTCTTCTTGCCCGCTTCCATTTGATTGCAGCTTCTAACCTTTGCTTTTTCTAACTCCAGCTGAAACGACTGCATGAGTCGCTACCTTTCAGCATCCCGTCCCACCCTCACAGCCCCTCGCGTCTAATTCGGTTACCCACCATGGCGCCTGGGCACGGTGGTAAGCGGAAGCGCGTTGAGCGCTCGCACTCCGGGGATTCGACAAGCAATGACAATCTGCGACCTTCTCCCCATCGCCCCGGGAACATGAACATGGCGCATCATCCTACGAATCCTAGACATCAATCACCCTCACAAGAACCAAATGACACGCGCGAGAAATCTCGCCGGCATTCACATTTCGGACGGGCTGGCTCCCGACGCGGGTCTCACGACAGCCCAAATTTTTCGAACCCGCAGGCCAAAGAACCGAACGCGATGTCGCCTCCACCGTTTGTCCAGCCCAAAGAAACAGCTTCCAATGGCGACTTAGCTGCTCCGCAACCTACGACATCCTCCACACCTAACACCCCTTCGCAGCAGCACGCCAATCTGCCCTCCCGCGCCAGCTCCGAGGTCGCTGCCCACCGTCCTCCTCCTCCTACATCCCCTTACGAGTACGAATTTGTCACTGATGACGCTGTTGAGGATTGGATATCTACCGGCAAGCAAAGAGTGGTGGAAGAAGGCTCATCAGCTCGTGTTGCACAGGACCTTCCTCGGCTCGCGTCAGTCTACCAAGAGCTTTTGCGCTCTGCTATCTATGGCCGATTGTCACCTCCAGACGCAGGTACTGCCGTGAAAGAGATAATCGGTGATCATGATGTGCCTGATGTGGATATGGAGGTCGGCAACGGAACTGCTTCGACTTCTGAACTTGACCCGCGCTCTTTATTCCTCGATACCCTTTCCATCGTGACCGATACAGACACCTCAAACCCAGTCCTCAAACCACTTGTATTTGCGACCGGAATCGACGCATCTCTAATGCGCCTGCAGCTTGAGACACCACTACTTCAGGCCCTGGGGCTGGTTCGCGAAACCTTTGCGCGAATGGGCATCCGCAAGCAGACGGATCTATTGTATCGACAATCCAACTACAACTTGCTACGAGAAGAGTCTGAGGGATATTCCAAGCTTTTGACCGAGCTATTCACTACTAGCAATAACGAGCCTCCATCGAGCGAAGTGGTTGAAGATACATTTGAAAGAGTCAAGGCCATGATTGGCGCATTCGATATGGATGTCGGCCGTGTCTTAGATGTCACGCTGGATGTATTTGCTGCAGTCCTTGTCAAGCAGTACCGCTTTTTCGTGAAGCTTCTGCGGGCTAGCTCCTGGTGGCCAAAGGAAGATATCTTTCACACCGTCGAAAATGGCCGTCACAACTCTGGTATTCCCAATTGGGCACTTCCTGGATCAACTGGCTGGGTGACGACCGAGGAAGAGCGCTCAGCCATCATGCACGCGAATGAAGAGCGCGACCGCCACTTCTGGGATCGGGTGAGACAGGTTGGATTGCGCGCCTTTTTCGAAATAGGCCGCAAACCAATTTCAGATGAAGAAAAACAAAGAACTCTCGCTGAAGCGACTCGCGCATCTTTCGATGAGGATGTAACCCGCTCGTGGGTCGAGGAAACTGGCACATTGCCGCCAAAGGGCAACAGAGTTGCGGCTCAGCTTCTTGGTTTCAAACTACGATTCTATTCTTCATCAGCGAGAACGAAAGCCGACGTCCTCCCCGACAACCTCATTTACCTTGCCGCCCTACTAATCAAGGTTGGCTTCATCTCGCTTCGTGACCTTTACGCCCACCTTTGGCGCCCCGATGACACTATGGATGTACTGAAGGACGAAAAGATGACCGAGAAAGCAGAGCGGGTGAAGGCTGGCCGTCCAGGAGGCGGCACTAATGCTTTAATGATGGCTGGCGCCTTGTCAGATGATACAGTTCCCCCTCCCCGCCTTCGCGACGAACCCCGAGTGGCAACCCCTGCGAAAGACCAAGAGTCCGAAAAGGGGGCTCCCAAATCAGAGGATGAGTTGCCGGACCCTTCAGACCAGAAGGTTCTCTTGCTCAAGAGTCTTCTCGCCATCGGCGCGATTCCTGAATCACTGTTCGTCATCAGCAAGTTTCCCTGGTTGATGGAAGCATACCCTGAACTACCAGAGTTCATCCACCGAATCCTGCATCATTCTTTGTCCAAAGTTTATGCCAATTTCCGGCCGGTGTTCACTACTGCCGATTTCCCTGGGGCTCAGCACATGGTCTCCTCCGATCAAAACGGCCAATCTAAGGGTCAAATCGCACTCACACCTCCCCCTGCGAGACGAATTCTGAGATGGGCTCAACTGGATAAAGAGGACACTAATGATGGCACCGATTACCGATTCTACTGGGACGACTGGGCCGATAACATCCCGATCTGCCAGTCTGTAGATGACGTCTTTGCCCTTTGTTCATCTTTCCTCAACCTCTCTGGTCACAAGATTGGACAAGATGCATCCCTCCTGGCGAAACTTGTTCGAATCGGCAAGGGAAGTCTGGCCCAGGATCCCTCCTATGAGAACAGAACGCGCTGGCGTGATCTCTGCAAGCGTCTTCTGCTACCCGCGGTTAGTCTGACAAAGGCGAACCCAGGTGTCGTCAACGAGGTATTTGATCTTATCAGTTCGTTCCCTCGTGACGTCCGCTACAACATGTACGCCGAGTGGTATTCGGGTCAAACATCTCGCTTGCCGGACATTAAAGAAGCTTTCGACCAAGCTAAAGCAGAAACCAAGGACACTTTGAAGCGACTGAGCAAAACCAACATTCGACCCATGGCTCGTGCATTGGCCAAGATTGCTTACGCGAATCCGGGAATTGTCATCACCGTGGCCATTGGTCAAATTGAGTCTTATGAGAATCTCATTGAGGTTGTGGTCGAGTGCGCCCGCTATTTCACCTACCTCGGCTACGACATTCTTTCTTGGTCACTCATCAATTCGCTTGGCCAGAAAGGACGAAGTCGTGTTCAGGAAGGTGGTCTTCTCACCAGTCGATGGCTGAACGCTCTCTCGACTTTCGCGGGTCGAGTCTATAAGCGTTATTCCGTGATGGATCCTGCTCCCGTTCTGCAGTATGTCGTGGAGCAGCTTCGACACAACAACTCGACCGATCTCATTGTACTTGAGCAGTTGATAAGCTCGATGGCAGGTATTATTTCAGACAACGACTTCAATGACGCCCAGATCCAGGCCATGGCTGGTGGTGATGTTCTGCAATCTCAAACTATCCTGCAATTGCTAGACAAGCGACACGAGTCCACAATCACCTCTACCCGGTTGCTCAAGTCCCTCACTCGCACCAAACTTGCTGGACAGCTGTTGGTTGCCATTGCCCAGGAGCGATTGACTTGTGTTTACAACGAGAGCTCATCAGAACTCAAGTTACTCGGCAATATCTTTGATGAGATCCACCGCATTCTCACGCAGTACCTCGACTTACTTCGCAGCAATCTTTTGGTTGACGATTTCGATTCCTTCGTTCCGGACTTCTCGTCCCTGATCAAAGATTTCGGAATTCAGCCTGAAATTGCCTTCTGGATCAGACGGCCTAGCATCGCTAAAAGGATCACACAAGTTGAAGAATCAAAACCCGGGAAAGGAGCATCGCCTACTGATAGTACAGTTGCCGCCAAGCCGAGCGGCGACAGTATGGACACGGGCGAAGACCAGGCAGCGCCTTCAAAGTCGGAGGATACAACCGCAGACAACGCCATGGATGTCGACAAAGCTGAACCAGAAGCCACAACTTCTGCCGAGGAGTCTGGCTCCCCTCAAGTGCCTGTTGTCAACGCCGACCCGCTGGCAGCAAACCCCGTTATGCAAGACCTCATTGACAATGTCAAGTCTGCTTTGCCTGCGGAGACATGGGAAACGATTGGTGCCCACTTCTATGCAACCTTCTGGCAGCTTTCCCTTTACGATGTCCATATCCCACAGAAGTCCTATGAGGACGAGATTGATCGACTCAAGCGACGCGTGGTGACCATTAATAGTGATCGGTCTGACCTGAGCATGGCGGGAACTTCGAAGAAGGAGTCCCACAAGAAGCAGATCACGCAGCTGCAGGACCGGATCTTGGAAGAGAACAAGAGTCACCTGATGGCGTACGGACAGACACGCTCCCGATTGCAGAAAGAAAAAGACAGGTGGTTTGCCGGCATGCGTCTCAAGCACGATTCTTTGAATGTTGCCCTTCTAGAGCAATGTTTCATTCCTCGACTCCTGTTGTCCCCTCTCGATGCTTTCTTCTGTTTCAAGATGTTGAAGTTCCTCCACAGCTCAGGCACACCTAACTTCCGGACCGTGGGACTTCTCGACCAACTCTTCCGCGAACACCGACTCACTGCGCTCATTTTCCTTTGTACCTCAAAGGAAGCTGACAACCTTGGTCGTTTCTTGAACGAGGTCTTACGGGACCTTACCCGATGGCATTCCGACAAGGCCGTTTACGAGAAGGAGGCATTCGGGGCCAAGAGGGATCTTCCTGGATTTGCGAAGAACGTTGACCCTGAAGGCGTGCCCGTGATGTTCTTGGAATTCGAGGACTTCCGTCGTTTGCTGTACAAATGGCACCGTTTGCTTTCCAACGCACTCAAGAGTTGTCTCAACGGCGGTGAATACATGCACATTCGAAATGCGATCAGTGTCCTGAAGGGAGTTGTCCAGCATTTCCCTGCTGTCAACTGGATTGGCCGCGACATCCTGAACTGCGTTGATAATCTGAGTAAGAAAGATGAGAGAGACGACGTTAAGATTCCTGCCGCCTCGCTCATCGGTGATCTCAACCGACGAGAGAAGAACTGGATGCTGCCCCAAGCTTTCAATCTTGTGGCAGCTCAGCCCCAGTCTGCCGATAAATCTGGAAAGTCCGGAACGTCAGGATCTGCTACGCCCGCATCTTTGAATGCTTCAGCCCCAGAATTCAATCCCACAAAGCAAGTGCCGATATCTAGAGCCCACATTACTTTGACTGACTGTTCGACCATCAGCTCCCGGGGTGCCGCAAAGCAGACCCAATCTGGCAAGACTGAGGTCGAAGATGGTGAGATTGAGGACGCGAAGATGGGCGATGCCGGTGAAGGGAAAGATGACCAAGGCAAGCCCAGTGAGACTTCTCAGGCCGGGACTACCACACCTGCTGCTGCCGGCCTCGGCCCGGACGCTACATCTGGAGACCGGTCAAGATCGCGACCTAATTCTCGAGCTCCCGCCTCAGGACACCAAGCTGACACGTCTAAGCGCCCTGACATTCGTCAGCAAGTTCACCCTCCTGCCCGTCCCCCGCCACGCCACGGCGATGGAAGATTGCCACCGCGCCCCGAAGGATTGGATGATCGTCGGGACAGGCACTCTGACTTCGGCCCTCGCGGTCGTCATGGAGGCGGCCCTGATCATGGCCGGTCATTTGAGGGTCCCGTAAATGATGTCCGTGGTCGACTCAACGAGCGTCTTGGCGAGCGTGATCGCGACTTCCCCATGCGACCTCCTGCTGACGATCTCATGCGCGGTCCTCCCCGGGATTCCCGCGGTGGGCGAGAGAACGGCTGGCCCATGGACCGACCTGGTCGTATGCGCGGCCCTGGACCTGGACCCGGGCCCGGGCCCAATGATACTTTCCATGGACGCGACGGTCCTGTGCGGGGAGATGGCCCTGCACGAGGAGAGCTGATGCCTGATCATGCGGACCGATCTGTGGACCTTCCTCGGCGTGGCGATATTCCTAGACCAGAGAAGGATGATCGCAGACCTTATCCCCAACGCCCTCTATCACCACCCCGGGCTACTGACCTACCAAATCGCCCCGAGCGATTCCCACCTCCCGATGATCGTCGACCTCCTGTTATGACTGGCTCCTCTCGTATCGATAACCTTCCTCGAGGCCCTCGCAGCGACCGACAAGGTGATCCAAGAGACGCTGCCCCAGGCCCTGATATGAACCACGGCCGTCTCCGTCAACCTGAGCCTTCATCCGATATACCTGCTGGACCCAGGAGACGCAATGGACGCAACACATCTGGACAGGCCCCACCGGCAAGCTCAGCAAATGCTACTGTCCCACTTCCAGATCGTCAGGCACCCACTGGGCCTGGCCGACAAAATGCGCGCGCACCACCTGAACAGCCTGGTACTCCGCAGCAGCAACCTTCGGGTTCCGCCAGTACCCCCGGAATTCATCCAGATCGCCTCAGGAATCTTGTAGATGACGTACCATCCGGTGCTCCTGCTGGTCCTCGCAGTGGCTCAAGTCCACAACAAGTGCCCCGAGGCTCCGCCGGGTCCTCAGGTCCACCCATGACCCCTGGGGCTTCCCCGCCCGCTGGGCCCGCTGGTGCAGGATATGGCGGAGAGCGTGGCCGTGGCGACAAACGGTTCGCCGGTCTCAACAACGTGCTTTCACAATCCAATGGTGGCAGCGAGCGCAGTGGAAACTCTCCATCTGTTCGCGGAAGAGGCGCCAACCGCCAATCGAGCGCCATGGAGCCACCCTTGACTCAGCCTCCAACCCGTCCGCCTATGGGCCCGGCAGGGTCTCAAGAAGATCAACCCCGCAGCCGACCTAGCGGTGGTCGGGTTGCCGATCTAATCGACGACGTTGTCGCTCCTGAATCCAACCGTTCTGGACGATCTGGGGATCGCAGCCGCGAAATGGATCCTACTCGCGAAAATGAACCCGAGCGTCGTGATGGTAGCAACAGCGGTCGCAACCGCCGCGATGGCCGCCGCGGTGACCGTGAGCGCAACCGCCGCAGTGATGTAGGCGGCAATCGAGACGACAAGGAACGCAGTGGCGAGCCTCGCGAGAGTCTTCGCCGCGTTCAAAGCTCCCGTGAGGAACTTCGCCGCCGAGACCGCCGCGATCGCCCTGACGGGCCGCCAGAAATGAGTGGACCCCCATCCAGCAGCACCAATGCCCCTGAAAGCGAAGGCCGCTTACGCCCTCCCTCCTCGCAAGGCGCGCCGCCTCCTCCGCCGCCTCCTCCACCTCCACCAATGCCGGCAGGAAATGATCGCCGTTTCAACGCCGGTGGCGATCGAGGTCCTCGATCCGACAACCGAGATCGCGAGCGCGAGCGTCGTGGTGATCGACGTGATCGTGATCATAACCGTGAAGGCGGTGGCGGTAGCTCTGGACATCGCAAGCGTACTCGACCAGGTCCTGACGACAACAATGACGGTGGCCGCGGCATGAGGATGGGCAACGATAGCAAGCGCCCTCGCCGAGGAGCCTGATCCTTCCGATATACCTCCCCTTTAAAGGGTCCTTCGAACTTTCAACGAAATGGCTTGATTCAATTTTCTTTCCTGTCCTGTCCCCAATATCTCTTTGACTTTGCCTCAATTCTTTCATATCTCGCTTGTTTGCATTCTGTCCGGTGTTTGGGGCCTATTTTATTCTTACTGTACTTTTTTACCCCCAAAAATGAATACAAATGGCATCGCTTCTCATTATTCCACACTCAGGATTGTATACCGTAGGCCTAAACGTGAAAGGTAAGCACAGGCTCCGCGGCCCGATCTCCGACGCCCTTGCCCCGCCTCAGTCGAGGCCGGGTAAACTTCGGTCTTCTGTTCCCTCCGTGGCTTTTTGAGAACTCGGTGGATCAAATGCACACGTTGTGCGCCTCTGATTCGATCTTGGGAATCTATCCATTGGCCCTTGCGTTTTGGAGGTTCCCCGCCCAGTTGGCTTCGTAATGAGCTCGCTTCGAACTCGTCAGTATAAAGCAAGCTGGCCAACTCATCTGGAGACATCGCTCAACCGCTCCTCTATCTAGTCCACGGGTTGGACTAAGGATTTTGCAGCGTAAACTCGTCTCTGGGTTGAATGTTAGACAATATCGACCGTATCATCGCCCCCCCAAACTAGACTACATCGCTTCATCCATCATGCCTCGAATTGATGTGGAAAAGGCCATTGAGGAGCTGACACTGGGCGAGAAGGTCGCCCTCACAGCTGGTATGTACTACTTCTGATTACTTCTCAGATCAAACTTTGAGTAACAAGCTAATACCTCTCCCAGGCCAGGACTTCTGGCACACAGCCTCCATTCCCCGTCTCAACATCCCTGCACTGCGCATGTCCGATGGACCCAATGGCGTTCGTGGCACACGTTTCTTCAACGGTATCCCGGCAGCCTGTTTCCCCTGCGCAACAGCGCTAGGCGCCACCTGGGATGCCGACCTCCTATCCCAGGTCGGTACCTTGATGGGCGAAGAGGCAATCGCAAAAGGTACCCATGTTGTGCTCGGTCCCACGATTAATACCCAGCGATCGCCGCTGGGCGGACGTGGCTTTGAGTCCTTTTCCGAGGATGGCGTGCTCTCCGGTACGTTGGCGGGTCATTTCTGCAAGGCAATGCAAGATAAGGGCGTTGCTGCCACACTGAAGCACTTCGTCTGTAATGACCAAGAGCACGAGCGTATGGCGGTTAATAGTATTCTTACTGACCGGGCTTTGCGTGAGATCTATTTGATGCCGTTCCATTTGGCCATGCGGATATGTCGCTCGCAGTGTGTGATGACGGCTTATAATAAGGTCAATGGAACTCACGTCAGTGAGAACAAAGCTATAATTGATGACATCTTGCGCAAGGAGTGGGGTTGGGAAGGTGTGGTGATGAGTGATTGGTGAGTTTTGCTTCTACGGATCTATACTACGCTTTTACAGTGAGAACCTAAGCTAACCTATTTGACAGGTTCGGAACCTACAGCACCTCTGATGCCGTCATTGCTGGTCTTGATATCGAGATGCCAGGCAAGACCCGCTGGAGAGGACAGGCGCTTGCACATGCCGTCTCGTCGAACAAGGTTGCACAGTACCAGCTTGACGAGCGAGTGCGCAATGTCCTCAACCTTGTCAACTGGGTGGAGCCTCTTGGAATTCCAGAGGAGGCACCCGAGAAGGCACTCAACCGACCAGAAGATCAGGCGCTCATGCGCCGGGCTGCTGGTGAATCCGTTGTCCTTATGAAAAACGAAGGGGACATCCTTCCTCTCAAGAAAGAGGGTTCATTGCTGGTCATTGGACCCAATGCCAAAATTTCGGCCTACTGCGGTGGTGGCTCGGCTTCTTTGGCTCCATACTACACGGTTAGTCCCTTCCAGGGTGTATCTGCCAAAAGCCAGGGAGATGTTCAATTCAGCCAAGGTGTGTATTCTCACAAGGAACTACCACTTCTCGGTCCACTATTGAAGACTGCCGATGGCAAGCCTGGCTTCACCTTCAAGGTGTACAATGAGCATCCCAACTCTGGTGCAGACCGTCAAGTAGTAGATGAATTGCATCTGCTTGAATCATCGGGTTTCTTGATGGACTACGTCAACCCCAAAATCAAATCCATGACCTACTATGTTGACATGGAGGGATCCTTTACCCCCGAGGAGAGTGGAGTGTACGACTTTGGTGTCACGGTCGTCGGTACAGGGCGGCTGCTCATCGACGACGAGGTTGTCGTTGATAATACCAAGAACCAGAAGCAAGGCTCTGCCTTCTTTGGAACAGCCACCATCGAAGAGCGTGGAATCAAGGAGCTCAATGCCGGCCAGACATACAAGGTCGTCTTCCAATTCGGCAGTGCACCAACCTCGGACCTGGACACCCGTGGAATTGTCGCCTTTGGCCCCGGTGGTTTCCGCTTCGGTGCCAGCAAACAAGTCAGCCAAGAGGAGTTGATCGCCAACGCAGTCGAGAAAGCCAAAACAGCAGAGCAGGTCGTCATCTTCGCCGGATTAACCCTTGAATGGGAGACCGAAGGCCATGACCGCGAACACATGGATCTACCTCCTGGCAGTGACGAGCTTATCAGCCGTGTGCTAGAGGTCAACCCCAACGCCGTGGTCGTGATCCAGTCCGGTACCCCAGTCACAATGCCATGGGAATCCAAAGCCAAGGCCCTCGTTCAAGCCTGGTTCGGCGGCAACGAGTGTGGAAACGGTATTGCCGATGTTCTCTACGGCGACGTCAACCCCTCCGCTAAGCTGCCTCTTACCTTCCCACGCCGCCTGCAAGATAATCCCTCTTATGTCAACTTCCGCTCCGAGCGTGGCCGCGTTCTCTATGGTGAAGATATCTACGTCGGGTACAGGTACTTTGAGAAGAGTGACGTGACTCCCGGCTTTGGATTCGGACACGGTTTGTCATACACAACTTTTGAGCGCTCGGATCTGCAAATCAACACTGTCCCCGAGCAGTCCAAGTATGCTGAATCTGGTGAGCCAGTCACTGCTTCGGTCACGGTGTCCAACACTGGCTCTGTGGCTGGTGCTGAGGTGGTTCAACTGTGGGTTCTGCCCCCGAAGACGGATGTCGGACGACCTTTGCGTGAATTGAAGGCGTTCAAGAAGGTCTTCCTGCAGCCTGGTGAGACTCAAACTGTGGAGTTGGTTGTGGAGAAGAAGTTGGCAACGAGCTGGTGGGATGAAGAGCGGGGACAGTGGATTTCTGAAAAGGGAACATACCAAGTTCTTGTCACTGGTACCGGGTCTGAGAAGCTACTTGGCGAGTTTGAGGTTGCGAAGACAAGATTCTGGCTGGGATTGTAGGTCTTTGGTCGTCGCTAACTGCCGGTATGTATCGTATATAAGACTACCTACCTAGGTACTTTTGATAACTTTCGTCTGGGAATTGGGAGATTGGCTTGGTATCCATGAATTTGTGTGTGCTCACCTAGGCACTTCTCAGGTTATATGAATGTTTCTGTAATCATTGTCGCATACCTCTTCACCATACACCAGATGAGAGTATAGATAGAGCCACACATCCACGTGGGAATTTCAGTCAACTCCCTCAGATGGAATGGATGTAAAGAATGTATGGAAAACAATCTCAGACATTTCAATAGTCCGCACTTCCTCGAATTAACACTTGGTTTCACGATCGCCGTTGCTCTTCGCAAAGATACATCCCTTGATCTCTTCCGGGACGTGACAGCCCCTGAATACTATACGAACTCCGTACTGTGACTACATCCCTGGGGGGCCTAAGCCATCTGGCGTCCACTCATGGCAGAAACCACCTCGGGTCCCCTTATTTTTGCCGTTTCAGAGGCTGGTGCATGAAAGAAATGCCGGTCTAGCGAAGGACTAACCCAAAGTAGATATGATGAGGGGATTTACGCATTCTCCATTAAATAAATAACTGGGGCAAAGCCATGACAGATCCACTTTCATAGATCGAAGGATTTCGAGTAACATTCTGACAGATAATCACCTGGGCATACATAGTATAGGGCGCATCAGGGGTTATACGTGTAGGACTGTGATGTCACCCTCATTCTAATGTGACTTGTACTCTGTGTGTACTTCTCGGATGGTGGCAAATACCGCCACCGCAAGAAATTGGTAGAATTTTTCACTTCTATACTCCGTACCTCGGATTCCAGCAACTAGAACGAAACGAGATGGTTTATTTGTGTAGAAGATTCATAATCTGAACGCCCGCTCTTTAATTAGGCCGTGGGGGTCTTCGCACTAAACTCCGTACCTTCAGATCGAATGCGGCCCTCCGCATCAAGACTGACTTCGTACACTAGTTCTGCTTTTTCTCGGGAAAAAAAGGAATAATAAACACAGTAAAAAAAACACGAGAGAGCCGGTGGATTAAGATTTTTACTTTTAATCTCGCCCATATTCCTCTTCTTCCTTGACGGTCTTTCGTCTCCCAGGGCCTGTCCAGGTGGGCTCTTTCGCGGGGGATAAGGCGCGATAAGGAAGTATTCCACCCGACGATCCGACTTCAAAGGTTGCAAAACTCTACACCCTTCAGGCTGTAAGAGGCTCTCTGATCCTTACGACCTCAGAGACACATGGCTGTGCTGACTCGTGGAACTGTAGAGAATTTTCTTCTGACAGCTCTCACCCAGTGAGGCTTTTTGTCTAACACATGTGCGCGATACCCGATAAGAAGCGGTGAAACGAACATTTAGTTTACATAGTCTTCGCCTCAAGCCTTATTCGTTTATCATATTAATTAATTTTCCCCCTGGCTTCCGCGACTGGAAAGGTCATTCAATGTGCCCTGGAATGCGATATCTAATGAGCCCTGGAATTGTGCCCGAGACTGAACGGAGTACATGGTATACCTGTACCTCCAAGTGCCCAGGTGTCCGTATTCAGCCCCGACGCCAAAGTTCACCTCGACCCAACGGTTTGATGTAAAATTCGTAAATACCGAAAAGTCGGAACCGTTGGCCTTCAACTCTAAAATTAAAGCATCTAGGGAAACAGCTGCGCCACCTAATTCGGAGTGGCAAACAGCCCTGGGGACTAGTACGGGGGTATGGAGTACCTGGCGAAGATATGGCTGTTCTATTCCGTATGCTATTGATCATTCATGATACGTCATCGGCCAGTGAATAGAATCTCAATAACTCAAGGTCAGATGGCCATTGCGGGTCAATAGGAATGAGAGATCAATGAGAACAATAGACCCCAAAAGAGGAACTGCTTGTACCCTATACTGATTCCCACTGTAGTGAATGAAGAGATATACAATGTACCGTGTACAATCTACAATGGACTTGATGGAATTCGATTTTTGATGGGTGCACTAAGCCCTGATGGGAAGCGCCATGGGTTGGCACCCAATCACAGAAAGGCAATTCGGACCAGAGCAGAACGTGCACCAATGGCGGGGCGGATAAAGATACACTAGACCCGTATCGGGCCTAGTGCGGGACAATTGAAAAATTTTCTTTTAATTGATTTTCACAATTTTTTTTTTCCAAATTTGCGCATAGGGTTTGCCGCAAAAGTGCCACACGATAAATATCTTCGCCCCCCTTCTCACCTCCTCCCCTCCTCCACTCCTGCATCTTTTTTCGAGGGTCGGCCTCTTCTTTCTTTCTGTTTTTCCTGCTTAGACACATAGAACGCTCTGATCTTTGAGCGTTTGCGTCTACGCACCTGGGCACCCCGACTGCTCAAAAAAAAACTCTCGATACCCCTCATAGAAAAAAATAAGGAAGACTTTTCTCTTCCTTTCCTCTAATACCCCTTCGTTTTACGAACCGTCAAAATTTCCAAAATGCCTGCCGCCAACGCCGCCTCTCCTTCCAAGGAGACCGCTCAGTCGGTTGCTGTCCTCGAGGACCTCATGAAGAACCTCTCCTTGGCCGCCACCGCCGATGAGGCCAACGCCGCTGCCGGCAACATTGCCCACCTCTTCAGTGGTCCCATCCCCGAGCAGGTCCTCCCTGCCAAGGCTGCCGAGCTCTTCAAGAAGCAGCTTGCCAACAAGAAGGACGCCACCGCCCGTGAGCGTGCTGCTGAGGGTATCCGTGCCATCGCTCTCCACCCCACAATCGAAGCCGGTGTCGAGCCCCACCTCGTTGCCCTCCTCGGCCCCATCCTCGCCGCTGTCGGTGACAAGCAGCAGGCCGTCAAGGAGGCCGCCCAGAGCGCCGCCATCGCCATCGTCAAGAACGTCAGCGGTAACGCCGTCAAGGCCACCATCACTCCCATCCTCGACTCTCTCGCCAACGCCCAGAAGTGGCCCGAGAAGAAGTGTGCCCTTGACTGCATTGACCAGCTGGTCGACTCTGCCAAGATGCAGCTCGGTTACCAGGTCCCTACCCTGATCCCCGTCATCTCCGAGGCCATGTGGGACACCAAGACCGAGGTCAAGAAGGCCGCCTACGCCACCATGGAGAAGGTCTGCAACTTGATTGTCAACAAGGATATCGAGCGTTTCATTCCTGAGCTCATCAAGTGTATCGCCAAGCCCCAGAACGTCCCCGAGACCGTTCACTTGCTCGGTGCCACCACTTTCGTTACTGATGTTACCGGCCCTACCCTCGCCATCATGGTTCCCCTGCTGGACCGTGGTCTCGTTGAGCGTGAGACCGCTATCAAGCGTAAGACCGCTGTCATTGTCGACAACATGTGTAAGCTGGTGGAGGATCCCCAGCTCGTCGCTCCTTTCCTGCCCAAGATGTTGCCAGGTCTGAACAAGAACTACGAGACTCTCGCCGACCCCGAGGCCCGTGAGAAGACCAAGCAGGCCCTTGACACCCTTGCCCGTGTCGGTGAGGTCAAGGACGGTAAGATCCCCGAGGTCTCCCGTGCCGGTGACATCAGCACCGTCTCTGCCATCCTCAAGGAGATCCTCGAGGCCACCAAGCACAAGGATGTCATCGCTGGCTCCGAGGAGCTCATCAACTACGTTGCTGCCATTTGTGGTCAGCTCGTCGATGAGAAGGAGAACGACCACGTTATCTGGACCACCAACACCCTGCCCTTCATCACCGCCATCGTTGGTGAGGCCGACGCCAAGTCCGTCGCCGAGACTCTCCGCCAGAAGGCTTGCCCTGATGCCGCCGCTGCTGACGCCATTGCCTCCGACGAGGAGGAGGGTGAGGATCTGTGCAACTGCACCTTCTCCCTGGCCTACGGTGCCAAGATTCTGCTGAACCAGACTCACCTGCGCCTCAAGCGTGGTCAGCGTTACGGTCTCCTCGGTCCCAACGGTTCCGGAAAGACCACCCTCATGCGCGCCATCAACAACGAGCAGCTCGAGGGTTTCCCCAAGAAGGACGAGGTCAAGACTGTCTACGTCGAGCACGACCTCGACTCTGCTGACACTGAGATGAAGGTCTGGGAGTGGGCCCAGATGAAGCTCAAGCAGGTCGGCATTGAGCTCGAGAAGGAGGCCCTTGAGGACCGTCTCGAGAAGGAGTTCGGCTTCACCCAGCCCCAGATTGCCGGTGCCATCTCCGCTCTTTCCGGTGGCTGGAAGATGAAGCTCGCTCTTTGCCGTGCTGTCTACGAGCAGCCCGATATCCTGCTTCTTGACGAGCCCACCAACCACTTGGACGTCAAGAACGTTGCTTGGTTGGAGAACTACCTCCGCGAGTCCCCTTGCACCTCCATCATGGTGTCTCACGACTCCAAGTTCCTTGACAACGTCATCCAGCACGTTGTCCACTACGAGCGCTTCAAGCTCCGCCGCTACCGCGGTACCCTCAGCGAGTTCGTCAAGCAGGTCCCCTCTGCCAAGTCCTACTACGAGCTCGGTGCCTCCGAGATCGAGTTCAAGTTCCCCGAGCCCGGTTTCCTTGAGGGTGTCAAGACCAAGTCCAAGGCTATCTGCCGTGTCTCCAACATGTCCTTCCAGTACCCCGGTACCCCCAAGCCCCAGATCCACGGAATTACCTTCCAGGTCTCCCTTGGTTCCCGTATTGCTGTCATTGGTGCCAACGGTGCCGGCAAGTCTACTCTTGTCAACGTCCTGACTGGTGAACTTATCCCCACCTCCGGTGAGGTTTACCAGCACGAGAACATCCGTATCGCCTACATTAAGCAGCACGCTTTCGCTCACATCGATCACCACCTCGACAAGACTCCCTCCGAGTACATCCAATGGCGTTTCCAGACCGGTGAGGACCGTGAGACTATGGATCGCGCCAACAAGATCGTCACCGAGGAGGATGAGAAGGCCATGGACAAGATCTACCAGGTCGAGGGCACCCCCCGCCGTGTCATCGGTATCCACTCTCGTCGCAAGTTCAAGAACACCTACGAGTACGAGATCTCTTGGTCTCTGGGTGACAACATCGGCATGAAGTCCGAGAAGTGGACTCCTCTCATGTCCGCTGACAACACCTGGTTGCCCCGTTCCGAGATTATCGTCTCCCACCCCAAGCAGGTCGCCGATGTTGACCAGAAGGAGGCTCTCGCTTCCGGTCAGTTCCGTCCCCTTGTCCGTAAGGAGATTGAGCAGCACTGCACCAACTTCGGTCTCGATGCCGAGCTGGTTTCTCACTCCCGCATGGTTGGTCTCTCCGGTGGCCAGCGTGTTAAGGTCGTTCTCGCCGCTTGCTCTTGGCAACGCCCCCACTTGATCGTTCTTGACGAGCCCACCAACTACCTTGACCGTGACTCTCTCGGTGCCCTTTCCAAGGCCATCAAGTCCTTCGAGGGTGGTGTTGTTATCATTACTCACTCCCGTGAGTTCACTGAGCACCTGACTGAGGAAGTCTGGGCTGTCAACGACGGTATGATGACTCCTTCCGGACACAACTGGGTCCAGGGTCAGGGTTCCGGCCCCCGTCTCGACGCCAAGGGTGACGATGACGAGGACAAGTTCGATGCCATGGGTAACAAGATTGTCACCGAGAAGAAGGTTAAGCTTTCTGGTAAGTCACACTGTCTCACTCTACACTCTCCACACATTGTACTAACTGTCTTTGTTCAGGTTCCGAGCTCCGTAAGAAGAAGAAGGAGCGTGCCGCTCGCCGCAAGCGTGGTGAGGAGGTCTTCTCCGATGAGGACATGTAAAGTGTTGCTTGAGGTGTTTATTGATGCATATCATGATCGGTTGATGAATTTCATACGTTTTGCTAGGACAAAATACATTTCCATGTTCAAACATTCGTTATATCTTCTCCAGTACATTCGTATACTCGTAGACTTGCATATCTGTGTGGACCTCGCACTTACTGTATCCGGGCAGCCACCTACCTACTAGGGGGCAGCCACAACAACCCCCCTCATTGCAACAGAGCTACTAAGTATCAAACGCAGTCACATTGAGACCGTCGGTACTCTACACTATTCCATGACTTTACGAAATCCTGTTCCTGTACCTGCTGGAACTACGTGCCTGTCGGACATGGATACGGACCCACAGATGCAGGCGCCACAAAGCGCAAATCCCAATCGCCGCAAGGGTCATACCAATAAGAGAAGGGTCAGTGAAAGATACTCTGACATAATTTCTACTAACAGGTCTATGGAAGCATAGCTGTCTACATCATTAGACAAAGAGATTCGCAGCCCAATACGAGCAGATACATCAACCACCACAGCCCACTTTCGGTATCGTGTCGTTTACACCTCGTACCTAGTGAATTGCGAAGAACGCGATGGCGGTCTGAATGGGATGAGCATTGCCCTCAGGGCAGTGGTGGGCGGCGTCTCTGACCTACACCGCCATAATAGGGAATGGAAGTTGATTCATGAAGGAGTGTGTTTATTGCTTAGATGCCTTCGATCGTAGATCTGAGGGCTGAAATATCCCTACGACTCAGACTGATGTCTTGCTTAGGCTATATACTGGCGCTGTTTCCACACTACACTAGGTAACGAAGGTGTATGTCCAAATGAACTGGAGGCAAGAAGAGTTGAAGTCTAGAGTTGCTGGTAAATGTCCAGAACAAGAATCAGTCGGTGTTATACAGACATCCATGGATTCTGCCCAGGTGCATTGGTCGGTTATTGGTCCCCCAATATAAGCCCCTACTCTCATGTATCATGTATCATGTATGATCCTCCAAGTTTGCATAGTCAGTTGGCTAACGCTGGGATTCCGAACCCTCGCCCTCTGCATATCAGTCGAACTTGACGCTGAGGCGTCGCAAAAGCTGCCGAATTGCAGTTATACATCCGTCTGGCTCTTGTCAGTGATACGCCATGCCGCTGGTTGGCATGTCTTGGTTTTGAACCAAGCTGGAAATCCAAAAGAACAATGGGCATCGAGAATGCCACATAAACTACTCACTGCCTCATAGGCAGTGGGACGCCCTGATTCTCCCTACTATGTCAGACACCTAGCAAGCAGTCGGCTTAAGAGTGTAGGTATGCTCAGCTAGAGATACAAGACTGCCCCTTGGGGCCTGTGGCAATGATCCTGTGGTCCATGGGTTGTAACCATCCAGACATTATGCCCACTGTGTATCCCAGACATGCACCATTTCCTCTCAAGACCTGCAGTTGATATGGAAGAAGCCTGAAGATCAACAGCCACATCAGCTTTGAGCCCAGAGAAACAAATAATCGCCTCGTGGGCTATCTCGGACATGCTTGATGTACTTCGTATCCATTCACTTCCATTGCGCAATTCCATGAACCCATTTGTAGCGGCCAGACAGTTGTAATTCGTTGTGATCCACACGCGGTTTCGTCGGGGCTGTGTGGCCAAGGATGCAGCAGTCGGTTGAGAAACGGGTTTAGAAACGGCCTAGGGCTCCTGCAACTGGTCCATGGGATTGAGGCCCGGTCGCAGAGTGCAAAAGAAGCACCACGAGTCTCTGGAACTCCTCCCTCCATTGGGTCTTGGAGTTCTCATACTCGTTCAAGAGCATGATACCCTCGTCGCAGGTCATGTCGTAGGCGGTTGCCATGCCATTGATCATGGGCCAGATGTTGTCGGGACTTTCGTCCACAATCTCCAGCAGAGCAGCGATATCACCGCAGATATCGACGAGGCTGCCCAGGTTATTCAACAGCTGCTGGCGGAGGCACATGGTCTTTTCGTTCATGTTCAGAAGAACCTGTCGTGCCTAGAGGTGAAAGGATCTAGTGTTAGCAAACCCATGCACGGTCGGGCGCTTTGGCTGAAATGTGCAACATAACATACAAGTTGCAGGTCTTGGATAGAAGACATGGCTGCGTTCAGAAGCTTTGCCGTGGTGGTTTGTTTTGTGAGCCTGTGAACGCAATGGAGGCGATGTGGTAGAGGTACTCGGTCGGAGGACTATGCACGAGGAAGGAATTCCCTCAGTGTTGTCAGTGGGTACTAATAAACGATCAATCGTCGTCGCGGCGATGGTTGGGACAGCGATCGTTCGTGAATATTGGGAAGGAGAGTTAAGAACGCGAGAGAGACTAGAGGATCAGGACTATGAAATGGCACCCGACCGAACGAAGTGCACCAGAACCCTCCTTGTTGGTTCAATACAGCCCTGGAGATACCATGCACGGATTTGATATCACTCCGAATACAAATATGACCCTATGGAAATGGATTAAAAGAGACCCCAGGGGAATTGAAATACTGATCACCATGACTAGACAGCAGGTGATTGTAAAGGATATGCCCATGGCACGCGAGTATTGATTCTGTCTGTGAGCCCGTCTTCATCCACCGCACCGGTCCATCTCTGATGTTCTTTCTTGCGCCCAAGACTACTATGCGACCTTTGTCGAGGGCGGATCGTCAGTGGCCTCTATCATCAAGCTTGTTGATATGCAGCGGCCACCTTCAGTCAAATCTCTTGCCATGAGCAGGTGTTAAGTAAGTGACAGAAGAAAGGGGCGCTTGCAACACTAGCTGTGCGTTCATGCCAAGAAGAACATTCACAGCAAGGCATACTTCATCAGCAGCATAAGTGCGACCCTTTCCAACAATGACACTTGTTAGAAGGAATCCAGGCTCCGAAGGGTCCACGGAGTGTGGGGATCTTGGATGGTTGGAAGGCGCAAATTGTTGCGTCAAGTTGAATAGAACCTGTGTCAGGATAGCAGTGTCGTTCATTACCAGTTGACATCGCTGAGCTGCAGTTTGCGTGAGCGGAATGCGGACCGGTTGGCACCGGCTTTATCCGTCCGTTGGCTTGCGGGGGTGCGTTTCTCCTGGGGTGCTGCTTTTGTAACTCTCAGCAAGGGGTCCTTCCGATTGGGGTTTTCCTGGGGGTCATTCTCACTTTCGGCTGGCTCGGGTTCGTTCGATGCTTCGTAGTTCAAGACCAGGTTCTTGATGCGTTGTTGCTCCTCGCGGTCGGCTTGCTGTTGGCTTCGCATGGCAATCGCAAAGGTTGAATCCGAAGGGAGGTCGATGGTTCGAGTCTAGAGGACGAAAGTGAGTTAAATCTGTTCACTGCACGTCAATATACCAATGAGACCCACCTGTTGCTTGTTGCCCTTCTTTGTCATCAAAGAAAAGGCCATCGTATTGGGTTGGACCGGCTCGACATGGACTGGCTCCGGGCTGGAATCACTAGGCATGTTTTCGCGGGGAGGACGCTTCATTGGGAGAGGGATATCAAAGACAGTTTTGCGCTCAAACCGTCTAGAATCCATGCTTTCAGCCATCATCTTCTCGAATTCACGGTCAAATTCGGCTTCAGTCACGGGATCTCGCTCCTCTTCTTGGCGGGTGACGATAATTTGTTCGTCCTCATCCTCGGACTCGCTTTCGCTTTCGTCATTGCCATCCGGGTTAGGGCCGGACGCCTTCGTCATGTTAAAAAAATGAAAGTCGTATTGGGGGATTGGGGGACGTACTTCTGCTTCGTCGCTTGTGTCCTGGTCTTCATCAATTTCATGGATCACGTCCTCTTCGAGGTCCTCATCGGACGAGCTGCTTTCCGCGTCTTCCTCGTCGGGTTCAACGGGCCGCTCAGACTCCGGGACGTTGTAGTTCTGAGCAACTGCTTCACTGAAGATGCGGGTCGCTTCTTCGGCATCAGTGGCAAGTTTCCATTGTGGGCGGATAGAGTGGTAAGTGTCCTGGACAAGGAAATCGACATCCATGGGTAGGGGATCCTTCGTAAACAGGTAATACTGGAAGAAAGAGAGGAAGAAGTCCAGTTTCTTCTTAGCCGAGCCACGATCAAAGCAGTGGCCACATGTGTCGAGTAGGGTGCACGCCAGACGCAGGCGGAAGTAGTCGTCTGGCAAATCGAGCATGCTAATCCTTCCAGGGACAGGGGTACCACCTTCATGGCCAAAGGTGATGATACGGTACAAGGTGTCGAAAATCACAGGAGAATCAATCATCTTGTAGTTGTAAAGCTCACCCAGATACTTGATTTCGGCGATACGCTTCTGGTTGAATTTGAAGTCGTTCTGCTCAAGACCAAGCGTAACCTGTTCTAGGACGTTGTCGACAATGCCAATCACGAACTCCTGGTGGTATCGGTACAAGGCGCTTACCAGGATCGCCAGAAGATGGATGCTGCCATACTTCACCTTAACGGGCTTGCTGAACACACGTTCCAGGATTTCAACAACCTCCCGCTCTTCCCAGTGCAGTTTGCGGATAGATTTCAGAATCTTGGTGTAGTTGCGCTTGTTCATATCGAGGTAGATCAGGCGACGAATATACTGCTCCATGGGCGTGCGCTCCTTCTGCTGAATCGCAGGGCGTGGAGGGGGGTCCACATAGTAGATAGCATTTTCGATGACCATTCGCTCCTGTTGCGCAAGATGCTGCACAGCCTTTTTTCGACTCAAAGTTTCGAGGAAGGAAGCCATTCGTGGGGATGTTTCCGGATTGCGCAGCAGATAGCGGCCACAATTCTCCAGCAAATGGCCGATAATTTCGATGTTCATACGCGAAAATTCGTCCAGTGAAACTTTGAAGCAATGGAAAATGATATGCTCAGGAACCACGCCAAATTTGGTCAGTTCAGCCAGGTAGCGTACGTTGGCCATGCGGACTTGGCCAAGGAACTCCTTTGACTTGCGTCGTTGCAGACTGCGGAACTCTTCATCGAGATAGGTGGTTATTCCCTGTGGTATGTCTGGCAGGTATTGCCCCAAGATAGCCACCAGCCGGGAATACAAGGGCAGGAGATCAACACGCCCTTTGGGGACTTCGGAAACAGCCTTGACCAACCGATTGCGTGAAGCTTTGGAGTTGACCCAGCAGAAATCCAAAGCAAATTGATCGACCTGGTCCTTGGTCTGCAATTCAGGGAGCTTGGCAAGAAGAGAATCCACCTGAGCACCAACAGTCTTGCTAGCAATTGTAGTCGACTGATCGTCTGCATCAGCGGCAGGGGTCTCGTCTGAGGGCTCCACTGTAGACTCAGCAGCTTCACCCTCCGGCTTCTTTTTGCCCGTTTCCTCGGCTTCGGCTTTCTTCTTCTTGCCGTCCTCGAGAAGCATGGCGGGTACCTTACCCTTCAAATCGACAAGATTTTCGTAGAATCGCCTTTCCTCTTCATCCTCCCAGATTCCAGCGCCTTCGCCCTGGCCTCGCAGATAATCCGTGGTTTTCACAAGACCGATCCCACCGCTGGCTGAGGCATCGGTGGTCTCCTTCTCGGCGATGTCAGGCATCTCAGTTCCGAGTGCCTCACACAGCACTTGAGTATTAGCCACAAGCTTCTCCAAGCCTTTGGTCTGCTTTTCGAAATTGGCCTGGCGGTCTTCAAAGATCTCACCGCTCTTCACGTACGCCTCAGCATTGCGGCGGTTTTGCTGAGCAAGCGCTCTCTGGTCGCGGACGACATGGGCTTTGACATCCTCCAGATAGCGGTTCAGGATGTTTCTGAACCGTTGTTGGGTCTTCTCCGGGGTCAGAGGCAGATCGGCTTCCGTGGACTCTGCGTCAGCCTCCGGGTTTTGTGCATCGGCCCCGGAAGTAGCGCCATCAGCCTCAACTGTCTTTCTACCATCTTCGGCAAGCTTTGAACCGACGATATCCCAGCTGAAGCTTTTGACGAACAGCACTGCAAGGGGAAGGTTGGTATGGTCTCGGTCATGCCCAAGGAGCTCCTTGAGAACTTCCAAGGGGAATGGGTCAGCGGGTTTGTCTTGATCTTTCTGTCCATTAGCAGGAGTCTTGGCTTTTAGTGGGGTGTCTGATGGCTTGCTCCCGATTCCAACGACACCTTCCTTGCCCTTCGCACCCAAGTCCTCGGGTCGCTCGACGTCATCAAGGGTTTTCAGCACGTTGACGAGCCAAAGCTCAGTGACAACTCGAAGGAGCACGCGGTGGCGAGACAGTCGGTCCTTCTCTTCTCGTTCGCGGATTTCCTGGCTGAGGGCCTTCAGTTGCGCTTTGTCCGGAGTGCTCAGTCCCCTACCGAGCAGCCATCCAATTTGGCGCGTGAACTCCCATGGTCCGAAACGCTGGTGCAGCGCACTAACAACCTCAACTCCTGCAGCAATTTCTCCGGGTGATTTTAGTTTGCAAAGGCCTTCGTAACAGGCAGAGATGATCTCGGAGAGATACTTGTGGAGGGACAAGGTGCGGATATCGGCGAGAAACGTAGATAGCGCAGAGGCACTGATGCCTGTACGGAGACGTTTGATGAAGGCAGTATTTTTCTTCAGCGCGGAGTCGAGGGACTTGTTCGTGGTGAATACATCTGGGCCGGGTGGTTAGGATCCTTTCAGGTGGGCTGTCACGGATGCCATCGACAATGAGTTTCTTTGAATCTTACCAGATTCCCCCGTCCAAGCTCGATCATTCAGATCGCGAAGCTCCCCTAGGACTGAGTGTTAGTGACAGGTCTGCCAGGTGAGTCAGTGACCGTACGTTTCCGCTGGCGATCCATCTGTGCGGCAGTTCAATGGGTGTCCGAAAGGAAAGCGCATAGGTGACTTGAACGCCACATTGAGGGAGTAGAGGAGCAGATGAGATATGGCGCAAAGCAAAAGAGGGCGGCTCTCAGGAAGGCGGTGGTGCGGAGTTGATACCGGACTTTTTGCTTATCCACTTGTGCGATAACCCGTGGACCTCTTCTCTTTACTTCTACGCCTACTTCTCCCTCTACGTCTGCTTTTACTACTTGCTATATTGCTCATCTTTGTTGGAATTATCCATACTCTTTTCATTCCAATTTTGATTTCACAAAGCCCGAGCTCATTCGTATCAATTTGAAGACCCAAACCCCCACTTTGGCGCTGTCCCGTTCACTCCCCACCTCACTGGCAAAGGGATTCCACTGCAGTTGGGCAATCTACATTCCATGCGCTTCTGTGAATCCCGTTTCCTTTCCCCGTTCGACTCCGAGTAACCTCTCCTGCAGCTGGTGCTTGCGGTCCTGGTTGCTCCAGCTCTGTCGGCGATCAAACGTCGGTTTCCATGACTTCTCCGGTCCCGAATCGTCTTGTGGGCCAGATGGTCCTGCGATACCAGTTGAGGTGGCCTTTGGACTGAAAGGGAGGGTCATTGATGGTGAGTCATGGGTGTCTGGTAACGGGCCATCGTGGTTGTTTGACGGCATGATTCAAAGGTGTGTAGCCCTGGGATTGTATTGAGTAGATTGTATGGAGTAGGATTTGATATTATAGAGGTCAAGTAAGTTTGCTTCGAATTGCTAGTTCGTGACTGAGGAAAGTTGGAGCCGCCGGTGGATATTGCTCTGCTCTTATACCCACCGATGCAAATTCATCCAGGATCAATGCTCTTTGCGGGTGGCGATGGAACAACTCGTTATCCTTGAGCATGCATTGACGAAGGGATACGAAGGAGACCCCTCACAAATCGTTAAACAGCTGCAATCAGGCGGAGAGTGCGGGTATGACGCGCAGGTGGCAAAAGCATCATGTTATAGCCGAAGGTATTGCATACTTCACGGAGTATGTATGTACAAGGTGTGCAAGTCAACGCTACCTCAAGTGTCTATTGAAACATCATCTAACCTGCTCAATGGAAAGATCTTCTACAATGTCATACTTGATTGCTTGGGAAAAGAATCATAAGTACTATGTAGACCGTGCCCCGGGGCCGAGTCTGGCACTTACAAGAGCCGCGATACATCATGTGCGACATACATCCAGATGCTTATGAAATCCATGGATGACGGCATGCATTTGTTTCAAACCATATAGAAAATGTATAGGCAGGGAACCTTGAGTTAGAAGTCATTGGTAAAATTTAAAAGCTAACATAGAAGTCATGATTGCGTTCAACCATTGAAAACAAGCTGACCGATTGGCAAAACCAATCAGGCCAGAACAAGGGTGGGGTACAAATAGTCCAGCAGCGCAACTAAGACAGCAATGTCAAAGGGCACTGTGGAAGACGAATGAGGTTCGAAGAGAAACAAAAGTCGGGGGTCCAAGGTCCGTGAAAACGATATACAATGTACAGAGGCTTTTGGGACACCAGATAAATCATACAGGTGGGTGCGGGAACAAAAACGTAAGAGAGACAACAGGTAAATATGAAAACAACCCAGAAAAGCAATTAAAACAAAACAATAAGAATGAAGTAAATCAGGGTATGCCTCACGCCACGCTATGCGGGTCTCCCAAGGATAAAACCCAGGGAGACCAAGAATCACTGCAAATATGTACTGGGGGAGTCCGACTGAGGGCAGAAGGACTAGGATCTAATTTGGTCAATGATTCATTTCGGCTTGCGCCAGAAGTATTGCTGGAGGAAACAAGACATATTAGCTCATGATCAAGTACAAAGTACATTCAATGATGTACAGGGAATAAAGGGTTGACAAACCTTGTGCTGTTTGCGACAGTTGCGCAGGCCAGGTTTCCGGAGGTCATCCACCACAGCGGACCGACGCATCACATCTTCATCCTCATCAGGAACGTAGTAGTATTCACTCTCGAGTGGCTTGCCGGCGGCGTCTTTTCCTTCGCGGGCAACACGCCCAATGAACTTGGTGGATGCGAGGATGTTGCGAATGTCAGACTTGGAGGGGCCAGTGATGTTTCCGTGACCAGACTTCCAGTAGGCAGGAGGAAGGTTGTTCAAAATGGTCGAGAATGGGGTGGAAGAGAGTCGGGAGAAAGCGAGTTGGTTAGCAGCGTGGTTGCGGACTCTCTCGGATCCTTCGTCGGTGTACTGGGGCTTGGCCTCGGTGGGTTCGTTGTCTCTCTCCTCGTGGGACGTGGCCGGCTGTCTAGGGGACCGCGTGGGCTGGAGGGGCTGAGCAGGCAGTAGACTGCGGGGGGAGCGAGCAGATTGGATGGGGGAATCGCCTGCACGGAAAGAAGCCATACGAGGAAGAAGGTTGTCGCCAAAGGGACCGAAAGAATGAACGATGGGATCATTCTCTTCATCATTGTCGGAGAACTCGTCAGATCTACTCAACTCACTCAGCTCACTGCCATGCGAGGTATGCAAGAGGGCAGTGGCCCTGCGAGCACTTTGAGACGTGACCCCGGTCACTGTATTATGGCGTTTAAGTGGAGACGGCTCATCCTCAAATACCACTACTGCCGCACGAGCTCGGGAAGGTGTGAAAATGGGAGAGGATGGAGGAATCGCATGTTGAGCAGCAGGAGACGGGGACACAGGTGATGCCAGGCGCTGGCGATCGAGAAGTGGGCTTTCCTGCAGCTGCTGGCGAGATTGACGTCTTTGGGTTGGTGTTGCTTCATCACTGGTCTGTTCGGAATCGGTGGATGGGCAGTCTCGTGTTTCACCACGAGGCCATTGGACGAGTACACGGGCCTCGTGGACATCGATCATGATATCCGCGTCCTTGATGTCCGACGTAAAGGTCTTGCCCTTGGCCAGGTCGTATTTCCTCCCTTGGCAGTGGATCTTAATACCGTTCCATCCCATGCACACAATCTCGACCCTATCCCGATCAAACGGGTTGGGTGCAGGCTTATATGTAGCCTTCACGTGAACTCGTGATATCATGCGGCTAGCAGCTAGCTGATGATGACACGAGACACTGGATCTTCCCATCAAGATAGGTTCACCGTTCTCCCGCAACATTATGGAAGGGACGGCAGACAAGGGAGCGCGTTCGAGGGTGGCAGAGAAGGACCGAGGCAGGGATGGCCGGGAGGCAGCGACACCGGGTGGTGGAGGAGAAGACGACATGATGTGCGTCGACGAGGTTGGAACGGGTGTGGGATATAGCGAGACTTCTGGTTCGCGTGCTATACGCTTCTGTCGAGGAAGGGAGGGCGATGAACTCGGCTCGAAAGCAGGCAGTAAGGCTGCTGGACGTTTCACGCCCACGATAGAGCCGACTCGGCTCTTGAGCGGAGAGGATTCCATGGTGGTGAGGTTTAGCGAAGTCGACACAATCTGTATTCAGTAAAAAAACTCAAGTCGTGGTCGGACCCGCGTCACCGCGTGTTATATGAAGACAAGAGAGTCCTAGTGAAATGTAAAGAGGTGGAGGATTTTCAGACCTCCCCTAAAGAAAAGGGTGTGGTTGGAGGGCAGAAATTTTGTCAGAGGGAAGGGACGAGGAGCATTGAGGGAAAAGGACGAAAGGTGGTGGAATGTCCTGGGGCGGAGCGTCTCGTCCCTGCGCGGAAATGCACGCTTACAACCCGAGACGCGTTCGATAGGCGCCAACCACACTCCACAACCGTGTTCTGACTTCAATTGCTCACTCGAGCTGTAGTTCCAATTGGTATTTACGAATATATGGGTGAAAATGCAAAATAGTGCAAAATGAAGGAATTATTCACTTTTTTCTCCTCCTCGCCTTGTACAGTCCGACGCGCGCGCGTCTCAAAACACGTGACCGCGAGACAGTACCTAGGTATCGGTCAAGTATGTCACCGTTCAGGAATTTTGCAGGTAACCATGACTCCGAAATTTCATGCAATTTAGCCTTCAGCCCAAATATGCGATGACTCGGATAATCACCCTCGAGCACTATCTCTTAAAAAGAGATAAAATCCCATAACCTCACACGGTTCCTACTACCAGTACTAGTACAAATTACTAGGGTACTATACGGTGTTCAGCAGAAAAAAAGCAAACCCCCTCTGTAACCCCACTAAATGTCACAAATTCGATAGCCGGTCAGTTGCCCGTCGCGTCTCCCAGCCCCCCATGTGAGGTGAGATCACTTGACTCAAGGAGTTTGCCTAATTCAAATGGCGGTCTTTTCTTTTGGCCATCTGAGCCGTTTCCCAGCAAGGGCCACTCCAGGACACAGCTAGGATAAGAGATCTTCCAACTTTTCCACTCGCGCTAGATCTCTAAACAATCGCAGGTGGGGCCTCGGTTATGTATTTTTTTCCCTGGCTATCACAGTTTTGTTACGCATGGTGGTTCATTTCACACTTCATTCCGAACTTACCAAGGGTCCACCAGGTCTTCACTCACATATAAGAAATGTCCTTCTCGAAAGCATCTAAGCGCACATTTATCTGCGCTTGCAAATTTAGACTTGTCGCCTATTATTCTCCTTGCTTCGTATATGAGCGGGATATGTTACCCCACGGACCATCGCTCGTATCAGTCCGATAATGAAGACCTCGGGATTCATGGTCGTTGCCGGTACTATGAATCAGCTGGGTGGGAATCACTGTAAGATACGATCCAGTTCATCAACCGTAGATGCAGTCAAATGACGACATCACCCAATCCCGAGTCTTTCAGAGTTCGAGGGCCGGAATAAACGTGGATTGTGCGAGAAATTAAACGCCTAGGTTTTCAGAATGATAAATGCTTTTCTTGCAGTACTTGTGTAATGTCGTCAGGGAGTTCTGCCTGGTGCTATACTTTTTTATGCCCAGCCCTGGAGGCGATACCTGTGGAATACTCGTAGACCGTGTCTGTGTTCATAACAACCTTTGGAACCGCCATTTGTAGTGGTCCTAGGTAAACCTTGGGTGAGTGGATCTCCTTCGAGCAGGATTCACCATATACATTCCAGGCTGGAGGTGTACCGTGGACGGAGGTAACACACAAAGTTGGCTGTTGAATGTAAAAAAGATTTCAATACGGAATGTCGCAAGGTTAGGGCTTCGGGACTATATATATCGGCACGTGATTGCATACCAATGGTCATCAGCGATATATATTCTCGCAACTTTTAATCCCATCGTTGTAAAGACGGAAAAATCCACGAAAAGAATATTAGCAAGGAGTAACTAGCCAGTCGGCGCAAATAAATCAGTACAAGAAATGAGCAAGACGATAGCAGCTAGAGCATTTCCAAGGTTCAAGCTTGGACGCAGATGCCTGTCGATCCCATGATGTATAAGTATGATGCATCACATGTACTATCTATCTAGCCCCGCAGACTAATTAATTAAGCCCTCGCATCCAACGGCCATGCATATGTGGAAAATCTGCAGAGTACCTAGTATCGCGGATTTCCCCAACACTCCACGGGTACCGGGACAACAGATGGGCATGAATCGTTGACAGTTGCCCGAGTGGACATGCATAATCATTATGAGGTACATGATAGCCACATGGGTAGCACCCAAGGAGGAATCTTGAAGCCCGTCGGGTGAATTTGGCGAGCTAATCCAACACGGTAGCATTGATTCAATACCCCAAAAAGACGAAGAATTCTCCGACAACCTTGGAAAATCAAACAAACCTCCAAGGCTGGTACTGAACTTCCAAGGTCAGGTACCAACTGGGTCAACTTGTGTACTAGGTAGGTAGTGTCAGTACAATGACAAGCCCTGGAGATGCAGCGCCGCTGGGAAAACGATTCCAAGGTTTGCTGGTGATCTCTCGGAGATCCGCCCCTCCCGAGGTCCACGTTGAAAATGCATGGCCAATGGAAGTATTGAGATGAGGAAGACTGCGCTGTGGGAACATATTCACGATAGAGGTATGCAAAAACCCCGTGGGGAAAAACAAAGCGTGCAAAATGAACAGAGAAAGGAAACGACGGATAGATTTAATATCAAAAGATTCACTTGTACTTGAAGATAATGAAAGAAAATCTAACCATCGAATAAAAAAAATATGGCTCCCTTCAAGGCCTCCGACCAGGGGGAAAAATGGGGGTCATAAGAAATAGAACAGAAACGTGCAACATGGAATAGAATTCGGGCCCAGTCACAAATAAAACAAAGCAGAACTTAAGATACACAGAAGTGAATACGATCCTTCAGACGGGAAAGCGTGATATAGACAAGTGCACACGCGGATGTGAATGGGGCCGAGGGGCCCTTGTCATCCCGGTGATAGGGCCAAGAGAAGTTGGTTGGGATTCGCGAGACGGATGGGCTTCCACCGACCAATATGTGCTTGCGAAATTTACTCGTAGAAGACGTAGTAGGCGTTGCCAGAGGTGACACCGACCTGAGAAGATTCATGTTAGCATGCAGAACGAAAAGAAGACCAAGACATCACTTACGGTGCAACCGCTGTTGCCGCTGATGGCGCCGTTGGAGTCGTAGAAAGTGCCATCCTCGTAGCGGCACTCATCGCTGAGGTTGTCTCCGACGAGCTTAACATTGAAGTCAAGCTTCTTGGTGGTGGTCGGGGTGTTGGGGAAGATGGAAAGGAACTTTCCGGAGCTGGTGTAGCCGACACCCAGGTTGATGGGAGCCCAGTTACCGATGGGCTCGGAGCCATCACCCCACTGGCAACCCTTCTCAGTGGAAACACCCTTGGGGTTAACGTAGTACTGGGCAGAGGTAGCCTTGCCTTCCCAGTTGAAGTAGGAGTCGCCATCGGGGCAAGTCAAGGGGTGAGTGTTGCCAGAGGAGGCGGAGAGAGGAACGGTCTCAGACTCGGTACCGGGGTAGTCAGTACGGCAAACAGCGACATCAGTGGACATCTTGTTCTTGACGTGGACACCACCGACACCGGGGATACAGAGCTGCTTGTGCTTGGAGTTGGTCAGGTGGAGCTTGCCGTTCTTGCACTGAAGACCACCGACGGACTGGCCGGTGGATCCCTGGGTAGTGGGCCATTGCGACTTCTGGTAACCAGCAGGGCAAGCGTACGAGCACATGGCACCGTTGTGGCACTCATCACCAGTGACAGCGGTGACAATGTCGCTGACCAGGTCATCGATCAGAGTGACATACTGGATACCAGAGTAACCACCGAGGCCGAGGTAGTCAAGGGCGAGAGCACCATACTCCGAGGGGAATGTACCACAGTCGATCTCTCCATCAGGGAAGTCGGCCTCAAGACCGGTGGCACCGGAGCTGCTGGAGCTAGAAGAGCTGGTGGTAGCGGCAGCCTTGGTGGCGGAGCTGGTAGAGCTGGTAGTGGGCTCCGCGGTGCTGGTGGAGCTGGCAGGGGTGATGGCAGCAGCAGTCTCTTGGAGGATAGCAGGAGCGATTGTGGACGTCGGGGCCGGGGTCGACGTGGAGGTGGAGGATGGGGTGGGTGTGCTCGTGCTGCTGGTGGAGGAAGGGCAGGCAGCGGCGACAGCGCCATCGAGCCATTCGAACTTGTGCTCGGCAAGACCCTTGCACGCATCGTCGACGCTGATAGCCTCAGGGGATCCGGACTTGGATGGGTCCATCACCACGAAGTCGTACACAACGGGGCCTGGGACTGAAACAGTCTCAGTCTCAGCGGCGCGCTTGTGGTGGTGCGCATGTCCATGGCCGTGTGCAGTCGCAAGACCAGCAGTCGCCAGTGCGGCAACAGTGTTGGTGAACTTCATTGTATCGGTAGTGCAAATCTGCCAGACAAAGAATGTGTTAGTCCCCGGGTGATATATTAATGGTCGCGCGACGGCTTTAGTGGATTATTCGGCCGCGACCAAGGGCATGGGTACAGTGCGCTGGTGTCCACAGTGCCCACCCGTCGCGAGATTGGGGTCGTATCATAACATATTGAAAGTAGCGATCCAGGGACAGGTACCTACTTCAGAAGGCGGGGGCGTGCAATCGCAGAAAAGACAGTGGTTTTTTCAAATGAGCGTGGTCGAGAGAAAGAATCCCTCAGGTCGGATGAGAAAACTTCGAAAGATGAGCTGCGACTGGAGAGACTGGGGAAGAAGAAGGCCAGGAGAGTAACAAAAAGGAGGGGGGCGACTTCGGTCTCTGGCCCGAATAGGTTAGCGTGATATTCTCCTAAAAAGGGGTATTTGGAGATACAATACTTTCCCAGTTTGTCTCACTTGGTGGACCCTGAATCGAAGAGTCTCGATTGTGTCTGTTGCCTTGGCAAAGACGCATAGGCTATTTCCTTTGATACATTCATTTCCTATTGAGATGTGTCTGTTGATCCCTACAATGAGCCATTGCCTGTATACTGGATGTTTTGAAAATGTTTACTTTTCCAAACGAGATTAAAGTCGCCAGGGGGGGCCAATCAGCAGCTGGTAACGCTCTGCCGGGGAGATCCAGAATTCAGGTACACCAATCAGCAGTGGCTTGGGCTGCCGAAATTCCTTCGTATCCGTGGATCCGTATCTGCTGCGTACGGTACAATAACAGCAGACACAATGCGAGAGATGAAGGTATGAAGGCTGCCTACCTACTCCGTGGGTACGGAGAGATACGATATTCCAAACCAATCCTTTCACCTCGAGGACTCCAAAGTAACCACAGGCTAGGGGCACAAAGTTGCGTTTGACACTATGGCCCCCTTTCCCCCTAACAGTTTGCCCAGCTTTTCCAAGGCTGGCAGTGCAAACTCACCACGCAGGGGATCTCCCCTGCCTGTTGACGCACGGTGCACGATCCCATTTGCATGTCATAATGTCCCCCGTATCTCAAGCAGCTCTGTTGAAACTTTTCATTGCGCCGGCATTACAATAAAATCCATGATTTTCAACCCACCTAGCCCAATGCACAGCGTGTCTCTTAATTTACGATGTACTGTACGAGTACCCGGCGCGAGATTTACTCCGCAGGAATCTGACCACACTTTCAGCCTACTCCGTACAGTGGGACCGCAAGGCGTTGGCTTGTTAAATTAGACGCGCAAAGAGTTCCCAGACATCCATTCCAACCAGTTCGCATAATGCCCTCAATACGGAGTACGAGCAGTATGTACCACTACAGTACTAGTATATCTACCAGTATCTACTGTAGTGCTGTACCTAGGTAGAGATCATACTTCATACCCTGTCAATGTGAGGAACTTCCACCCACCGTCGTGACTGAAGAGTGAAATGATACCACAACATAATGCAAGCCAACAACCAGGCCGGCCTGGTCGATCCACCTTAATTTTAATTACGCGGTAAACTCGCACGTCCGCGTCATAATGCTGCCCCCGGGGCCTACTACAGTAGATAACTAGTTAACACACAGGCTCAAGTCACATTTCACATTTTTTCACAGTCAATTGCTCTACAAGTAGTACCGTACACCACTCAATGCATATTTCGTTGTCTCGGTAGCCTGATAATTTGGGCTTCACAAGTAGCTCCCATTCTCTTTCTACTGTATGTTTGGCTGACTGGAGAGTTCGAATTGAATCGAGGCCTACGGTGCAGCATTATCTGAGCTCTATTCCAAGTTTCTCTTCCCTCCATAACCATGCTACGGAGTATACTGTACTGTACTGTACGGAATACCCCGTACGGAGTAAGAACTCAATGATGCTTTCCGTGACCCACACCGGAGACGAGTTGACGCTCACCCGAGTGACCAAGCAAGTGCCGGTTTCACCTACCTATCCTTTAAGATACTCCCTCAAAGACCGTCGACGGGTGTAAAAAAGCTGACACATCCCGAGGCATTATATTGCTAGTACTCTAGACTTGTGAATTATTATTCAATCAAGCCTAACAACTGCGTGTCTTTCAATGTAAGCCGACGACTTCGAGAGAACCATCTGAGTCCACGGGTATGTGTACCTAGTAATGTCCAGTACAATACTTACATGGCGGAGCTTTACTCCTATGTAGATAAATTAATACTGGCAACGTCCGCGCACTACTTTTGGTTAACCGATAGATCGTGGGGAAAGCTTGCGCGGCTTCTCAGTTAACAAGATTGACCATACCCCTTTTGATAACTAGCACTTGAGCGTTTGGGTGAATTCTGGATTATGGATTTTCGCTACTCAGTACTCCGTACCACCGGGTGTACCCAGTATGGGGCCACCGTTCGTGCCATTGAATCTAATAACTATATACTAGTTCTAGAATATAGTACTTGCTTGCCAAGACGGACATTCAAGCTTGTTATGTCTTTAAACGAGTATGTTTTTGACCCCATGGAAGCCACTGCTAGTAAGTACCCCCCAAAGTACATTAGAGAGTCGGGTGATAATGTTGATTTCGCTACGCAACATCCTGTACCTAGGTAAATCCTTTTTGAGATTTCTCGAGATGCTTCGCTCATATTACTTCCAACGCTCCGATACCCAGGCATAGCGGGACATGTGGCATGCAGTATATACCTGCGTGAACGAATTGCTCATACATCATTGTTCGCCAAGGAGGCCATTACCGCCATATAGGATCTGAGCGCATCTGCCTCTTCCTTCTCAGCGGCAACCTTGAAAGCAATTCATTTTTAGCTCTGCTATGAAGATGTAAATAGAGTATTCGGAATCGACCAAGGAAGGCCATCGCCCGACCCCGGTTCTATTAATAGTGAGCCAAGCTGAAGAGGACTTGGCACTATCGGATAGATGGCTCATTTGTTGACAGCGCATGAAGCAAGGCACTTCAAGGTTATTCCCAAGATATGTCACTAAATTGGCCCTATCTTGGAGTCAATACGGAGCCTGGGCAAGCTTAAACTAACCTCGTGATACGGAGTACAGAGACACCACCTAGAAGCTCTCGATGTCATCCGCGTGCGTGCTTCTAGAGCCGAACTTAAATACTCCGTGTATGATGCCGTGATGCTATGTGATCGAAAAGGGATTTTACAGATTGAAAATGTAGCTTAAGTTGAGTGTCCACCTGGGCAGCTCCAATATGTGAAGAAGCTTTCCACCTACTCCGCACAGAGTAGGTAGAATAATCGTCCACGGGTAGTATAGACATTTTGAAAACCGAATGGTGTGCTAGTTGACATTCACAATGTTTTGTATCGGATTTCATCATACCCACCATCCGAGTTGACCTCTATGGCCATCATTCGGACACAGTTGAGTACATAGGTATGGATGAGTGTTGTTGCGTCCCGAGGTCCCTGGATCCCCGCCAGCCGCGGCGCCGATGCGATAAGGTGATGATAAGCAATTGGCGCCTCAGGCATCAGCTGAGGTCTGGACTGCCAAGCACGGACAAACTGCCACCGCCTTCCGAAATTTTTTTTGAGTCCCGATATCATCGCAAAAAAATTGGAGAAGTTCAACGAGTCTGCAATTCGCTGAAATGGGCTCCTCTAATACTCAACTCACCTCCAAGGTGACATCTGGCTCTCCTTACCAACTTGACAAGCCACAGGTTAGTGCCAACAACCCTTCAACCAGGAATCGACATTATACTTACCAAGTTTAGGTCCTCAAAGCCTCCACGGCGTTGCTTAAGCACATCAAGTCGACCCAGCAGGAACAGGAGAAGACCGCGACTAAGAAGACTTTGATTGGCGATAACGATTCTGATGATGAGGATGCCGCGATCAAGAACGAGGCCGTCTGGCTCGTCCTCACCACCAAGCAGCATGTGGTCGACAAGAACCGCCTGAAGCCTGGCAAGATTGCCATTCCGCATTCGCTCAACACATCCCCCTCTCTCAGCATTTGCTTGATCACTGCCGATCCCCAGCGAGGCGTCAAGGACATCATCGCCGACTCCACATTCCCTCAAGAACTTTCCTCCCGCATCGAAAAAGTCATTGGTTTCTCGAAGCTCAAGGCCCGTTACCAGAGCTTCGAGAGCCGTCGCCAATTGTTTGCTGAGCACGATGTTTTCCTGGCCGATGACCGCATCGCCATGCGCCTGGTTCAGACCCTCGGAAAGATCTTCTACAAGTCCAGCAAGCGCCCCATTCCCATCCGCATCGCCGAGATTGAGAAGGTCGATGGAAAGCGGGTCAAGAAGGAGAAGAAGAGGCCCAATGTGCCCACCGACAAGGACGTTAAGCACGCTTCTTTCGCCTCTCCTCTGATTGTTGCCAAGGAGATTGAGCGTACTCTGAACTGTGCTTCCGTGCAGCTCGCCCCATCCACCACAGCCGCCGTTCGCGTTGGATCATCTAAATTGACCCCCGAGCAGCTGTCCGAGAATGTTGCGGCGGTTGTAAAGGGATTGACTGACAAGTTCGTGGCGAAGGGATGGAGAAACATCAAGGCGTTGCACATCAAGGGCGCAAACACCATGGCTTTGCCCATTTGGCTCGCTGACGAACTCTGGGTTGAGGATTCCAACGTTCTGGAGGCTGCCCCGGAGACCGACGCCGGCAACTTCCCCAAGAAGCGTAAGGCTGCCACCGAGGGCAAGCTGCTCGAGGAGAAGAAGACCAAGAAGACCAAGTCTGCGGACGATGAGGAGGAGGCTGCCGCTGTGGCTGCGCGGAAGGAGAAGCTCCAACAGCTCAAGTCCAAGGCTCTCGAGGACGGTGAAACAAACAAAACCGAGGCTCCCAAGGCCGGTGGCAAGAAGAAGAGAAAGTCGACTTCATGATGGTTATAGCTCCTAATGTTTTCTGCATGTAAAGGTATTTCTGGCGTACAAAATATCACGTGTGTCTATTGTTTCGATTACTCTGCATCTGCATACGGAGTTGTGCTTATAATGACCCAAAGTTTCGTATAATAGCCGTAGCCATAGCCATATTTACTCCATAGGCCGTCTCATAGTTGCATGCGTCATTCATTGGTGGGACGGATCAGCCTATATGAATACCGCATTAACCGAGTCCGACCTCGGGAGGTGGTCTTGGCACGCCGACGATAGCCACATCACCGTGAATCGCCGAGCTATAATCTTGCTCTTCTCCCCACGAAGTACAACATCATACTCTGCCACTAAGTCGTCGCCATGATCCCGCTCGCTCGACACTCCGTACTGCGGGCTGCCCGCTCCCAGCTCCAGCCCAGCTGGAAGCTGAGCCAGCCCGCTTCTTCAGCTCTCGCCCGCCTCCTCTCAACTCTCGCAGTTCTGGAGCAACGCAATGGCAAACTCGAGTCTTCCTCCCTCTCCGCAATCGCGGCCGCACAGAAGCTTGGTGGCTCAGTAACGGGCTTCCTTGCCGGTTCTGGTGTCAAGGCGACCGCCGCTGCCGAGGCTGCTAAGATCAAGGGCATGGAGAAGGTCCTCGCCGTGGAGAATGACGCCTATGAGAAGGTTCGGACATCTGCAGCACCAATTTAATCTGAAATCATGGATCATATAGCTGACGCATCTTTTCGTCGATCTACAGGGTCTCCCCGAAAACTATGCTCCTCTCTTGGTCGAGAACATCAAGAAGGGCGAATTCACCCACATTGTCGCTGGCCACTCTGCCTTCGGCAAGAGCTTGCTTCCCCGCGTTGCCGCTCTCCTGGACGTTCAGCAAATCTCCGATATCACAGGCATTGAGAGCGAGGACAGTATGTGAAAACCGAGCGCATGTTCTGACATGTGATCCGACCACTAACGGCCTGCTAGCTTTCGTGCGCCCCATTTATGCCGGCAACGCCATCCTTACCGTCCAATCGTCCGACAACATCAAGGTTATCACCGTGCGAGGCACTGCTTTCCAGGGTGTTGAGACCGAGGGCGGTTCCGCCGAGATCGCCGATGGCGTGGACCCCAATGTCCCTGCGACAACCGAGTGGGTGTCTGAAGAGCTGACCAAGTCCGAGCGCCCTGACCTCGGCACCGCTACCCGTGTTGTTTCCGGAGGTCGTGGATTGAAGTCGAAGGAGGAATTTGACCGTGTCATGCTGCCTCTTGCCGATTCCCTTGGCGCTGCTATTGGTGCTTCGCGTGCCGCCGTTGACAGTGGCTTTGCGGACAACAGTCTGCAGGTTGGTCAGACTGGTAAGAACGTCGCTCCTCAGCTCTACCTCTGTGCTGGTATCTCCGGTGCTATTCAGCACTTGGCTGGTATGAAGGACAGCAAGGTTATTGCTGCTATTAACAAGGACCCCGAGGCCCCGATTTTCCAAATTGCCGATGTTGGCCTTGTTGGTGACCTGTTTGAAAAGGTCCCTGAGTTGACCGAGAAGGTGAAGAGCGCTTGATTTGGACATGCCAGTCCCTTTGACGGCCTGTCGAGCAGGCCGTTGCTTTCTTTTTATGTACTTTGAATGAACCGTACAGTATACCATCGACTAGAGCTGGATTGGTCTACTAGTCTGCAATTACACGCTTTTTTTTCCATGTCTTGTATGCGCAGACCCTTGACACTATGTACTGTAGTTCAAATGCGCAGTGGCAAATATAATATGCCATTGGCCTTTGCAATATCAAAAGCCGGAAGCACACTAGTACTAGTAGTCGCAAGTGGAGAGGAAATGCTCTTCAACCTAAACGGGACTAGCGCGTTTTGCCAGCGCGCGTCGCGTCTTGAGAGGGGAATTACATCGGAGACCGACGAGATATCTGAACGCTTGAATGCTTCCCTCATCGCCCTCATTTCTGTCTTCGTTTGATCCCGCGCTTCATCTACACTCCGAGGGCCCTGGGAACACAGATAACCCGCAATCCGAGTCGTTTTCGGACGATCTTGAAGCAATCGATTTAAACCGTTTGGAGCAAACCCGCAACCGAGTGGTTATTCAGCATCGCGCGTGGGATATATCCGATGTATTTAGAAGTGAAGACGACATAAGACCTTGTGCGTCACTACTTTTACAATATCGCAGGGCCGTGCTGACCAGTATACAGTAGACACACCGACCAAACCATCCGTTAAGACCCCCAGGCCACGTCAAATTACGGCCCAAATCGCTTCCCAATTGCCTTCTTCTCCACCAACCCCCAGAATGCCATTTCTCTCGTCTCAGAATGCGAATGCGTCCACCTCTGGTGATGCGGCCAACGATGCGCAGAAGAGAAAAGCCACCGAGGGCGGTTCGCAATCGGTAGAACCAAAGCGACAGCGCATGGTCGGAGGCTTCATTGACGATGATGATGAGGAAGAAGATGGGCTTGCTGCACTCAGAGATGAGGAGCTAAGTAATCCATACGGCCTGCCAGAAAACTACTCCCAGGAACCCTCTTCGGAGATCCCCAACATCATGGCAACGCCCAAAGCGAATACCGAATTGAACCGCGCAGTGGACACTGCATCGGTCACCCCAAGGCCAATTACAGGGCTGACGTCTCGGCCGGCCCCCAGGGCCCCCAAACTGTTCCAGATCAAGACCTGTTCCGGAAAGACCCACAACATTTCGACAAGGAAAGCCCAAGCCCCCGTTTCCTATGAGCAGATGATTGCTAGTCGATCTCATTCGGAACCCGGAAAAGCGAAAAAGAGTTATTATGGCATTGAAATACACAACTTGCTGGATGATGCAGCTAAGGAAACAAAGTCAAAGACAGTGTCGACGCCAAAGATCCAAAAGACCATTGAAACGAACCCCGGCAACACCAAACAGAACAAAAAAGATTCCGCAATGTGGACGGAAAAATACCGTGCTCGGAAGTTCACGGATCTGATTGGCGATGAGCGTACACACAGATCAGTGCTGCGGTGGCTCAAGGGCTGGGAACCAGTTGTATTCCCAGGCTTGGCCAAGTCTCGACCTAAGAAGCCCAACCAAGAAGATGAAGAGGAGGCCATTCACCGAAAAGTGCTTTTGCTGAGTGGCCCTCCCGGACTCGGAAAAACGACTTTGGCGCATGTATGTGCTCGGCAGGCAGGCTATGAGGTTCTTGAAATCAACGCCAGTGACGACCGCAGCAGGGACGTGGTGAAAGGCCGAATCCGTGATGCCCTGGGGACAGAAAACATCAAAGGCATGAATGTGGAGATTGGCGAGCAAAAGGTCCGTCGCGCTGGTAAACCCGTCTGTGTTGTCGTTGATGAGGTTGATGGCGTGACTGGTGGCTCGGGAAGCGGTGGCGAGGGTGGCTTCATGAAGGCACTCATTGATCTTGTCCTGCTTGATCAAAGGAATTCGAAGTTGTCTGCTGAAGGCAATACTGGAAAGAAGCGCAAGGGTGACACCTTCCGCTTCATGCGGCCTTTGATTCTGGTTTGCAATGATCTTTATTCCAGCAGCCTCCGGCCTCTTAGAGCATCTTCTATCGCGGAGATGATCAGTGTCCGTCAAGCACCACTGGAAAATGTTGTCCAGAGAGTGAAGTTTATATTTGGCCGCGAAGGCATCCCCTGCGATAATGATGGAGCTCGAAGGCTCTGTGAAGCAGCATGGGGTATGGTGAGCAGGAAACAGCGTAATGCCAAAACCACGGGATCCGCAGAAGGTGATATTCGAAGTGTGCTTGTTGCTGCGGAATTCGTGGCGCACAAACTCCGAAACGAGTTATTACCATCGTCACTCAAGCTGACAAGAAACTGGCTGGAACAAAAGGTTCTCAACGCCTCGGGTGAAGGCAATGCCTTCTTCAAAGAATTAAGCCGCGGCGGTGTCCGTGAGATCGTCAATCGGGTTTTCACAGAGGGTGCTGGTTTCTCAGATGCCCCGGCTGGAATGAGCTTCCAAGACAAATTTGACGATTCCACCAGCCGTATTCCTCTTGGTGTGGCAGACCTGCGCAAACGACATGCAATCAACCGATTGCGTGAAATGGTGGATTCAAGTGGTGACCATGACCGCTGTGTGTCAGACTGCTTTGCATCATACCCCATTCAGCAGTACCAGGATGACAACTACTTCTCAAAGCCAAATTCCGCCCACGATTGGCTCCATTTCCACGACTTGATCAGCTCAAAAGTATACTCATCTCAAGAATGGGAATTGATTCCTTATATGAGCCAGGCTGTTGTTGGATTCCATCACCTCTTCGCCACAGCCAGTGGCAGGACCACCGAGGATGACAAAAATGACGATGACGAAGATATGGAAGAACCTCACCCATTTTCGGGCCCGAAGGCCGACTTTGCTGCCTTTGAAGCCCTGAAGCAGAACCGTGCAGCCCTAAATGCCTTCCATGCAAGCTTCTCGGCACCCATGGCTCGCATGTTCCGCTCTAGCGAGAGCGTGATCACCGATCTGGTCCCTCACTTAGTCCGCATGCTATCACCGGATGTCAAGCCAGTCATTATCCGTGGAAACGGGGAATCAAGGAGCACGGCAAGTGTCCGCAAAGAATCCGAACGTGCACTTGTCCAATCCGCTGTCCGTGTTATGAGTGGAATGGGCGTGACATTTGAAAAGGTTCGCGTCGAACACGAAGGAGCTCATGGCGGATGGGCGTACAGAATGGAGCCGTAAGTGAATACTCAAGGATCTGATATCAGCCACGCTAATCAACTCACTGCAGGCCCATTGACTCACTCATTGTCTTCTCCAAGACCAAAGGCAACAACGAATCCGGTAGCACAGCGCCGGTCCGCTATGCCGTGCGACAGGTTCTTGACCAAGAACACCGAAAAGGGACAACCCGAACCAAGTCCGACTCTACAAATGTATCCAAAGTTGGTCCCAAGGACCGTGGCAAGCCCGACGAGGAAAGCACAGCTCGAGCGATCCGTGAAGCAGCTATCAAGCGTGATTTCTTCGGTCGGGTCATCGAGCAGCCTGCCCCACAGCCCAGAGATGCAAACAGTACAGAAGCATGGGTGGATGAATCGTCCAAGGCTGGGCGCAAAGTCTGGGTTACTTTCCATGAGGGTTTTTCAAATGCAGTTCGGAAGCCAATCTCCATGGGAGAGCTGCTGTCTGGGTTGTAATATATGCATGATACCTTTGAGCGTTTGTCACTGTTTGCTAGAGTTTTTGTTTACTTTTTTAGACCAAAAGGCATACTTTCTTCACGATACATACTTCAAAAAGGATAATGAGCGTTCATAGAATTTTATTGCATACTGGTACAGCATGTCAAATGACAAATTGACTGAAGACCGCCTAATCCATGAGTCCTCACGCGTGACAGACTGACTTCGAGGCGCTGCTGACCAGAACGCGATCAGAACGCGACATAAAAGAATATTAAGACAACTAGGCTCTTGGCCGACCGTGAAAAAAGCTTGGAAGAACGCGTCGAATCATTAAAACAGCTTGTAAACAAGCCCAGAAGGTGGTATCCATGTCGTGTAATCGTTGAAGCCCAGAGAGCGAAAGGGACCGACCGAACATTTTCTCAACGAAGCAATTGTCAATGCTCAGATCGGTAGAAGGGCAGACAGCAAGGTAGTATTCCGTTTAGGTTTTGGCGAAACAACCTGTGTGTGCATTCGTGTGATTCGGGATCAACGCATAGAGAGGTAGGAAGCAACAGCTTCACGATGGAGCTGCTTCTGGTGGTTTTGCTTGTTGGTAGCTTCGATTTTCTTGGAGGAATCGTTGTCCTGCGCCTTGGAGGACTTGGACGACTTCGAGAAAGACGAGTACCACTTGGAGTTTTGGCCCTGGGCGTCACCCTTTAGGGTTGTAGCAGTGGAGACACTCGAATAGGTGGATTCGGTGTCCGACATGGTCTTGGACAATGGGTTCGAGAAGGAGGGCATTTCGAATGACGTGTCAGGTTTGAAGTCACGAAGGGTTTGAATGATTTTCGTGGACCAAGGAAAAAAGGTCTGGAGGGAGAAGTAGACGGAGGTGCGTTGACAATGTAATGACCCGTGAACCGGTACGGAGAATAGAGTGGATGTAAAAAGACGCCGCTTTTTGACTGATTGAATATATCAAACTAGAAGTACCCTGTCACTGGGGTTATTCTGATCCTTATATACCTGGAAATACGAAGATCATATACTAGTAATATCCAAGGCCTAGATGGCAACCCGAAATGGATGTCGGCCATAGTGGGGCCATCGGAATAAGATTCGGAGCTCAACTGTATAGGGCGCGAATGTTGGAGTCAGGCTGTGGGTCACATCAAACACTGCCATCTTTACGCCATTTCGAATTGAATGGAAAGACTCTTTACTGAATATGAGAGATATGAAGTCGTTGAGATACACTGCGTACGAAGTAATCCATACGAACAAAACCGAAGAAACCGACCCAACCAAGTGAAAATAGATAAAAAATAGGCATTACTGATGTGCATCATCTAGACCACACTGATGACTCCGAAGATGCGGGATCCTAATAAGGTAATTTACGCAGTCTACTTGTGGGCCATTAGCGCGTGAAAATCTTCCACGTTAATCCACGTTGAGAAGCATGATGCGAAAGGGCGCGATCACCATCTAATTTTTGCTTGGCCTTGTTTTGAAGGATGACTCTACCGGCCTTACTTCGCTGGTTTAGAGCCCCGATGAAGTCTTCGAGCCGCGGGCCCCCCACAGTATTTCTCCGTCAACACTTTAGGATGTACAAACCATCGCAAAGCCCACGAATAGCAAAATCGGACCTCGGAAGGCTATTTCGGTGCTGGAATTTACGTCACCTGGACGTTCGTATTGGATTTCCAAGCACATCGGAGTGCTCAACCCGGGGTCAGATCATCTCAAATCTAACTCTCCACGTTACGAAGTGGCTTGGGATGACTCAACCCCACAGCCTCAGGAATATCTAGACTTTGACAGCGACTCATTGTGGAATCCGAGCCGGAATCTTCCCGACATTTTCAATGATTCTGATTGGCGATAGCCTAACGGGTTTAAGCGTGATCATATCGGGCCTGCTAGGCCCCGTTTTTAGTCCGAGATTTACTCCGTAGTCCGTCCCGATTTCTTTGTTTTATTCCGACGCCGACCACATGCTCGAGGATTCCAAGTCTATTGAATCCCGAAGAGCTGCAATGTTTTCCGCCGGACAAAGAGCATTCTCTGCTGATCGTATGATACAACATTACACATCTTCCCAGAAATGGATCTGGGGCCGAAGACCCATGTGCATGTTTTCCAAAAAGCTCATGGTATTGTTCTCTCGGTCTAATTTGTCCCTTCCAGTTGAATAAAACAATTGTGGGGATGCATTAATAAAAGCCAAGGAGCGCAGAGATATTGCGAATACACTCTACCCGTTCCAATTTCTTGTCATCCATGAGAGTTTCGGAGTGCTCAGCCTTGTCCTTCAACAGGAAGGCTACCTAGCCCTGGAGGGCTCGACCCACACTATCATCTCTCTTCTTGCACTTAATGTCTTGGAACACACTTCTGTTGGAATAATGTTCCAAGAACCTTTCATGTCCCAACCCTGTTTCCTTGGGGTTGTCGACCCTGGCTATTCTCCATCGAATCCCTAGTGTACCGTTGGCGATTCGCGTGAACCTTGTACGAAGTCAGGACTTCTTACAATTATCCTCCCGTCTAAGGTAGATGTCATCATCTGTAACTTCTGCAGGATACCGAATCATCATCATCTCAGTGGTAAATCAACCTCATTAAACCCTCCAAAAACTAACTTCCGTCAGAAAATGCCAGAGGGAAGAGTACTCATCTTCTTTGTCCACCAAGCAGGGGTCAAAACCTGTGATCTCGGTTTCAAAGAAATCAGCCTGTTTTTCATTTCTGTCAGACGATCCTTCTTTGTCTTTAAATGTTGTTTCATAATCTATTTTCTGCAGTAGCGATGTTTCTTTGTGTCGCGCAGTATATAGATAGAGCTGCAAGCTGGTCGTTTTCGCAGTCTTCATCAACATTCTCAGATTTCAATGTTCAAAATAGCTGCTCCTGGTCCCAATGCTCGTGCAAATCCAGCGCCACTGCATCGTCAATGGTACATGTCGTGTCTCTGCAGCAGTTCGAAAGCGCCTGTGACTGCTGTAGCTGCCTTCGACATCAGTTATCAACTCACAATTGCGGATTCCATTCTTTGTGGTTGGTGTAACGGTAAGAAAAGTCTTCGTGTCGAAACA